CAAGGCAATGTCATAGCAACATCTGCTGCTCAAATTTCCGAATCTTGTCATTTACTCATAATATCTATCAATCTTGTTCATAGCGGCTCCAACAGGAATCCAAAAGTCGTCTCCTCAGTCTTAACCATAAGGTCTTCACGAACAGCGGGTCCACAAGCACCAGAACCGACACCAGCGACCTTACTATCCAGCCTAATAAACACCGCATCATCCTCTTTCAAATCAGGAGGATGTCTGGCCTCATGAATAGTTGTATCCCTGTGATGCGATGCCGAGAAGCTGAAATTCTTTCCATCCAAGCGTGTCGCACGTAGTCCAATGCTTGGAGACTTGGAGTCCCGAAGGGACACCCATCGCGTGTCTTCCCTGTTACCATTCTCTTGGGGAACATCGTAAGGGGTCTGGAGCTCAGAAACAGACTCGGCGTTCCAGATCCCAACCCGTTGAGAATCCTTCTTGTCGGGATAGCTTTCTCCAGGTCCGCGGCCGAGCCACTTGACATGCTCTAGGGTCTTGCTACCATAGAGATTCAGACCAATTCTTGGAACGTGCTCAGGGAACGATCCTGTTGGCGATAGGCGTGTGACGTTGACACTGAGAGCTCCGGTGAGATACACTGTGTACTCGATTTCACAATCCCATCCCCAGAACAGAACTGGAGGAGTGATGAAGGTATGTGACTTCACAACCACCTTGTCTGAGTTGGAGGCATCAACGGAGAAAGATCGAAGTTGAGATTGTAGTTGCTCAACACCAAATCGCTCCCAGTAGGGAACGGCTCCAGGGACGTCGTTGTCGGTCTTGGGGCGCCAGAACGATGGGATGATTGCGGCTTGGGTCTTGGGGTCGAAGGTAAGGAGAGTCACGTTGTTTGCGACCCAGCTCTTCAGAGCACCATAAGCGCGGTCAAAGACGAACTCGAAGTTCTTGCCAAAGACTGACACAGTAGCGCCCTTCTCGGTCACCGACAGTTTAGAAGTGAGGGTGTTGCTTGCGGCGAGAGCAGCCTTGACATCAGTCTGAGGAGCCTTGAGCTGCTGCTGATACCAAGCAATCTCGTGACCAGCAGGTGCCCAAGCTGTGGAGTGCTTGAGGGATAGTGTCACTGTCAGGTAGACCTCGTTGTCTTTGTTGTATCGCTGGGCGTCGACTGGAAGAGATACAGAACGTGTCTCGCCAGCTGGAATCTCAGGGATGTCGAATGAGCCCGAGTGAATCAATGTGGATCTATTTCATAATTAGTATCCTGGAGGGCTCATTTCTTTTCGAATCAACTCACTCTTGACCAAACTGCTCCACCTTGTAAGATGCAGTCAAGTGGTCCAGACCAGCAAAGTCATGCCAGTTCTCAATCTTCAGCTCTCCATCCTTGAAAGAGAAACCAACAGGTTGAATGACCTTCTTGAACTCTGTCAGACCAGGGGTAGGCTCATGCTGACTGTTCAGAAGACCATCCATGACAAAAGTCCCGTCGTTGGGTGTATCTCCAAAGTCACCGCCGTAAGCGTAATATCCTGTTCCCTCGTGGTCATCCTTCCACAGACCGTGGTTTGCCCACTCCCAGATGAAGCCACCTTGGAGACGAGGATAGTCGCGGAAAGCTTGCTCGTAGTCTTCTAACCAGCCGGGTCCGTTACCCATAGCATGTCCATACTCGCAGAGAACGATAGGCTTCTCGTACTTGCCGTCCTTGACACCCTCTTCCTCGGCGTACTTGATCAATCGATCAACTGTGGGATACATATAACTATACATATGTGTCGTCTCGGCCTCCATATCTCCCTCATAGTGAATAAGTCTCGAGGGATCAGCTTCAGTAGCATACTTAAACATCTCTCTGTGGTTGTCGCCATAGAAAGCCTCGTTACCGAAACTCCACATGATAACACTGGCGTGATTCTTATCACGGTTAAGAACAGCCCGGATACGGTCAAGGTAGGCGTCCTTCCACTTGGGGTTGTTGGAGGTGAACTCGGCAGCCTTTCCGAAAGCAAGCTTCTTTCGCTCGCCGTAGTCCATTGACTCAGGAATGTCAAGAGGTCGAGCAACAGCATCGTAGAAACCGTGGCACTCAAGATCAGCCTCCGCCATAACCCAGAGGCCATACTCGTCACAGAGATCAAGAACGCGAGGGTCATGAGGTTGGTGTGCGCAGCGCAGAGCGTTGATGTTGTGCTTCTTCATGATGAGAAGATCACGCTTGGCGAATTCCAGGGGTACAGAGCGGCCGAGAAGAGGGTGATGTTCGTGACGGTTAACACCTCGGAGACGAATGCGTTTGCCATTGACCTTCATTAGGCCATCCTTCAGCTCAACCGTTCTAAAACCAACGCGTTGCTGGACTTTGTGAAGAACAGTCTGCTTATCTTCAGACTTGAGTATTATCTCTGCTGAATATAGATATGGTGTCTCTGCTGTCCATTTCTTGGGATCCTCGACATAAAGACTGAGAGTAACATTTGACTGTCCATCGAAAGAGGTCTCAGTAGATCCAATGACAGCTCCTCCGTTCTTTGCAAGCTCAGAGACTATGAGCTCGACAATGACGCCCTTTTGAGCAGAGACATCGACGGATGCGTTGAGCCGAGCGTTCTTGTAATCAGTGTCAAGATGTGGCGTGAGGAAAAAGTCATCGACTCTGGCAGCTGGGAAAGAAATAAGATACACATCTCGGAAGATGCCTGAAATGATTAGTTATCGGTTAAGTTGGCGGTTTGGGAGCTACTAACCTGACAGCCACCATTGGTCCTGATCTTCGATGTACGTCGCATCAGACCACTGATAAACCCTCACAAAGAGCTCATTCGCGCCCTCGCGGTTGACAAACGACGAAACGTCAAACTCAGAAGGATTTCTTGAACCCTGAGCGTATCCGATCAGGGTACCGTTCACCCAAATATGATAAGCGCTATCAACGCCATCAAAGCGTAATCTCAGCTGAGAATCCGCAGCCCAACCCGTCGGGACATGAAATTCTCGACGATAAGTTCCCGTAGGGTTCTCAGTAGGAACATATGGCGGGCAGACAGGAATTGGATACTGAACATTGGTGTACCAGGGCTTTCCGTGGCCTTGAAGCTGCCAATGACCAGGGACCTGGATCTGACCATAAGCGACATCTTTTGCGCCTGGTTCAGGTGCTTCCAGAACTGTGCCAGCGAGAGAAAAGTCCCATGTTCCGTTCAATGAGATTGAAGTATCAGGAATATGATACGAACGAGTGGGGAGAGTGTTTCTCCTAAAGACAGCCTCGTTGATGTAGTCCGGTCGCGAGGGATCCTCTTGGAGAGGAATGCCCTTGGGCTCTTGCTGAATGCTGTCTCCCATTTTGACGATGAAAGAAAGACGATTGAGATGAATTGAAAGACCAAGTCTCAGGAATTATTGGACTTTTATCTTGATCTCCTCCTCTACGATAGCACAGCCCCGCATCGTGATACGTCTCTACATGGTCTTCACTCAACACGTGCTTCGGACTGACTCTCGGGGAAGAGAGGACTCCACTAGAATCCATGATAGGTGCGGGTACATGGCTCCATTGGTGTTGATCATGCCTTGTTTGGTGGAACAGCCTGAATGCACCAGAGCGTATTGGGATTAGGGGGTAACAGCCCGGGGATGTCGGAGCCGGAGCGGGGCGAGACTGGAAGGGCTTGGCTGGGCTACCCGACAGCGGAACAGCTCTGAGGAGATTGTAACCTGCCAGCTGATTACGACCTCATGGGGCCAGCCATGGGATGGAATGGTCTTGGTATTAGGTACTGATAATTGAGAAGTGTGAAAGTGAGGCGCATTTGAGTAGCAGACAAGGGTAATAAAGACTGTTCAGGTCTCGTAGTGTGTTGGTAAAAGGCTGATACAAAGGACTAACCATCCGCATTAAAGTACTAAAACATGCTGGCAAATTATGTACATGACGCTACAGACTTACAGAAAATGAAGTGCAGTACCTCCCATAACCATGTTATTCCATTGGTCCCGCCAGTGAGCCTCTTCTTTTCTCTCAGCATGGTCCAGGGGCCTCTAGACTGGCAAACCAGAGACGGTGTTTGCATATCAAAATCTATTATTAGGAAGCCAGATAAGCTTCTAGCCCCCCTAAGTCACAATCTAGAAATGCGGTCCACTATTAGGGCTGAACTCTCCTTGACATTGGTCTCGGATGTCAAGTCAGTCCTCCGTCGAAGTGTATTGTTGAAGATTCCCTGAGCACGTCACCTACTTCTAATATCAATAGCTTTGCGTTGTCAAATGTATAGTAGAATCTAAGGAGATTTCCTTGACAAAGTATCTGTATTAGGCACAATAGAATATAAGGAAACTCTCTATAGTTGTCAAATACCAAACGTGATTTCTTAAGAATTAGGTGCTGGAGATCAGCAACAACTAAGCAGCTACTCCGTAATTGGCCGAGAAATACAGAATGCGAAGGAATGATTGCAAGCGAGTTCAACCGATATTTGCCTTTGTAAATGAGTCTGTATCTCAAATATATAGGTATTTACTCAAAACGTGACCTTCCTAATATTATATCAACGAGTAAAACAGTGATCGCTTGCGATAAGATAAGGTCGATATGTGATTATGTGGCCGCGTTTCACATTAGAGTTGCCGAACTTCCGAGATGGAGAGATACTGCACTGTCGACCAATCGACTGTTTCTTTTCGAGCATGTTGGTTCTGAATGTTCATAAAACTCGTAAGTGACAACGCGTTTTCAGCCAGAAGCGTCTCCACTACCGGATATCCGGCACGTATCGCCTGGCATAGCCTCGTCTGCACATGTCATATCACCAGTAGCTTTCGCCCATTTCTTCAGCTTTCATCAACAAATACCGCTAATCCAGCCACAAATCCTTAGAATACCACCTGGCGTATTGTGATGTCACCAAATATTTCCTTTGACTCCGGCACGATCGACAGATTCAACCGGGCAGCAGCCGGGTATATCGTGCCTCTCCTTCTCATAGTCACGAATCTGATTACCTACATCAACAAAGATGCATCCAAAGCTTATGATCTTACTGGCCTTAACGTCTTTGCCAACCTCTATTTGCTTGGAGCCTATCTTAGAGGCGACAGGTTCGGCTGATGGTCCCCGACCAAGTGCGGTGAACCAGGAGATGTATCTTGAGCTGCTTCATGCACTGGAACAGCTTCAACACGGAGAGACGAAAAACAACGCGGAAGAACAACGGCCCGAGAAACGCAGATCTGTGAGTAATACCAAGTTCCTATTTATTTACTGAGCCATGGCTGATTTCTAGATATATGAACGTGCATGGGATGCGATTGCACCATCACATGAGTTTAAGGAGGGATTAAAGGTAAAGCAGTCTCTTGAATGTGAGAAGAGTTCTAATGTATCCATCAAAGATAATATGGCTTCGCTGGAGTGAGTTCAAGCAAACGATCCATGACTTAAATACGGATATGAACTGAATATTTAGATTTCGAAATCAAGCATGCCGTCGGTTTAACAGAATGCGGACGCTTTAGTGGACACGCCGGTCCAAATAACGACCTCTACTATCAGTATGAGGTTGGTACATCTCTCATCTAACCTCACGTCAGATAGCTAAAGTAGAGCAGACTGATGATGGCCACTGCGATACCGTCATCGAACAGATCGAGATTGAGCGGGCAATCGAAAGCCGTATTAAGAAGGAAGGAGTAGCACTTCGTACCACCGAATGCCTGGACCTGACTGACATTGGCGTTTGGAATGGTCACCTCCTCATTGGACCGACCAAGGGCTTTGACTACGAAATAGAGTGCGGGCCAAAGCTTATTGTTACTCCGGTATCCATGATGTGGGATTTGGAAAGTTTAGAGGAAGCGGAGAAGGAGAAAGAACAGCAAGCTGACCGTGAGCTATAGAGAAATGAGTTTAGTTGAAGATGACGAGTCGAGCAGTGATTCTGCAGGTAAACTATAACATATTTCGATGGGCCATCAACCGTGAAAAGAGTAAAAGGCCAGGGGAGCAATTACGGGAAGCCAATTTAACCTTATAGGCAGCAAGAAGTCAAGTAGTTGCAATTTCATAATCAATTATAACAAAGAAAATGATAACTGCCGTAAATGACATGCATACCGGACGTGGTGGTTATTGTACTTAGCTAGTACTTGAATCTTGTCACAGCGCACTTGCGTCGCAGAAACATCAAGTCGTTGCATCCTCAGAGGATTGTATGAATTTAGCACCAATGGCATCGTAGCTTACAAAGTCCAGGAGAACTACCTCGGCAGAATGAGCTTATTTAGTTTAGGGTTGTATTTAGACATCACTAGCTAGACGCCGAGGGAAAAAGCTTATTCTAATCCACTTATGGCCTCTCTTCTCTCGTAGTCCGAATTGACGGTAGATGTAACTACTGCGAGTTTGATGGGTTTGTGGAAGCTCTTCATTGACTTGGATATGATCGAATTCGGTGCCAGGGAAACTGTCTTGGAGTTTAGAACGTAACTCGCAGACGATTGGAATGTCCTTGGACGGCTGAATCTTTGTCTTGATAATGCAACCAACACGGCAGGAAGTCTGATCCATCCTGCACAGTGCTGACCACATCCTTCTTTCACAAGCACCAGTTTCTGCAAGAACAAGGAGCCCTCGGGGATTCCTTAGGACCAGACGGGTCGTTCCATCAAAGTAGTAACAGGAGGCGATATGGACTGCAACTTCTTCTGGATTGTCGACAGATCTGATCATCGATATCATTATTCAGGCGGCAATTCGGCACAAATCGAAGATCAAACGTCGTTCAATGACCAACTGAAAGACGCAGAAGACGAAGGATTGTGCTTGCAGCCAACATATCATGACTCTTGATGAAGATGATTATATGAGAAGTACAAGGATAAAATCCTTCGACTGATGCTTTTCGGTAAATAGAAAGGTCCGAGAATCCATTTCGCAGAGTTCTACAAATAGCTCAATTAACAGTCTTGACAATGGATGTTTCGAAGGCTATACAAAGAAAGAGGAATCCACAAGAGCTCTAATATCTGTAGGGCTCTATGCTGGTATTACAAAGAGTTAGCTAAAAACCAGTAATTCATCCCAGAGGATTCAGCTATCTGTCACTAAAGTCCGCGTGGAAAGGTCGGATCCGCCAGCATATTGTGTGTGAGACCGTGGCGCTTATTGTTGCGGGGGATGCCGTTCTTCCGAGTTGCATGCATCTTCCTCATATATAGAGCCGCTGTTGGTTTTAGTTCAAGTGTGTTGGTTCTGCGCCTGCAGAATTCTCGTAAGTTCCTGTGCCTCTTGTAGAACCAACAGCATTTCACATGGGTCGGATAAGCGGCATGCTCACTTCCACGCCGAAGATACCCTCACCCATCGAATCTTCTGACATTCAACATCTGCTCTCGTCATATCACCAAATCCTTCGAAATTCCCATCAAAGACCTATAAAAGACCGATAACCTTCCAAGGCCTCACGTTCAATCATAGTAATGACTCCAGAACCTCAACTCGACCCTCATTTCCTTGATCAAATCGTTCAAGCATCAGCAGGATACATCCTTCCCACTGTCCTTCTCGCAGCGAATCTCGTTGCCTACCTGAGTAAAGATGAAACCCGCCCTTATGAACTTCTTCGTCTTAATGTCCTTGCCTTTGTTTATTTACTCTATGCCAACCACAGAGGTGACCGAGGCCGTTAACGAGACCGAGGCTGTTAATGAGGCAGTTAAGATGCCGGATTCTCTGGCGCTGTACCACCTTGAGGACTTTGAGTCTGAGGACTCTGCCCTCGAGAAGCGCAGACACGTTACGGTAAGTTTATCTCATGGTGTATTGCTTACAGTTCTGACATCTCTAAAGGTTTGCGAGAGAATCATCACTATTACCTCTCATTGCGTTATCATCGGAGGTGCTATCAAGGTAAGAAACCCCTCGGTCATATCGACAGGCCTATAACATCCCTTCTTAGGACGGAATTCTCCAGATCAGTAAGTGTGAGATAACCAAGTAGATTTTGAGCTAACATGGCGCTCAGGCGCTGCCATTAAACATGCATCAAACGTCAAGACCTGTTCCACCTTTACTGGACATGCTGGTCCGAACAGCAACCTTTTCTACCGCTATCGTGTATGTGAACCTCTCGTTCTACATTATAGCAGGAGATGCTGACAAAGGAAACCGCAGTCTACTGGTAGACACTGTGACACGACTGCTGAACAGGAAACCATTGCAGGTGCAATCGAGCATCACATCAAGAACCATGGGCACAAGATCTGCGGCACCCAGTGTTTGGAACTAACCCATGGTGGAACTTGGCACGGATACCTCCTCATTGGACCGGCGAGCAACTTTGACCACAAGGCTTACTGTGGGCCGGAAGTCAGCTTCAAGCATTGTGACTCGGGAGGCAAGGGTGACATTAACTAAGCTGATCAAGAGCGTGGGTGGACATGTTAAGCACCCAGGCCACCAGCGTTTACCCAATCACCCCTTTTAAGATCCGTTTGGTTTGAAGCATAGGGACTTTTATTGATACACGGTGTGTTCGGAAGGTAGACGGATGAATATTTCCCTTCGCTTCTGTGATATAGCAGAGTCAGATTTACATCGAAAGCTCCACGTAGAGCTTTTACCTAACCAATTGTGCCATCACTCGCACCTCCTTTGTACAAGATGACAATGGCTTTTGTAATGCATGCAAATTCATGTCAAAAGAAACCCCTTGTGTAACTACTTGCCTGTTGTGCAGGCCACATGCCTCAATACACTTGGTGAATGTCCACGAAATGGGGCCTCTCTATACTTAAATTCAGGCTAGGCAGGATACCGTTAAGCTACTTCAGTAAGTGTCTTAGGTGTAGTGCAGTCTATTAGGACTCCGCGGCGAACACGAGCACTACCATTTCCGCGGCAAACACCGGTGAAGTGAATGTACAAGACGGTGGCGGGGCGTCCCATCAAGCCTGCCTAAGAAATAATAAGCTATATTTCCCCAGGTTCTCCAGGTTCTCCAGGTTCCCCAGATTCCCCAGATTCCCCATATGGAGATCTTTTAGTAAGGCAATTCGACATCAATATGACCACAGACATCAATATCGAGAAGGGTGAAAAGAATGAGGGATGCCATTCTGAGACGGAGCACCCGCCTACTCAAGGAGAGTTATTGCACCGGCATGGTGAACTGAACAGAGGGTATGCCGCATCTCCCAAACTTACGGCTGGTCTGCATGTTTGTCTGGTTCAAACACGCCCACGCGTGCCTATAACATCTTGCTTCACTGCTAACGAGACGATTGCATAGGTTAAAGTCTCGCCACATTCAATTCATCGCCATCGGAGGCTCCATTGGCACGGGGCTATTTCTTGGTATTGGCAGTGCGTTGACAAAGGCCGGCCCGCTCTCGCTCCTTCTTGGCTACACCATAACCGGAATCTTCATCTTTGTCATGATGATGAGCCTTGGTGAAATGGCGACTTGGCTCCCTTTGCCTGGAGCCCTTCCCCAGTTCTGTGCCAGGTACGTTGATGGAGCCTTGGGATTCGCGGTTGGTTGGAATGTATGGTACTCAGCAGCGATCACCCTCTGTGCAGAATTATCAGCTGCTTCCCTCATAATCGGATACTGGAAAGGGGCTGAGGGCGTCAACGTGGCTGTTTGGATTACTATCATCCTCGTTGTCGTGGTACTACTCAATATCTTCGCCGTCTCTATTTATGGCGAGGCAGAGTTCTGTTTCGCCTCGATCAAGGTCATCACAATTGTGGGCCTTCTAATCATGACGTTCATCGTTATGCTTGGAGGTAACCCCCAGGGTCGCCGGCTAGGCTTCACCTACTGGAAGAATCCGGGGCCGATGAAGGAATATCTTGCTGAGGGTGATCTTGGTCGCTTCTTGGGCTTTTTCACCACATTGATTAACGCTGCCTTTTCATTTGGTGGCGTAGAAATGGTTGCTGTTGCTGCCGGTGAAGCTGAGAACCCTCGCAAGAACATCCCTAAAGCTGTCCGTCGCATCTTCTGGCGCATTATCTTCTTTTACGTTCTTGGTGCCCTTGCAGTGGGTATTTTAGTTGCTTCCAACGATCCTCGCCTATTATCAGCGCAGGCAAGCGGTACTTCTAATGCCGCAGCCTCACCCTGGGTGATCGGAGTCCAGAACGTCGGCATCTCAGTCCTTCCGTCTATCATTAATGCTGTTATCCTTTCGTCGGCTTCATCATCTGCCAATGCCTTTATTTACAGTGGGTCCCGTTATTTGTACGCATTGGCTGTGAATAAACAAGCTCCAGCCTTCTTCCTCAAGTGCAACAAACAAGGAGTACACTGGATTGCTGTCCTGGTCACCAGCGCCATGGGCCTTCTGACCTATCTTTCAGTCCAAAAGGATGGCGGTGCGGCACAAGCATTCCAGTGGTTTCAAAACCTCGTTACTATTTCATCACTGTTCACCTGGTCCTGTGTATGCTTGGCATACATACGTTTTCATGCTGCCTTAAAGGCGCAAGGAGTTGATCGCGACACTCTCCACCTGAAAAGCTATTTCCAACCTTAGGCAGCTTGGGCCGCTCTCATCTACTTCTCAATGTTAATCATTTTCAACGGTTTCAGCGTGTTCATGTCAGGAAGATGGAACATCAGCGGTAAGCTTTATTCTCGCCCAATCAACTCTTTTGCGTGTTATTCAGACTCTATCCAACTACAGCACTAAAAACTATTTCCAGACTTCTTCGCAGCGTACGTCAACACTCTCATCTTCGCCGTCCTTTTTATTGCATGGAAGTTGATCAAGAAGACGAAATGGATCCCGTCAAATGAAGCTGATATAACAAGTGGCAAAGACGCCATCGATGCACTAGAGGAGATCTGGGAGGATCCAAAGCCACGTAACGCTCTCGAGTGCTTCTGGATTTGGCTAGCATAGGACTTTGCTCTAGGAAAGGTTCGCCACTCTTATGCCCAAGGCCGGAATGCAAGATCAAACAAAGAATGTTCATCTTGATCATAAGCGCTCTTACGCTATTTAAGCCAGAGAGTCGTACTCTTGGTTCACTCGGAAGCTATTTCCAAGGTTTCACAATTGAATATACTCTGTCTTTATGTAAAATGTGTCCATCATCTCCAAAAGTTCCTGTTTTACGTAGACAGCCTTCCTTTTATTCCCTGTGGCTTGGCTTTTGTTGACCTTGGCTACAATGAGTACGTCGGCGTAGCTGAGTACAGTTTATTAGCCGCAGATTCCCGCTGAGAGACGCGCTGATGCCACAAAAGATTCTAAACTTCAAGACGATTATTGAAGTTGGTCGTCTCTCAAACTAAGGCTCAGTTTACTTCGCATTCTCTTACTTCAAGTTTCTACCCAGATTCAGCCGTGAGTGCAATTGTGGGAGGAGAACATCACAAGTACGCAGGAAGGATTTATTGCTATGTCTTCTATCGTTCCTTTGACGGTTGGCTTTCACGAACAGCCTCCCTGCACTGTCTCACTTTTCAGAGCTTTACCATCCTTCTTGGCCTGGAGTAGCCTCTTCAATGCGTTGACCAGATCGTCAACGGCCTCCTCTGAGGTTTGATGGTGGAACACTAAACGCCCGTTGGGGAAGACAACGACTGCCGCATCGGCGCAGTACTGAACAAAAGCAGCACCAGGAATATCCATGCCAGCCATATCTAGTACCACCATGTTGCTTTGCGCAGGCAGCGCTAGCCTGTATCCTGTGTCCTCGAGTTGACTGCCAGCTCTCTTTGCCAATGCATGTATGGCTGGAAACTGGGTCACTGTATATTCAAATGCAGACAAAGCTGCAGCGGCCATCATGCCAGGCTGTCGGGTACCACCGCCAAGCATCTTGCGGTATCACTTACATCTCTCGATGAAGCGCTTACTTCCTACAATAACGCTCCCCATAGGGGCACCGATACCCTTAGCTAGGCAGATAGACATGCTATCAAAGCATGCAGCATAGTCCTTCAGGCTGACGCCCTCAGCAACCACACTATCGATTACTCGGGCCGCGTCGAGATGCATGGCAACAGATCGTGAACCCTCGGAAACTGGGAATGAACGAACGTAATCTGCAATAGCTCGTGCCTCTGCTAGAGGGAGAACGGTGCCGCTCAAGGTGCTCTCTAGCGAGACAACTCGGGTCGGAGGAAAGTGGACTGGACCCAGGTCAGTAAACTTCACAGCGTCGGGCAACATGTAAAGAGGAATCACTCTTTGGTGTTTACTCACTGTTTCCGTCCGCGATCATGTTAGCCTTCACATCTTCGAGTGTAAGATGGATGCCATTCTTCGGGTGGACCGTAGTAACTGTGGCTTGAGACATGACCGGCAGGGCTCCAGACTCCCAGCACTGAATATGGGCTCTATAATCACAGAGAACACTGTGGGGAGGTTGCGTGAGGTGGGTGCGAAGGCAGATCTGGTTTCCTTGCGTGCCTGAAACCGCCACAGCGCCGCTTCCGTGCCAGTCAGCTCAACCATCTTCGCCTCGAGGGCCTTGACAGACGGATCGCCCTCGGCATCGTAAATGTCATCGTTGACCGAGGCCGCAAGAATGGCCTGATAGAGTAACGCGTTAGCAGAGCTGGGGGAGGGGGCGGGGCGATCAAGAGGGCAAGGTTACAGACCTCCATCATTTCCTCAACAGGAACAGTAACGACATCAGATCTTAAGTCGCGAGATGCCTTTGCTTTCGCAGCCTGTAGCTTTTCATGAATCCGAGTGGTAAAAGGAGATTCCCTGATCAGGCCGTTGACTGTCTGACTGTCAGCAGATATGGGCTTGGAGAGCCTGGCAGCCAGACAGCTCTCAATTTCTGTGTACCCGTTGATAGCCATTGCAGTTGATAGGGCAGACGTGGTGTGGTAAGGCAGTAGAGGGGGAAGAAGGGCCCTTATATGATAGTGGTAGAGTGAAACTTCCAATGATTAAACAAATCTGCGTGTCTTATACTTCGCTTTGACTCTTCTAGTGGTGAGGACCACGCTGCCATATTAGCTCCGTGCCAGTTTTCCGCGGAGCGAAATTAACTTTGGAGCCGGCTGTTGCAGCACCCGCGGGACGCTACAAAATCCGGCGAACCTTGCCCGGAGAGCAATTGCCTATTCGTCGAGTAGAAACCCACGACTTGAGTCGATTCGTGAACTATGCTCCGATTCGCGGTGGCAGTCGGCTGGAGACATAGCCAGGGCCGCTAACCAGCTTTAACCCTTTTTATAATCCTGATTATTATTTATGTAACAGCCAATACTATGAGCACCTTCAATAGCAGTCCCTTATATAACTATCTGCTTGCTGTATAAGCCACATACTTCGGTCAACACTTGGCGAGTCTCCTCCGAATGAGACTTCACGCCAGTTTCGGAACAACTTCTCAAGATGGCTTCCTACAAGTGTGGCTCGTGAGCCGATGAACTCTTTGAGAGCCGGTACGTGTGATGCAGCGAGGATGATCAGCATGGCTCCAGACATTCTGCTCTTTGTCAGTGTGATGTAGGTCGGAAACGATTGTCAACTTACGAAAGTGAGCATATCCACGTGTCAATCAGAACTGTTTGCGGGAATCCTCTTAGGTCTAACGCATGCAGCAAGCAAGCGTCCAGGCATAGCTTGCAATTTTGCATAGCATCTGGTATTGGAGGCACCCTAGTCTCAGCGTAGCTACTGCTTAGCATCCACATCAGATAGGGTCGGTAAATCACGCCCTTGCAGGTCAGATATCGTTGTCGAAGGAATCCACCAGCCGCTGTTGCTGCCTCTTCCGTATCTATGCTGAAAGAGAATGAGGCTGGTAAGACTTCACGCCAGTCATCGAGCTGTCGCTGTAGTTCGGCAACGATGCGTGGAAAGCGAGTGTGATCGAATGCGGCGCCCGTGTCCTTTGCGTAGAGTAGTTGATGGACTCTGTTGAGGAGGCGTCGCATACTGATACAGGCCAAGAAGTAGAGAGATGATTCCTCTTCTACAATTTCGGATGGGTGCGTGTGATATGTGCTTGGTAGTGGGATAGAAGACTCGACGCGAGCGATCCCTGACGGGGGACATGCTGAGAGCTCAGCCATATAGTCACTTAGACAGGTATCAGTTAGCTGTCATTTTGGCATTATTACGTACGAAATGATGGTTTACCTTTCTAGAATGTAGCATGACCAGAATATCCTTCTGATGCGTTCTTCAGCCTCGTCGTCATGCGTGTTGGGTGGATAGGAAAGAAGCAACATGCATCTCGTCGCTGTAGCACTGAGATACTCCCAAGCCTGAAGTGGCCGGACCAAAGAGGCGAAGTAAAGACTGGCACGTTAGAAAGGGTAAAATTCGGAACACCAGTGTCATCTTACGCTGTGAAGAAGAGGCACTGGGTGCTTCCAGAGTCAACTTGCAGATGGGCAACGTGGAGCTTCTTTAGAGCCAGTTGGAAATAGATGTCACCCAGCTTTCGCTTCCGAAGTCTTCTGTCTTTCTCTGCTGCATCGGGCTCAGCTGTAAAACGAAGGTCTTCGGCAGCTTGACTTGCACATCCTAAAGCCAAGGTGAGTAAACAAAGGCAAGAGTGAACCGTATCCTCTGAAGGCATTCCGGTTTGAAGTGTCGCACGTAAATTGCCCAGTTGTTCTTGTGACATAGAAGGGTACCAGAAGTTGATGTTTCGTTCGAACGCCTCCAACATCGAGGTTATGTCTTCCGCGTCAACGTATGGATACATGGGGTTTGATGCAACTGCTAGCGGCGGTCGTGCCTGTTCAAGATAGAAGATCGAGTCTCCATCATGTCGAAGCAGTGGAAAGACATCAAAGTGAGGCCATTGGAGTATCGACTCAGTTGTCGAAGTATGCATAGAGTCCAAGACCGCATTCTCAAAGTTGTTGACATTCTCACGTTGGTCTTGACTGGTCGGTGTATGAATCGCATGACTCTGCCGACGAAGATTCAGATCTGGCGAGGAACCCGAGAATGAGTTGGTGCGATTTGTCTGAGGTGAGTTGGCAAGTTGGACACCGGCCGGCTACAATGGTCAAGGCTGGACAATTAATCTAGAAGATATGCTTATGGCTTACGATGGCAGATCTTAACTCATGTAGGGTTTTCTCGACCCGCAGAACACTTTCTAGGATCAGATCGTTCTTGCTCCTCCTACAGCGGTGTTACTATGCTGGAGCCGAGCAGTAGATTGAAGAGTGAGGCTTACGAGTTGGCTTCAGACCCATAGGTGCAATCATGGCCGATCGACGCACATGTTGCGCAAGGATTGTTTCCATCGCATCTATCGCTATCAGCCAAGCTGTCAAGTTTCTGGTAGATCACCCAACCTTGTCTTGCGGGTACGACAAGCATCGCACTAATGTCGGTCAGCACATGCAACATGAGACATGATTGCAAACTCACTGCATGCGATGTCCTCAACCTCTTCCTCGCAGGCCATTCATCATTTGCTTGATCCATTGCGCTGGGAACTGAGCAACAATTCGCTCCGGTACGGGCCGACATGAACGTGGGGAAAAGAGGAGATAATGAAGGAGGAGTTTGTGAATCATTTGATGGATCACGGGGATACTCGGTCCGAGGTCAATTGAAGCTTGTGATTGGTGCGGGAATTCATTCGGGGAATGGGTTAGTTACCCCAGCTTTTCTGACCTTGACCGATTGGTCACTTCCTTGATCTGCGAGGTTGGTGCAAAAGCTTGATGGGCATGAGACCTTGGAAATACTGGGGTCGAAATCAAGGTCATGAGGTGCCATTGCTCGCTGCGACGTGGTATGCAGATCGGGAAGTGAGGCCGAGGTTTGGCGATCGGCAGACAAGTTTAATGGGAACTCAATTGACATGCGATACGAAATTGTCGCGAACCAATTGAGGGTCTGAAACACTAAAGTCGGGACATCTTTCTGGTTGGTCACGGCTTTGGAGCTAATCATGGTCAGAGTATCACGTTGGGAAGAAAAAGTTTGTGGAGTAATAGTGCATTATGCATCATATCGATTGCGATGGAGTTATCTTCAGTATGGCTACCTAAAACTTGACGAGGCAATTGGGGTTGACCAGATCAAACCTCTCCCGCAAGCTTCGCATCTCCCGTCACATTCAGAGTGTTCACAACAGTCTGAGCATCCCTCTTCTGAAGACTCTTCTTCACAGGGTTGGGTGCCTCAAACACCTCGGACAATTCCTCAAGAGTACGATCCTTCGTCTCGGGGAAGAAGAAGTAGATGAAGACAGCTTCAAACAGATCCCAAAAGACAAACACAAGATAGAAGTAGTAACCGATGTCCTGGAAAGCGGGACCACTGCTGTACTGGATAATGGTTGAGGCGATTGAACTAGCAAGGTTACCGACGGCAGTACCCTTGGCTCGAATGTCGGTGGACAAGCATTCAGCGATGTATGCTGACTGTAGAGGGGTCCAACCGAAAGAGAAGACGATACCGAAGATGAAGATCATGGCAACAGTGGCGTTGGCAGCGGAGGCGTTGTCGGGTTGGTCGAGGGAGAGCTTGCTAGTGCCGGTGATGACAGCGAAACAGCATGAGCAGAAGATGATTGAGTAGATCAGAAGAGGTCGGCGACCGATAACATCAGTGAGACGCGCTCCGAGAATGGCACCGAAGAAGCAGAGCACAGGGTTGATGCCGTTCAGAGCCAAGACCTTCTTTTCGTTGGTGATGCCGGCTTGCTTCAGCATGACGGGGAGATAATAAGAGCTAGGCATGGTTAGAGAAATGTTAGAGCTGTAGAAGAACTTGTGACGTACCTCAAACTGTTTCCACTGACTTGTCCAAAGACAGCCATTCCCAAGACACCAATAAGTCGGCGTCGCGCACTATGGGTGTTCCAGAGTCCACGATAATCCCACCAAGACTTATCAGTAGCATCCGCAGCAATTTGGTTCGACATCTCCTTGATCTGCAACACAACCATCGGATGGTTCTCATCACCCTCACCATGGTACGTGGCAAGAACTTGGACAGCATCCTCAACTCTGTCCTGAGCGATGAGCCATCGTGGAGACTCAGGCAGCCACAGAACGCCAAGCGCAACGATACCAGAGGTAATCATCTGGCACCAAATGGGAATTCTCCAGGCAATGTCACCATCGACGTAACTGCAGCCGTAGACGACCCAACTAGCGATGATGCTACCGATGTACCAGGTACAGTTGTACAGACCAGTAATGGTGCCTCGCCAGTTGGGATGCGCCATCTCGCTAACGTAGCAAGGGGCGGAGACACAGCAGAAGCTGACACCGAAGCCGAGGATGAAGCGACCGCCGAGGAATTGACCTCGTCCGGTGGATGTAGCTTGGACACATGTTCCGATGATGACTATGATGGCGCCGGTGAACATGCCCCATCGTCGGCCGAAGAAATCGTTTACGGGGGCGGTGAAGAACACGGCGGCAATGGAACCGATGTTGTACATCGCAAAGATGATACCGGTCGTAGAGCCCTCAGAAGACCTGTGATTGTTAGTTCAAGTGCTTTTTCTTGGTGGTTTCACATACATGTTGAAGTAGCGTTGGTATGCCTTCATACCGTTGATACCACCGAGAAGACTACCGTCATATCCGTTCTTCCCAAGTTAGCAACCAGCTCATTGTCCTCTCGTGGAACACTCACCAAGCAACCGCAGAGGTATGCGCAAGCCAGGATGAAGTACAACCTGAACATACGAGGCGTCCATGGCGACAGCTTCTGATTCTCAACATCATGCGCAAGCTGAACCGCGACATGAGCGTCATGAATCTCATCACCATGGTCAACAGCGACCTTCTCATCAGCTTTGTAGTCCATTCTGTCAAAGAATCAGTGGAGACTTGAGCCAAGAATGAAGACTGTCGATCAAAGGGCCAAGCTCAATGGGTCTTTATATAAGTCAAGTTGCATGCATATTCATGTTAGACCGGACTTTGGACCCCAGACGGCATGTAGCGCCCGTCCGACGTCGTCCCCGGATTTGCAGGGCTGGTTCCCCCTCATTCTGTGCATGTTGGGATTAGTTGGAGGGGCGAGATGGTGTTCTGACCTTTTGTCGGGGCGAGGATTGGGTTAGACTGCTATCCACTCCGGCTCCGGTTGCCCCGAGGTAAACCTGGGGTAAGTTTTGGTGGTACCGATTGGTTCGGGTACAGCATCTTGGAAACGAGCCAGTTATGTCTGATCAGTCGTATGTTGTGTTTTTGCTCGTGACAGGAATTAAACTTAGGCGGAATGGCTTCGAAACCCTTTGTGGTCAGCCCATGATCCTGGGTTCTAGCGTAGTCTGCGAAATGGCGACATTGAGATGGTCTCATGGAACAGACTCCTTGCTCGTCTTCCACGTAACATGTTTTTCAGCGTGACAAGACAAGTCAATTGACCTAGACCTTTGAACTGAATAAAAAGCAGAGGCCCCACTATCCTACACGCCAAATAGAAAAGGCATTGGCTATCGTATAGTCGACACCGCACAAGCTCAAGGCTAATTTTCCTTCTACCAAGCTGCCTCCTTCTCCGGCTTCTGGCCATAGACCACATAGCTTCTGCTGTCAGCATAGGAACGACATATTGACGAGGGCAACTTACATCTTCCAGTACCCATGCACCTTCGGATTCCTCAATTCATTCCTCACATCCGCACAAAGAGACAGCACTTCATCTTTTGACCAACCGAGCATCCTGGTGAACAAAGCTAGACTTACGCCCTCAAGTCCTGATTCAAAGTTGATGAGGTTCCATTTCCCAAGTTCCCTGAGTTTTGGGTCTTTGGGCCAGCTGTTGGTAGGCCATTTGTAAACAGTTTCCACGACATTATGAAAGCCGACTTTCTTGATGAGGGCTTTATACTTGTCAGACTCGCCAAGTGGCCGACCAAGTCTACGAGAGCCTTCGATAAGGCATTCTTGCCACTTCATCAGTGGAGAGGTTTTGGGGTCGAGAGTCCCATCGTCGCAGAAGACGGGGAGTTGGATATCCTGGATCTCATACCAGCCACCGGGGTTTAGACCACTACCGTGCGTTACTAGAATGTCCGTAGGTTGATATCTTCTATCAGCAAGCTTACTTCAATGCCTTTTTTGCTATCGTTTCTGGGTCGGAGAAGCTTCCTGTCATCATGCGGGAGAAAATAAAGTCAAATGGTGTCGTCCATGTCCACTCTTTCTCAAGGTCGTCGATCTCGAAACTGCAGTTCGGTGGTACGCTGTAACAAACGTCAGGAAGCTACTACTAAGGGTCAGGGTGAGTTTGGACCAACAAAGGAGGTTGGATAGGACTCAGATCAACGCCGATCACCTATTCTCAGAGATTAGGCTAGTCAATAGAGGGTTGTAAGTGGCATACTTCGGCAGCTGGGTGTTCCTCAGCTAGGACCTAGTTAGTCAAGTTCCATTAAAAAGTCCTCATCAAAAAACACACCAAATTCCAATGCCCAGATCCCTGTTCCGGTACCCATATCTAAAACTCGTTTGGCAGTATCGGCTCCTGGATTCAATGCCCTCTTCCCGTCAAGCGTAATGATATACATGCCATCTTGCAGATCTACTCGTTGTCAGTGTTATCTATCATACCTCGAGGTCTCTTCCTACCGAGTCTATCGTTTTCGATCTCCAATGCAGTCAGAGCAAGCACTCAGTTTGTTTCATGATGAGCTCACATCGTCATTTGGGTAGGCATACTCTGTCTCTATCAGCCAGAGTCAATTTGAACCGAGGATTATTCTCACTCCCTTCACTTAACCTGTGGTAAGTCCGTCCGTTTTCTTGCGCGAAATGGAGCAGGCTGGATCGAAGTGATAAATTCAACGAGTCGTCGAGTGGCTTTTTTTGTGAGAACCTTGACCTTGGTGGGGTTGGGATGGACCTACTATTCCGATAGCAGAGTCGTAATCTAGATCAACAGCCTGCCATTCAATTAGCAAGTGCCTGAACAAACGGAGTTTCTTATTACAATTCGTTCTGACATGCTGGCAGCTGTGAGAAGAGTCGTGGTGTTTGCAAAGTTTTGGGCGTTGGGGCGGGGAACAATGAGTTGATAATATAAGCAAATAAAGTTTCAAGCACATGATTTGCTGCAAGGGCGCGTGTCGCGCTACCCTGGAGGCTCTGTTTTTATCATCTCGTGAGCCATTTCTCTGCACATTCAGTGTGAACTCTCTTCAGGAATAAAGGAAGTTTGGTGTCATAAAATTTGGTTTCCTTTCTCTTTGCATTTGGTTTTCTTGTGTAAAAATATTATCAGTCACGGTCAACGACGGTGGTGAGAAGGGCGACTTCACCGCCCTAGGGCCGTGCCCAACATATCCAGTATACGGCATCCAGGTAACGTCGCCTAATACGCAAATACTCATAGTCACGGCTGATAGACCACTTTGATTCTATGAAGGATTATCTTTATATTTAGAAATCCATTACTGCAAGGCATAATAAAAGACACCATTCCATTATCGGTACGTGGCTGTCTTAGCTTCAGATCATACCCAAATCAGCCTAGTCAGTATTTTTCATTTCAGCTGAGCTCTCCGAAAACCCCTTTCGCAATTTTGAAATGTTTCGTGACACAGAGAAAATTATCGCGACTTCAGCATGGCAGACAATGGCAAGTCGCCAACCGACATCATCACCTATATCGGTGTGCCGTTGGCAGTCTTGGGAGGTATATCGCTATTCCCCACGTCTACCGCATGCCAAGCGACTAACTACCCCGGCAGTTCTCCCAATTCTGTACAACACGCTCTCCACGCTCATCTCGCTTTCCAAGATAAAGCGTATGCTGCGGCATAGCCGTCTGACAGCACTTACACGAAGTGATATCGTCAATAGAGTCATCGAGATAGAGCTTCCGCGCTATGCTGTCATGCCGCTGGACAGATTCCAGGATCGCTCGGAGTACTGGACTCTGTCGCGTCATCCCAGCTCTATACCTGGCGGTAGCTGGACCACCTTCAATTGGAAGACTCACTCAATTGGTATGAAGACTCAACGAGTTGAGTATGCTGATCAAGTACGACAACCTCAAGTCGAGGTAGCATTCGATGAGCTTGTTTGTTACCTTCTCGATCTTGGCGCTGTCCCGAATCCGCACGGATGGAAGTTACTGAGATCGTCTGGACTTTGGACACCTGTGGGATGTTGTTTGATGATGTCTCCCGAAGGTCGGCAAGACGCGCTGACAATCGCTCCGTCGAATGATTCCGATGGTAATCTCTCCTTGACTGTTGCCTGGTCTAGTTCTTGGATCACAAGAGATTATTCCAACTTGCCGCCATACTGGGTCCGATTGCCGTCACCACCTCAGAAAGACAATGCCAACAAGCCTGGAAGCGTGTCGGAGGTTCCAGAGCACTCAGCTCGGAACTCAGAGGACGGACTAACAACAGGGAAGGATCGGGAGGCTGACTCACGCCCAGGAACTAACCAAGCTTCCACACAGTCGAGTGCAATCACTTGTCAGATTTCCATGTCAGGACTTATCACTGCCCTCACCGAGCAGGACCATTATGGCGCCCAGACGACTCTGAACCTAGAAAGCCTCTACATCGACCATCTGCGAATTCAGCCTGCCAAATCCGACGGTGTCTGGTTTTCCAGCGCAGCCACCGCCTTTGGAACATCCAGTCAAACTATTCTATGGAACTATAAAACTCCAGACGATATCCTGTCCTTTGCACGGAAGGAGACTGTGCCCTGCGGAGTGTTGGTTGTTCTAGGCATCGTTGACGAATCTGAGACACCAACATGGGCAACCAGGCATGACGATCATGGAACAGACATTCACAAGTTTGCGCGAAAGTCTCAAGAACAACGGGCTGCGATAGCCGCAGAAGCACTATTGCCTCCTGCTCGGCGTCAAGCCGCAGCCCAGGCTCGGATGCAAAAGGAGAATCAGGAGCGGATGGATGAGAGTAAGTCAGCCCGATCGTATACAGCTCCTGGTCCATTGCTGACATGACACGCCATAGTGCGAGAGAGACTCAGAACAAGCCAGCTGAGACGCGACCAGCGCATGATGGAAGCCCTACGCAGCCCCAAGTGGGACACAAAGCTTGTTGCTGAGCATTGCCTACAATGGCTCCAAGGGAAAGGTCATTGGGATGACTCGCTTACTGTGAAGGATGTCGCCGGCTTCATGTTACATCGCATGGTTCTAGACGGGGAGTTCGCGGCCAATATTTGCCGGATGCTGGACAAGTGGAAGGCTTGGGCTGATGTCGGTGGTATGAAACAGTCTGACTACCAGGCAGTTCAAGATGATCAAGTTGACTTTGCACATGCGTCGTTATTAGTGGCTATGATTCGAGATACATCTACGGCTTTGGAGGGAACAGTGTCTATGGACCTACAGGAGTGCTTGAGGATGTGGAGAAAGGTTCGGCTTGGGTGATACGCATTGCAGATAGAAGGTTGTACCTAGTGTAGATGCTTGTTGACTTATTTCCTGTCACCAAGCCATTATAGGATCCAGCTTGTCAATCAACTCAGGAAACTCCACAATAACTGTTGCAAGAAGAATCACAGAAGGAGAGTCGCTGGTTTGGGCCCGGAAATGATTATTGCAAACTAAGGAGCGAACAAGCTAGCTAAAATCAAGATAACAAAGGAATCGAGCAGAAATGATCAACACTTCCAAGCTTCTGATCCCTGAGGATCATCGGCCGCATTGACAAGGCTAGTGTTGCGCTTAGGCAATAGTACCGTTGAGATCGATGGTGCCAGGAGGGAAGACAAAGCCAATGTTAGGATAGAAGAAGTTGCCGATGTAGACCTGGTTGCGGTAGATGCTAACATAGAAGTCAAGCTGTAACATGTCAGTATCGCGGCTGTGAGGTTGCGCCTTTGAGTACTTACACCCTTGACCCAAAGCTTGAAGGTGGCATTTCCGGGAGTGAGCTGGCTGAACTCATTGTAGTAGAGGGTACCGCTAAGATTACGGTTAGTTAACTTCGCTACAAGTGTAGCTCGCACTTACGCGTTCAGGGAACCACTCCAGGGGACATAGAAACCAGCACCAGAAGCAGAGAACTTCAACTCAAGAGTGCCAACTTCGAGAGCGATGGAGAGGTTAGTCTTGGTGATTTTGATGGTTCCGCTAGCAGAAGCCTGGTTCTTCCAGACCTGGTGATCGGGGCAGGAGTCGAATTGGATGAGGGACTCGAGGTGAGCTCGGCCACCAGGCTTGGCAACAACAGCAGAGGCAAGCTCCTGGATCTCTTGCTCAGTGGTGCTGCGAGCGTGACTGCCGGTGGTGACATAGGTTGCCAGAGCACTGAGGAGACTGTTGTCAATATTGGAGGAGCTGACGGACTGGATGGGCAGGCCCTGGGGCTGCTGCTGCTGCTGCTGAGGGAAGGCGAGAGTAGAAGCCATTGTGATGAGCTTGGAGTTTGTTGGAAGTGTGTTGGTTGTTGTTGTTGGTTCTTGAGGAGATCTGGTGAGTTTGATGAGGATGGTTTTGTGTTCCAGGTCGGGGAATCTTGCAGCTTTTATAGATTTTGTCACATGGCTCGAAGCTAGTGTTCGGGTCCTAAAGACACACTGGAAGTATCACAAAAGGATTGAGTGCACTGCCATCATAGAATCGCTCATCGCCGAGCGCTTAGATGACGGTGAAGCAATCCTCAGATGGTTTAGTCTGCATGCTCTGTCACTGCTGAAGACTTTCTGTCTTACTTTCAGCTGGCCGCTTCATGGGCCATAAGGGTATAATCTAACCGTGAAGGTCCAACGATCGTGTCATTGCAAGGTCGGGAGCAAATATTGCGGTGTTTCTAATCACACCGACGACACAAAAGCTTCCTGATGAAGCTGGAGGCTGAGGTGATATTGCCTTTAGCGCTTGTGAACAGGATTGCATGACGCTATGTCATGCTGCATACTTCTGGTGGCAAGCTGAATACACTATGGGCTCAAAGAACCTCACGATGATTCGAGTATAGTTGACGATGATCATGTCGGTGACATAAAGTCTGGACTCGCAATACATACTAATTGGGAGGTTAAGCGGTGCGGGCCGAGACCGCCACAACTGTTGAATTACGAATTGGAAATTGAAAGAGCAAATAGTTGATGTGGTTGGCAGTCGAGCAGGGGTTCTCAGCTCGGCGTTGAAGCTTACCTATACCGCTTTTGGGCGGAGATGTCTCAAACCATATGGCCATTTTCCAATTTGGATTGCGCCATCCCCCAGTATCGAATGGACTAAGCCTTTCTGAATTGAATAATATGCTCATCGAATTCGGCACTTCAATTGTAGTAGCAAATCACGCAAGCAGCCCGGGCTAGCTGTTATTTTTGAGGCCCTCCTAGCGCGCGTTCCGGAAGGCTGAGCAGGACCCCCAGGACAGTAGTCTTACTATTGAACTATTCTCTGCGGTATCGTCGGACCTGGCGGCTAATAGGACTTTGGTAACACTCCATGTTTTGAGGGGAACCTGGATGATTATATCCGCCAAAGACCCTCCTGGTTACTATACTGAGGCCGATATTCCGACCAATACGATTTGGAAAACCTCGGCTCTGGAATAGAGAGAAAGTCGGTCAACAATTTCAGCTATGCCACAGATTAATTTGGGTCCAGTGATCATGGTACATAGACTTTCTGTCTGGAGAGTAGAACAAGACGAGGAGCGAGGTGATGAATCTAAGCCCATACGAGCTTGAACAGAAGAGCTCAGGTTGTTCTTGTTTCTACCACCAATCGCCTCCAGAGCTCAGCTTCGCTTGCGTGTTCCATGTTTAGATTAGTCTTGCCCCTCCCAGGTTTACTAAGCTCATGCCTATGGTTGTCTTTACGAATATTGCTCGAGTTTTTCCTGCCGCTGACTGTCCGAGGAAGCCACAATCGCTATCCTTGGAGCGGTTTACAATTCTTGCAACTCGAGGTATTTGCTCAAGTCAGCATCGTTATTCTCTTATGGTGCTTTCCACTCGTCGAGTAGGGGAACTCTTATTCTAGAGATGGCCGAAGATACATGATAATGAATATCCTTATGTTATTGTATGTGTGAGGTCGAAGCGTTACCAGAAGCCCATGCATCGGGCATGAAGGGGAAGAACACATATGAATATTATGCACAAAAAGTGTACTGAGTTAGAAATTACAAGCTCGTCCTTGTGTAAGGGTTGTCAAGTTGCCACCGCCTATGAGATATTTCTAAAAGCATCCCCGAGAATCAACCCAGGGACATAAAATGTAAAAGGCTATTCGTCGAGGAAGCTAGACAATTTTAAGTTTCTGGCTGGGTCTCCTTGTTTAAATAGAAGGGTCAATCCATGATTTCTCATAAATTGAAGAAGTACTTCGCATTGAATTGGTTTGGCTCTTTTGTGTCGTCAGCGCTGAACAACTCCAGCTGCCTAGGCGCCTCACCAGTAATGAGCTACCCTGGATATACGGGAGGTCTTTTGGCTGTGATTTGCTCGTCGTAGTGCAAGCCATTCTGCGCAATTTAGCACTGTTGCAGCTGAAAAGCGACGCTATGCTTGTTTTGTCGAGATAATCTTACATGTCGTTGATCTGGTAAGCGGAGGATGTTTTGTTGCCCAGAAGGACGATGAGCCTCACCGCGGATGAACTGGACCAGTTCAACAATGCAGAAGCTGGTCAATCCTTAATAGAGAATTCGCGCCTTAATGCGCCATTGTTAGGGCGCACAATCCACGCATGAGTACAACTGCCTAGCATTAACGCTCAGAACTTCTAGAAATTAAGCACGAGTGCCGAAGGTCTTGGCAACGTTGAACCCGCTTGACCCGACAAATAATCTTTACACTAACAACGACCTTGAGCAGCTAAGACAAACCCACAGTCATAACAAAGTCAAAGCGTTTCCTCTTCACCAGTAAAAACACCAACGGACAAACGTTAAAGCCCTCCCCGCACCGGCATCTCCTTTCCCCCGCGAACCGTTCCCCCTTAGCGCAACCAGGATAACATCATCGAGCCCATTAGCGCGACCTCACTTGAATCATTCGCTCAAGCTGACTGGTTCAATGTGAGACAAGTCCTTTCGTCTTATCTCCCCTCCCCATCCCTTCCCTTCTCTTTTCCTTCCAAACTTATTCTTCTTCTTCTTCTTCTGGGCTCCAAGTGAGCCTACAGTGTTTGGCCATGCACGATGGAAGCGGATTATAGACCGAATGTCTATGCTTCTATCTTTATTACCCTGCCGCTTGCTGCGCTGGTGCTAGTGCTGAGATTGCTGGCGAGACGGACGACGCGGGCGGGTTATGGGATTGATGATTGGTTGGCGGTTGTTGCGTTTGTGCGTTATGCTTGACGTTTTGCCACTGAATGATCGCTGACAATTGATGCGCAGATTGGAGCTCTCGCGTACTCGATTGACAACCTAGTCTGTAAGAACATACCCACTCGAACTGCATCAATTGCGATAACTAAATTCGTCCTCAGTCCTTTTCGGCTTCGGACTCGGTCGCCCGCTAAAAGATGGCCCGTCGCATCTTACCGAAGAAGAACGACTCGAACGATCATACCTCCTCATTTGGCTGAGCAGCCTAACGTATACCATAGGCATCGGCTTCGCCAAATTCGCCATCTTAACATTTTATTGGCGACTCTTCAAATACTCTAGTTCGCGCATCGCAATCCAAGCTGTCCTCGTTCTCTGTGTCGCATGGTTCATCGTCCGAATACTCCTGTTGACACTGTCATGTATGCCGACGTCAGCCTACTGGGATCTCGCCCGACGAGCTACCCACTGCCATGTCACGAGCAATATTTATTTCTTCTCCACTGGTCTTACGCATGCTGTTCTGGATGTTGTTATTCTTGTTCTCCCTCTGATTGAAGTCATCAAAATGCATCTTCCGCTTGGTCAAAAGCTTGCTGTTATTGCCCTCTTTGGCTTTGGTGCTCTGTGTGTTCCCCGTGGTGATACCTCATTTCCTGGACTAACATGTCACCAGTGTTTGTGTTTTGTCGATTCTTGTCATCCATAATTCGTTCCAGTACAATGGCAGTTCAAAAGAAATCGCCCTCAAGATCGGTTATCACGGGTCTTTGGCTGCAGCAGAATGTAATCTCGCGAATGTTTCGGGTATATCACACCAACCCAATATTGCGAATCTCAATTGACGCCCTCTAGTTTCGCTACCAATGCTGCGACCCGTATTCCGAAAAATTGTCCCATCCTCATTTCTTGCTTCTCACAGAAGCAAGCGCGCAGTCGTCGACTCAGCATTATCACCAGAATACGGCATCAAGGGCAGTCGCGGCACTAAAGCATCAGTACAGAACGGCTCAAGTTCTGTGTGCGAATTTGTAATGAATGATGATATCCCAGCGGGATACGACATTGAGGCTTCACATGCTGGGTGGAGTTATGGGACAGAGATCACAATTTCCAGTCCGTGGAGACATCAAACGCCTCCACCGACAGTAAACGAGGGATTGGATGGGATACAAATATCAGAAGAAACGACAGTTCACGTTGAACGCATAGGGCCTTGTCCATAATCGGCTCAGTAAACGAATAAAATTAATATTGCTTCATTGATGTCATAACTCTTTGCAACGTGAGGCATCTCTTACTAGTATCTCAGACTACAGCTTTGAAGGAACATTCGATGTATCGCATCCGCAACTGTCGGAAGCCTCTGCCTTCTTGTTCTCAACAAGAGTGCTCTGGTTCACGCTCTGCTCGCTAGGTGGCACGTCCAGCGCAGGGTTCTTTGTGAAGAAGTTGACGGGCTTGAGATGCACCTTGAGAATCTCAACCGGCATGACAGGGAAGTCTTCGATGCGTGGGATGTGGTTGATACCGAATTGCACCCAAAGCACAATATCAGACTCCGGTGTCAGTGATTCATTCCTTTCTGCCCAAGTTCTCACGCCTGTGCCTCCACGAGACTGGTTGGTGTACCATCCTCCCGCGTACAGTTCGCGGTCGCGATGTGTGGTGACATAAATATTATGGTCTGCAAACTCAGCACGCTTATGCAGGAAGCTGTCTTCATCGCCCATGAGCTTCTGGAAAGGCGGTGCCATAATCTTGTAGCCCACGGGCTTGCCGTTGATAGGGTTGAGTGAGTTGGGGTTGGTGATCTTGTAGACCCGACTAAGGTCATAATCGATATCCAAACCAGCTGTCTTGTCAATGGTCTTCTCCACGACTTCGTAGCCAATACCATGAGGGTTCAGGTGAGGATCACGAGGTATTCTATGGGCTTCGCTGTATACCAGCTGATTCGTATGGCCGTCAATCATGGGATCAACTCGTAAGGAGAAGATATGCTGATGAACGCCAGCCAGGACACCAGGGTGTACAACGGTGCCAAATGGCACTCCTGTCTTGTCCAGCTCGTGGTCAATCGGCTGTGTAGACAGGATACCTGTGGCGCGGACTTCATATGTGACCTCTCCTGCTTGGTTGAACAGGAACATGAGGATATACTCATAGTTCGAAACCGTGATGATGGACTGCAAGACAAGCTCCCGTGCCCGTACAACAGCAGCTCTTCCGGTTCTGTAGTTGGTGTGCTTCCATCCAATACCAGCATCTTGCTCATGAATACAGATCACGTTCTCCATTGGCAACGGCCTTCCTTGATCGTCGCAGATCACACCACTGAGGTACTGAATGCTGCCTAAGCAATCACAGCCTAGCTTGAGGTTGTTTGCTGTAGCACCAGCACCGGCATCACCCAAGTCAAATGCTGACTTCTTGTGGAACGGGTGTCGTGGATCACCGTAGGGCACGCTCATGTCTGACAGGGATAGTCTGTAGAATAAGGGACGGTTGTCATACTTGACGTTGTACAACACCATGCCTTCGCGCTGATTGAAGCCTATTTATGTCAGCTGGAGATCATTGAGTAAGACAAGATCTTGGACGTACCGACGAAGAAGGTCCACTTCTGCCACGAGATAACGTTTCCAGTCTCACCAACCGGGGTCACATTGAAGCTTGGCCCTTCCGGCTGGCTTACGTGCAGCGGCTTGAGATCCTTTCGGAGCTCTTGTGCTTCGGGGATATACTCATTCGCTGGCTTGGGTTGATAAGGTGCCAATGGCTTAATAGTGTTATCAGCGCCAGTAGGAAGTACATCAATCCGAATGACTTTGTAGTTAACACATTCAATGACCGGCGATACAGGCAAAGGGAATGCGTAGTGGTTGGAATCAGCTTCGCCAGAGTTTGCGGGGTCTCGCATGTACAGGAAGATCTGGTACATACGGACATCATCCTCAACTCCGTCGGACCCTATGCATGTCAATTCTTACTCCATCTCACCACGTATTAATGGGCTTACCGTAGATCCAGGGATCCGCACAGACAACGGTCCCCTCCGGCAACTTTAGCTTCTCGAGCTCAGCCAAGACCTGCGGGTCCTCAAGTGCAAGCTTCTCAACTCTCTGAGCCTCATCATAGTCAACGTTCCCGTGAACATTCGGTCCAAGCTTCACATTGCTCTCGATCCTGCCAGTGGTCAAGTTGACTATAGCTTCATGGAAAATATCCTGTGACGGTCAGATCATGCATGATGACAAAGTGGGGGCCAACTCACCGTTCCACGGATATAATATGCAACAAAAGCCAAACGTTCAAGCGGCGAAGGGGAAGTTCCGTTATCGAACGCTTCCAAATACGGTGCAAGCTTCTCCTTAGGTGGCTCGCTGAGCGTTATAACCTTAAAAGATAGCGAGACAGACTGTGGCCAAACACTCTCGATCAAGCGTGCACTAGCCTGAATCTCATTGCCCGTCAGTGGGCAAAGCGGGTGGGGAGCAGAAGACATGTTTATAATGCCAGTGATCTTAGAACCGTTGTTAATCGGATGAAAATAATGATTGACGAAGTTGCTAACTATTTATCATTAATGCTGGATCTGATCGTCTTGGTGCGGAGTTGATGATTCACCCATTCCTCCCCACCACGATTCTCCAAAAATTGCTGCGTTGGGAAGTTGTACCCATTCAACGGCTAGGATGCACTTTCTGTATGTGGGAAAGCGTCCTGCAGGATTGAGAATGACTGATGATAAGATGCGTTTCGGGGAAAGATCGTCTTTGCTTGTCCCGCTTATCTTAGTTGAGATATGCTCGGTTCCGCCATCGTGGGAAATAACATCTGCGATAAGCTACGATCACTCGAAGGGCGGAGCTAAAGCGCGTAATTAGATATCATTGGTGGTTATAAAGCCCTATCTAGAGAGAAGCTCGTGTTCTACTCCATTCCGCTTGACGGGCTATGTTCCGCCTAGAGTAAGTCCGCTGGCCATGGAAATTCAGGGTTGCACTTCTGCTGCAAAACAACACTTCCCTCTGGGAACTCTTTCTTAGTTCCGTCTTCAAGATCAATAGGCTCTGCGTTGCTTGGAATTGTCCAAGAGCTGACCAACCCAATTGACTCGGCAACATCGTCCTTCAGCCTAGCCACCTTCTCCGGAGGAGGGAGAAATTATTCAACAGCTCAGGATTGTTGCTCTCTTCAAATTCTCCAGGTTCAGCAATAACCCAAGCATCTTGCTCCCATTGCTGCTGTTCAAAGTCCAAGCCACCGCAGTCATTCAACTCGGATTGATGAAAGTCGTTGGTGAGGGGTAGATCCACCGTGCAATTGTCAAGATCTTCACCAATGCTCGAATTGGCGATGGCGTAGTTTATGTGAGAGACAGCCAAAGCCTCCGTCTGAGTGAAGATCTTGAAAACAACATCTGTGCTCTCAGCCTCCCCGTCTTCGACTTGGTCTTCTTCAGCGAACTGGTCAATGTACCAGACTGCGCCTCTGCTGTTGGCTTCATCATCAACGACGATAAGTGGATCTTTGTTTCCGGCTTCAGTTTCTTTTGCGCGAATGTATTGATGCGATTTGCCTAGATAATCTTTTGGTGCGTGGAGAATCTTGAGCTGCATGAGAGGAGCGAATTTGGAGCATGCGCCCAGCTCAAAAGCTGCCTTGAAGGCTTTCAGCTCGTCATCTGTGAATGGAGTGGCGAGATAGCATTTGAGGCAATCGCCATGTTGACTAGGCGATAGATAAACCATTTTCGCGATTATTATTAGTGCGATGTTATGTCAAAGGTTCATTGTTTTAGAAGCAAAAGAGAATCCGACATTTTTATACAGCATTTTGGGTTCAGTGTTGGGATCCGAATCCTAGCCATTAGAACAGGCAGTGCAAGCGCTAAAGCGAGGTCTGCCTAGAATAGGGGAATGATGATGTAGGATCTGCGGCACGGTCACGTATTCAATATTACCCGGAGGTTATTGGTCTCACTTATCGCATTTGAGAATTTGAGCATGTTCTATTCAATTGCGACTAGATAATTAATTGGCTTAATAGCATATCTAGGCAAAGGTTCCGGGCTGAGGACCAAAAATCGTTCCATTGGGAACTTTGAGTCTGGTGCAGGTCTCAGCTTCACAGCCACTGTCTGCACTGTTGCCGATCCAATTGATGGACGCGCCGTGGTAGCTCACAGCGAAAAAGATGACCACCGCAGCGAGAGCGATGCCAGTCTGCCAAGCTGCAGAAAGGACATAGTTGTACTTTCCCCAGAACTGAAGGTATCTCTTTCGGACGATGACCCAAGAGATCCAGCCTGGAATGACAGCCGGCCAGACATAGGCCAGGTTGTAGGGAGACCAGATGTGACCACCGCTGAAGATAACGACGGGATGAAGCTTTGTCAGCCAGTGCGTCTTGGGGAGGTTGCGAGTCGCGTAGTAGTAGATAACGGGGAAGGCCAATCCAACTGGAAACGCAGCGAGGAGAGCTGTGTACATGCCTCCTTCACTAAACACCCTTTGAGGGGCAAGAGAGCCAAAGAGCACGGCAGCGGTGAAGTAAGACTCAACGCCAGGACAAGTGAAGCGATCCTTTTGGGTAGGCTGGCAGATTTCGGGGATGTTGCGGATCTGGAAATTCATCACTGCGGTGCAAACAAAGGCGGAGACAACAGCTATTGAAGGTCAGTTGAGTTGAGCTGTAAATACTGGTGGTGAGACTTACTGGCCACAGTCTGGCACCAGAAGGTCTGTCGCTGAGGAATCTTGAGGTAGTGACCGAGCTTCAGATCGTTGGCGAAATCGAGGGCGTGGGCGACTGTCACATATCCAAAGCCTTTGAAGAAGTTCATCTACTAATGTTAGATGCAAATATTAGAGTCTTGTTGTTCGGATACTTACAGCCAAGGCATTACCAGGCTGCCATGCTCCTCCAATAAACTCAGCAAGGACATTGAACTCAACTTCGATGCCAGTAGTGGCAAAAATGATTCCAGTAGGAATAGTGAAGAGGATCGCAAGAGCAAGGCCAAAGAAGACGGTGCCGACACTGGTGTTGGTGGGCCAGGCTGCTACAGAAGCAATGCCGAAAGCAACACCAACAATCTATATCGCATTAGTCAATGCCACTATGCTTCTCTAAATAACTTACGTTGAGTATCAAGTACCACCACTCTGGAACCTCTTTGTACTGCTCCATTAGCTTTGTATGAACATCCTTGAACTCGTTGATCTTGCTGTTCTTCTTGAAGCTTTCCCAAAGTGACACGAAACCAAGCTTGATGTCGTTCCAGTGGTAAAGAGCGGCATAGGAGATGATCGCACTATAAACGGCAAAGAAGTAGATGCTATTCTTGTCAGTAACATGTGCGTTACCAGCCAAAGGGAGAAGCTTACTAGTACGTGATAGATGAAGCTGCGATGTAGACCTGGCTGTAAGCCTGATACTTCTCTGCATCCAGTAATCCACGATCATCCAAGATAGAAGATACGTTGTACTTGGCGCCCGTGTTATCGAACATGGTATTTGTGTTAATAGGAAGGTATCCAGTGTTGTAGGTGTTGTTCCAGTACATGGCGATGATAGTAATTCCACCCAACAAGGCACCGAGGAACATGTTGACCGTGACATGGAAGGGAACCAAAAGAGGGTCGATATAGTAAGTGGCAATGTTCCAGTCAAAGGTTGGAAGAGGGTTGAATCCAAGGCCCTTAGATACACCGGTGATGGCTGTAAGGGTGAAATTATTGGGTGAGATCCACGCAAGCCAGTTGAAGAGGGACAGTGCTGTAGCGATGAGGTCGGGGAACCAGAACCAGACGAACATGGCGGCGAAGGAGAGCATGAAGAAGCGGTATCGGGACATGGTATACATTTTCTTGAAGGGACCAAGCACGCTTGCGTTTCCAGATTCTTCGGCGGTCAGTCAACTTGGCACACTAGATATGCGGCTTCTGAGGACTTACCATTGTGTAGACTCTGATTGAGGGCGATGGTTGCGAGGGAGCGAGGCCAGATACAGAAGGATGGGTAGACTAGGAATCGTCGCGCCAACCCAGCAAGACCGAAGCCTAGCAAGTTCATCGCCAGCTATTACGGTTAGTAAAACTCAGTGAGAGCTATTTCGCAGTTCTACTCACCGAGAGGCAGATCTGAAAGCCAAAATCGGCAGCAAATGGCAAATCAAAGTACTTCTTCAACCAACTGGTGAAAATGATGTATCGCGAATGAGGCAAACTCGTCGAGACATTCGCCATGATTGAGATCAGCATGTGCTCCTTTTGGTTGAACTTTCCAGGATTGAGCTGTAGCGTTTGGCCAAACAACGTGAAGTCGCCGACTGGAAGCCATTTCTCCCAAGCTTTACCCAGCGGAAACGAGAGGAGCTGAATGACTGGGGCTTGAAGTCGGATAGTGGGTTGTCGTACTGAGAACAGCTGATTCACAAAGCTCTGCACGATCACGAAGAACAAACCAATGGTCCAGGCTCGGATGGTTCCCGCTGGTGTCGATGGGTCGTCCTTGTTGCTTACTACAGCGCGGACTTCCGCGTAGGGTGAATTGATAGTGACGAGTGAAATCTCGGTCTTGATGTCTGAGATGATATCTTCATGTTTGTGAGGATTGGCGAAGATATCTTCGTTACTGAGGAATGCTTGAATACGCATGATAGCCTCTGAGCTGAAGTTGGGGTCATGTTCATGAAGGTAGATCAAGTTTTCAGCGCGCTGGATCGATGTTAGGGAATATCAACGATCAATATTCGGTATTCTCACCCTTCTCGTCTCATCCAAGTCCATCGTACGCGCATGCTCCTCTGCTTCGATGATTTCCTCGGGCGTAGCACCCAAGATCTGCGCTCTTCCGTTCATGGACTCATCCTTGAGGGATCCAGTAGAGGCAACATCCGCTCGCTTGTCTGTCGCTTGGATGTCACTATCTGTGACGGCCTTCTCCGAATTAGAGGTCATGCTTGTGTTAGATTGTGATGGATCGGTAGATGCGCCTTGAAAGACGGAAAATTGGGAAACCATCTTATAAAAGGCGTTGTTGCAGACCCGTTCGGACGAGGCCGATCACGACCCAGTTGTCTTGCAGCACGTTTTTCTTGGCGAGTGTTCTCGATGGAGTAATTGCGCACGACAATCGTCTATACTTGCGGACTTGATGCCTGCGTTTGTTCTGGTAAGGTCGTATGGGGCCGTGTGGGTTGTCGGGCCGGCGATGGAACCTTTCGGGGCAGCTAAGAGATACGATTGATAAGAGTATCCAGATGTTCAGGGTTTGTTTGCGAAGAACTTTTTCGGAGTCGATTTTTTCCCCCAGATCGTAGACATCAATCTCAAAGATTGTTGATGCAAGAGAGAAAGGCACGTACGTATCATCGATGTTTGTCGCCCTCCAGTACAAGAGGGTTTTCGTATTGATACACAAAGCATTGCAACACGATCTCGTGGCGTGAACTGCCACTGGACTTGGTGAACATCAGCCACATGAAAGCTTTTTCCCGTGTGGATTACCTATCAGGGATCAATGGGAAACGACATGGCGAACTCGAATTGCGTGCTTGCAAAGTGGATGCGTATCATTTTCGGGCCGCAATATTTCTCCATCGTATAAACTTTTTAAACCATCGCGCCTTCGCATCCTTGTTGTGAGCGATCGGTTTCGGTTTTTCTTTTACGTATATCCTTGCACTGGGGTACAAGCTCAAAAGGATGTGTTCTGGGCTACGCAACCAAAAGCCAGCAAGAGAACTTAAACTGAGCAATGCTACTTGATATCCCATTCCTTCCAAATGGTGCTCAACCACTCCTTGATCTTGACTCTTTGTCCCCCAACATGCCGACCATCAACAATTTCGCCTCCCATCATGACAGTGCCATCCCTTAGCCCTGTGCTTTCTCTCAAGTTCCACCGCGGAACATGAAGCCACTTGTGGCCTGCATCACAAGCCAACATCTTCGATGTGCCTTGCTGAAGCAGCGGTAAACAGTTTTGACAAAAGGGAGTGTCCCAGCAGTATTTACAGATGTTGATGTCAGTCTCGAAATCCCAGGCCCCTCCGCAATTCCCGTTGCAGAAGTATCGCCAGTTGATCACAATATCGCTGTAAGTGATCTCATACGGCTGGTTTGGCCCATCTCCATCTTCCGTAGCCGGTCGTTTCTGGGCCAGGAGCGAGTAAAGCCTTTGGTAGGTCTCATTAGTTATGGTTTTCTCGCTTTCTACATTGCCCAGGTCCATTCGCCGCTGTAACTCGTCAAGGACAGCCGTGTACCTGGTAGGAGCGGCATCATTCGGTGAGAGCTTCTCTTTGGCAAACTCAAGAATCTCCGTTGCGGCGGCTTTATCCTCACCCCGAATCTCACCAAGCCTCATTTCTATCGTCTTTTCTATCGGCCCTGTAAGCTCGAAGGCTATGAGAGCATTTGTGTCGTCTCCAGTATGAAGTAGACACTGGAACAAGACGAAATACGCATCTGCATCATTCTCATCCGTGTCGTCAGATAGCATCTCATGAGCTGTAAGCATGTTCTTGCGGAAGTGCGCTCTTGCTGCGGTGAAATTTCCTTGTAGGGTTTCGTAGGCTCCCATGTAAGACTCAGCTGGAGATACCCGGTTGTCTTCGTACGAGATTCGATGACCGATAGTGATTTCACCAAGCTTTTCCAATGCGGAAGCCTCAGTGTTTGCTGCCGTTGCTTCTTTGAAATAATGGCAGACTATATCACTAATAACCTGGCCACCCAACCACATCCATTTCCACTGTACGTAGGTGCCAGTTTCTTCAATCACTTTCCTCGCATCAGAGTGGCATTCCTCCCAGATTCTTACCGCAGACGTTAGCGGATTCTCATCGGCTTCGTTGCCATAGTAATAGAGTGCAAGGCCCTTATAGAGTCGAAGGGCGCTTCTTTCGAATAAGAGCTCTTTGTCAGCTGCGAGCTGAATGGCTTCGTCCATGGCACTCAGAACCATCCCTAACATCCCATGACGAGAGGAAGTTAACGAGAGAAGACTGGTGAAGTACCTCTCGTAAGTATCTTCATCCGTTGCCATGAGTAGAAGTGCAGAACCCAGGAGACTTGTACCGCCGTTTGTAGACGTCTCATGACTCATGGTTTCAATAAGGTCCAATGTACGCCCATTAGACTGCGATGTAAGGTTGGCTTCCAGTATGCGGCAATATGCCTCGTCAGCTGGCTTGGCCTCTAGAGCCTTTTCGTAGTATACGGTTGCTTGGTCCGGCTCCTTTAGTTCGAAGTACCATTTTCCAAGATCCATATTCGTTACCCAAATGTCGTGAGGATGATGTTCCTTCAATTCGTAGAGAATTTCCAACGCTTTCTTCTGTGATACACAGGCGTCGTTCAATTTTCCGGCTTGGTGGTAAGAGTGTGCTAGACCTCTGTGACATGTCCATGACGCTCCAGGCATCTTGGTTGCCTTCAAGAACATCGCAATCGCATGGTCAAACTCATCAACTTTTCTGGCAGTTTCCCCAACTCTCTCGTACCATAAGGATTGCTCGTCTGTAACTTGAAGTATACTCTTGCACCATCGTTCTGCCTTATCAAGGGCCAGAGACTCTTCATCTGTGCTCAAAATCACGAGCGAATCGTCAGACGCATCTGATGCTCCCTCGGAAACTTCCTGGGATAGCGTTAGTCATGTATAAACAGATATATTCATGAATAAGGGATCATTCTAGACTTACCAATGAAAGATACCGTCTGAGAGACCGATATGCTTCCCAGGGATCATTCTCACTGCTCCTGAGCCATCTGTGGCCAACTTCACGGGCCATAGAGGATAGTAAAGTACGGTGCGGGCTCGGGCTTGAGATCACCTTATCCAGCCAATCCATTTGGTATACCCCGAAATGGCCACTAACATCAGGATCCTGCAGCCATGCCAGAAGTGTCGAGATTTGCGTCGTGTTACCGAACAGAGGCACGTCAACGAAATGTTTCCAATGCCTCCTGATGATGGTTCCTTGACCGAGGATGTCGAAAAGCATGCTGCCAATGTCTTTCTTTGCTGCATTATCGACCTTGTGATCACGCTCGGGGTTGTTCAATTCCTTCAAATGAATAGGAAGATTCCAGACCAGATATCTTCCCAGGCTTTCAGTTCTAGCATCTGGCTTCTTTATCAGGAAGCTTATGGCTTGCATCACTATGGCTAAGTGTGCATCGGAGTCGTTCACCCTGATTTCGCTCTTGGTCTGAGTAATCTGTCCAGCTAGTGGCTCAAACTCGAACTTCTCAACCACTGACTTCTGGAACAGTGCCCACAAGAAGTTCTGCACAGTTGTAATGTCGCCCTTTGTGATGGTGATGGTAGCTGTTATCCTTGGGGTATCGTCATCGAGGGATCGTAGCTGCTTGGGATCCTTGATCACCAGGGATAAGAGATCACGACGTACGGTGATCACTTGCCCATCGACTTCAAAAAGTCTGGAATACTTCCCCTGTAGTTTCTTCGCCAGCTTCTGAAGTGGAGTTGATCCAAACCGAAGGAACTTGTTAGTTAGCACCCATGTCTTCAGAAATTTCAGATGGCAAACTCACCAGCGCTGCCTCCAGTTGGTCGACGCAAAGCCATTCAAAACCATAGACTACCCAGATCAACAGTTCATTTATCTCCTCGATATTCTGTGGGGATAGTTGCTCTTGAAGCTCTGCAACAACATTTTTCGAAATCGCCTCCCTGCCCCAGTCCGACTCTGTCAACAGATCATCTAGTTCCGATTCCTGTCCGCCTGAATCTACCAGGTCCTTGATTCTATCTAGTGTTGACTGGACTTTGAAGAAACTTCCGCCCGCCATCTCTAGTAGTTTATCGTTGATTTTCTTCCGGCTTGCTTCGTCCTTCGAGTCATTGCCTTGAAAGATATCATATTTGCGCATCTCCCTCTTGATATACGATTCAATGTCTGAACCGTTGGATTTCGCTATGTTGATTGTTGGTGATTCGAACCCTCCGAGTACCTTGATTGCGTCACCACTGCCACTAACCAGAAGCCGAATCCTGCTCCCTTCACTTTCTGTAGCAGATGAGTGACTAGCCTCTTTGAGGACGTCAAAGAACTGTGTACCAGCATCGGCATGCATCTTCGATAGTTTTTCGACCCCGTCGAATATGAAGTAGTACATCGTATCTCCACGTGGCTGTCCCAGCTTCAGGTCCTTCCACAGCGATTCACAGCTCACGTCTGTGAAGTAAGTACCATTGTCTTTCTCTTCACAGATGGAAGCTATACTCTTGGCAAGCGCCATATCTTGCTCAGCTAGTTGTAAAGCAATATGTTTCAGAGCTGTTCGAGCTGGAGTCGGATCACCCTTATCAGCTTTATCTGATAGTGAAGGGAAGAAATACCAGGCTAGGAGAACCCTGGAGGACCGTTCTGTCGATGTCTTGTATCTAGCTTTGAGCTTCTGGACAATCGTTGAGACCGTTGTAGATCTCCCGGTATTCTTCTCGCCGAGGAGCAGTAGTAGAGGTCGCGCTTTGGCGGCATCCGCATCAGCCCAAGAAGTATACGCTTCCTCGTCGTCAAGCCAGCTCCCGCTATTCTCGACCCTGGAATCGCATAGTCTCTTAAACATTTCTTTGTTTGTTTCGAGCTCCTTTTCATCAATACCAAGCTTTTCTTTTATCTTAGACAAGTTTGCCTTTTTCGTCGTGTCCTGTGCTCGCTTGGTCTCTGCCTGCTGTAACGTGGTGATTTTGCTGGCAATCTCTTCGGTCCACTTTCCAGTCTCGAAGACCTTTGCGAGAATAATCGATACTTCATGTCTGCTTTCCAGAGCTACTTCTAGTGTCAAAGTCGCCTCGATGGACTGTTGGCCATGGATGGCCTGTCTAAACTTCCTCAATTCAATGCTGAGCCCCGAATCATCGTCTAGCAGTGCCTTCTTGACATTGGACTTGAACTTGCTCCATTTGCTATTGGGGTCTTGAAGTGTTATGACCAAGGCGCAAATATCAACTAGACTGATCATGGTGATATGAATTGCACGAGTCAAGTCGGTGTCAATTTTTCTGAACTGCTCGATCCGTTCGTAAATCCTAAATTGACTCAGGGAGGGTGCCACGACGGCGAAGACCTCATCAATTGCTTCATGGAATTCGCGTATCTTTTTAGGGGCTTCAAGAAGGATACTCATGGCATTAAACACCACAGTTGCCGGTTGGAAAACCTGTTCAGGTGTCAATGGCTCGAAGGCTCAATCGGATCGAAGCATGGTTACCACGCTGGCACCTTGTGCAGCTATACCGCCAAGGAGTTTCAGACAGTCAAGGATATTCAGACCTATGTCCTTTTTGTGTTTTAGCGCATTTGCGGTGTCAATACCTGTAGTAGGATCTGTTCGCGATTCTATCTGTTTTCGTACGTCGTCAATTGTCATTGGAGGCTTTCGGTTCAGGCCTTTTCCGGTACGAGCCAGAAATCGCTCAGCTGCTTCATCCCATAACTGTTCCATGGTTAAATCTTCCGTGCCTGATGAAGCCATGATGCAGGATGATAATTGAAGGGCTTCAACAACTTAAGGGGTGAAAGCCAAGAGTTAAAAGCAGCGGGTAAAGAAAATAGAGTTGTAGATGCTTCTTGAACAAAGGACTGTCATCTATGCAAGGTCTTTAACAGATTGACCCGAAATATCAGATCAAGCTGCCCCCGACTTGCATGGTTGTATTATCGGTTTATGTTATGAGGGAAATTTCGTGCCTTTATTAGCCTCAAAGCCCCCAACCAACGGTCTTGCGAGCTCCCACGCAGCCAGAGGGTGGTCAGACTTCTCGATTTCGGTTGGATACATTCAGCTCAAACCAGGAACTATGCTGCACCTGATAAGGAGTTATTACGCAAAATAGTGACAGCCTGGTTCGGCTTACCTGAACGGGTAGTCTGAGCCGTCAGCTGACTGTCTTGTTCCCTGTAGGTGCATGACTTCGCGAAAGTTGTTACTGGGGAGTTGAAAACGTAATCTTAGGCGTCCAGTTCGATATTTTTCACGCCTCTCATTTTTGGGCTCTCTGGAAAGTGAAAACTATTGCACAAATGCTTGATATACATAACAAGGCCTTGCAATCATAGCAATCAGCATGGCCTGGAGATCAAGCCATATGTAGCGTATAGGAGACAGAGCGAACATATCCTGCATCGAAATTCCCTCACCAGAGTAGATAAATCTTAGAAGAGTTGGTTCATGGAGACTTGGACTGATTTCACAACTGTTGAGTGGAGTCGAATGCAGTTTTCCGACCGCCATTCGTTTGATCCAAGTCGGCTGTAGATGTTGTACGAATAAAAGTTCAATTCCAATTCATAACTGTGACTGAGGTATCTGCGCTAAATCCAATATGATAACAAATAACCGAGAACGCCATTTTGACACAAAACTTCAGTAGCCAGCCGAGTCTCACAAAATGCCTTCCCAATCCTGCGCCGGGGTATAGAAACCATGCCTCATCACTCACAGATCCCGGTGGCATGTATAACGTCGAGATCAAGTTGAAGAAAACGAAACATTAAAAAGATATCACACTTGACGTTAGAAAAAAAGTTTAAGCCGTGCTAAACTCATGCTCATGCATGGCGGGAACATGAACACGGTTCAAGATTTAAGAATATTGCGACATTCGCGCGATGTCTCTTTGACGACGAAATGATCGGCTTCGAGCTTCGCGTTTGGCATAGAGAAGACCGCAGACGTTGCAGAGAGTATGAGACCCGAAAGGGCCTTCTCGCCACATTGGAGTCTCTTTGATGAAGCATGATGTGCAGCATGGAGTTGGCTCATGTAATCTTGGTGACTTCTGCGTATCTCGTTAGAAAGAAAAAGACATTCTGGTGGAAATGAGTGACATACCGAATGTCGCCTCAGCCTGTTACGCCACGTGCGGGCTTCATAGGTATCCTTGAGACTGGCTTTAGTAGACCTCGACCGGATTGAACGTGCTGACGCGGCGGGTGATCTGAGAGATGAAGTGCGCGAAGCAACCTTTAACTGGAGATGAGTATCTCTCTCTGGCTTCGCAGCCAAAGGACTCGGAATAGCTGCATTTTGAAACAAAGCGACCTCACAAAGAGGTAGGCCATTACGTTGGACGTCCTGGATGCTAGGTCGGATCTGGAAGAGGTTAGTCTGTGTCACCGGCAACGGGTCAGCAAAGACGCGTAGAGGGAACTCACGTGTCGAGGCGATTTTCTCAGCGAAAGTAAGGAACATCGTCGGGGCGGGAAAAAGCTAGGTTCAGGGAGATCAACGGGACAAGGATGGTGAGCACGATCTCTTCGCCGCCGAATTGGCTTTGCCGTTTTGGCGAGTGTCTGCTGTCGGTGTTTCATGGTGGAACAGGAACTGGACACATTTGAAAGGGGGCAGTTGAGAGGGGAAGTCCGATCTTGAGACTGAAGGGAGAAGTTAGGAATCGAGGCGGTACTAATACCCCTCTGAGGCGCTTGCTAAAGTTAGAGCGAAGATTGCCCCAGAGGAACCCTTGTAGATCACTACGCGATTGGGTCTGGACTGTGCAGAGACCCTGATTCAGGGTCCATCCGCGGATCCGGAGGCAACCTACCGAGTGGCCTCATGGGCCATTGAGAATCACCAACAAGACTGCATTTCATAACGGGGAAAAGGAAATCCGATGTTTCTCAGCATCCAATTCATTCAACGCTCCATTTAAACTTTGGCCAACAGTCTATCACACTGTTCTCTCAACTGTTCAGGAGTCGCCCACTCCCTTGTTTACCTTTGCTTTTTCCTCTCAAACCTTGAGACGTCTCACCCGCTCGGACACTGTCCCTCGCAGCAACCTGGCGTGACAGTAAGCCCGTTTCCACAGTTCCTTGCATGGCGCCTTGGCCTCTGTGCCGTGTCTGTCTACGATTGATAGATAAGACTGGTCCCCCGTCCTGCTTGCAACATTGATTAGAAACGATTTCGTCTCAAAGAGTTGCAACCCTCGTTTACCGACGCGTAAGCCACGGCGCGTTACTCCTCGTACCTATTACACCCTAAACACAGGACAAAATGGGCGGATGACCTGTCTGGTGTGTGGTACAGTGTAATCTTTGCCGCAGGTCGCTTGCGCCGAGGATCAGATGGTTTGTTCTCACTGTGTCGACCTCCCCCCGCTCTAGAGTCGGCATTTGAGCTGAAAGAAGCTCCCGTCAGCCAATTGAGGGGTAAAAAGTCAGATGTTAGAGTTACCCTGAACTCCGCACCTCTCCGGAATCCGCTAAGATGAGGTAATGCTAATGTTGAACGGGACTGGCGATGCGACGTCGTACTGTAGGACGGTAGCAAATGGAAATTTAAAAGATCGGAGGACGACTACGGAGGTGATGTGAAAGGTGTGATTGGTTATGTTTTCTGATGCGATTTTGACATCACGGTCGCTGTTGGGAGGGACCTTTGTTAATGAGCTGCCAAACAGTTCGCGATTGGATGCAATTATTATTTTGACAACGCTCCTCTTCTGCTATTACCGGAAAAAATTGCTGAAATGGGTTTAGTATTTTCTTTAAACTTTATTTGCTCCGAATACTCCTGATATGTTGCCTGGTTTCCTGATCTCCAATGCGTCATCAGTTTCTTTCATGATTATGACGCTCGAACGCTGCAATAAAAAAATGTGAATGTTTCCTCTCCTGCCCATGCATGCCGTGCCTTTCCAAATGCACTTGCCAAGAGTGAGGGGCAGTGAGGTATCATTGGGGGCCGCTTGGCAGGGTATAAGAGTATATGAGGTTGAATGATCATCGCAGTCCTGCTGAATGAGAATCCTCCGTTGAGACCTTTGTAGACCACGACGATGCGTCAGAAACAGAGTCGCACCCAAACTCCCTCTCCAGTAAGAACGACCGGGCCTTTTTCTCCCTCTTAGCGTACAGCAATCCACAGACGTTGCAGAGGGTACGACGTCCTGATGGTCCAGACCTCCATTTCGGCGTCTCGGTTACATGACAGAACTCGCAAGACCTTGTATGATCCGGCGCCTTGGGTGCTTTGTGTTCCCGCGCGCAGGGACAGGAAATAGTAGCCTGTCGCGACGGTGATCGGCGCGTGGTGGAGTGGTGCTTGTGCTTACTCCGCCAACCCTCGGGACTCTTGTACTTCCGCTTGGAGCTGCTCTTCCGCGGCGGCTCTACAACCTCTGGCTCTGCGGTTTCAATACTACGCGCATATTGGCATGGCATGATCTTAAACCTTGGCTTGAAAGCTTTTCGATCCTTAGAGAGCGTGGACGGGATCGTCGCGGTCTGGAATAAGGGGACTTCGCAAAGCGGCCGGCCGAAACGCTCGGGATCGAATTGGAAATTCTGGATCACGTGAGTAAATACATTTTGCGCAGAACATGTAAGTTACCCACGTCCTGCTTGGTCGTAAGAGTTGTTACGGGAATGAGAGAGTTATGCAGAGTGCAGGACATTGTGGTATTTTTAATCTGGTCCACAGCCTTTACGGCCCCAAAGGGAGGCTTTTTTGGAGTTTCGATCTCAAGGGGAAGCTTTTTTTGCAGGCATCGTGAATTTCTATATAATCACTCCAGCGATCGGAAAACTGACGTTGATATGATGTAATCTTTAACGCACAACGTCCCGAGAACCTTGACGGGGCATTTACCCCAAATGGCTTAGCTGTGCGGGTTCCCCTGACTGTTTGTTCGGAGCGAGCTGGCTTTAACGGTTTAGTGTTTTGTGACAGGATGCTTGGCGTGTTGGTTATCTGTTCTTTGGTGTCGTATGATGGGATTCGTGTATCATTCTCGTCAGAATCCTATGACATGTTGAAGGACAATGCAAATTCCCTTTAGGTTATCCCCATGGAGAACTTTTGCACTAGGTATTCAGGTATTTGGTGTGTTATGATGTGCATTCGCGTGGGACGAGAATAGTTCCATTTTGTTGTGGATCGAGGGGTTAAAAAATTGTACCCAGTCAGGTTGTTCCTTCATGCGTACTCCACGCACATGATCAGCAGAAAACGATGCAGAAATAGAAGCAGCCTCTGATGACTTAGAATTCTCTCTAATTCTAATTATTCTCTTTATTTCTTTTTCTCCTTTCTATATTTCTTTCTTTTTGATCATCGAAAAGTGACAACTGGTGTCGAGAGATGAACGGTGGGGCCCAAGAAGTCAAACTCTGTTGCCTGTCTGTGTGTCACAGCGGGGAGCAAATGCTCCGAGGCAATCAGCAGCTTTTTTTGGTTGGTGGTCTTGTTTTCGCATACAAATGATTGGCTTGCCAGCCAGACCCACAGTTCAACCCTACCCTGTAATGATCAACTCACGATGGGAGGAAAATTGACTTGAGCTCCTGGTGAAGAGAGAAATGGTCACTAAGTCTTCACGTCAACGCTGAGGATTTAATAATTCTATGCATATGTCGCAGGGCAGCGTACGTACTGAGTCAGTAGGTCGGTTCTCGGCCAGAGAGATAGGCACCGCCAAATAAGAATAACACCTTAAAGAACAACATCTTAAAACAATGTTTTACCCGATTAAACTCCATGCCTAGGTTTGACAGTTGTGGCGTGCAAAAGAAACCGGTCCAGGAAAGGCAAGATCATAGAATTAGCATACATTTGAGAATCAGTACGTTGATCTTTGGCGACGCGCTTTAACATGAACAACAAAATATCTGTGACCGATTCTTGATCCAAAGAGCATTAGAATCAGTAAAAATTAAAAGGTGCAAACTGAGTGCCATCACCTTGCTGGGCTCTCTATAAGTTATGTTGGCCGGGACAGCCACTGTTCCGGCGAAAACAACTGAAAACAATATGATCTGTTGTCCTACTTCTCCCAAACACGATTGGGGTAGAACTGGCACTCAGTTGAACTCAAATTACACACGATGGCTCTTTGCGTCCCGTTGGATTTAGCCTCCAAGGTGAATTTTAAGATGATGCCCGCGAAATATCATATTCCTGCCTTGGCGTCCAAGTCGTCAGACAATGTTTGTGACCAGTATCTCATAGGACCCACTAGCTTCTCCAGTGCACAAGTCAATAGGGGCGCGACTGTGCCGTGCTTTGAGACTGTTCGTAAATTACAATATTTGCCGCTCTATCTGATACCGATACTGACACCCAAGTCGGCGTTCGTTGGATGCCGCAACAGTTTGTTATCCAGCGTCACGGGCCGAAGATTGGACACACTGCGTTTGACATCGTGTTCTGGGAGAGGAAAGCGGGCGCAGTGTCTCTGGAGAGCTTACAAGCCGTAATTGGAGCAGAAGTCACATAAAACAGTGTAAATGACCTTATTTCTCAACTTGCATGTTTATTTTTACTGGTGTTCGTGGATGGCTAGGTAAGTGGCGCACAGCGGGTCAATACAGCTCCGGGGTCCGGACGCACCAATCACAACGGCATCGCGACCCCATCACGACGCCAATCAATTCACCTAACAACATCAAAACTCATAATCATAGCATCCGGGTTGTGTAATTGGGAGATCCGGACCTCAGCATCACCTGGCTTGATAGTACGCCAAACGACAAGTAGCCTCATATGGAGTCGACTGACCAGCCGGAAAAGGCTTCAGAAATACCGCAATTTACAGGCCATGGCGAAGGTGACACTAATCGTAGGCTCATCTGAAGGACTTGACGATGCAGCGCTGATACTTGTCAACAGCCTTACCGCCCTCTGAACATACATATGCCCAAAATGGACTGGCAACGGAATTTGACAATATATCTGGTGTAACCCAACACGCCTTTCCGATACTTCAACAAGACAATGGTGATTTTGAAGGTCAAAACCACTTCTCTTGGCAGCCACAAGATCTCACCCAATCATCATTTGATGCTACTACGTTCTCATTAGAGAATCCGACCCAGCCTCTCGACTGGCCCTGGCAAACATTGCCATCGCCCTGGTCTCTGCAGGACCAAAACCAGGATATCTGGCCACATCACCTTGAAGCCGAGCTAGGCGAGGTGCCACCAATATGGGAATTAGGTCAGGGCACCGCCAGCGCACTCCAGCTCCCACCCAATGTCCAGATACAGCCAAATTGCCTCCCGCGCCGAAGAAGTCGATACCTCCGTAATTCGGCCCTACCGATGGTTTCAGGATCCAACCCTGTACAAATATCAGGCTCTGGCACCTTGGTAGAAAGTGCAATGGACCCGATACAGCGATGGCGAAACTCGCCCCCGGAGACTGAGGCAGCCTCCTTAGTCGCTATTGCAGACGCATTAAGGAATAACCCGCTTCGGGCCCCGGCATCAACCAGCACAGGTAGCCTGAATAGTCGCCGGATGGACGTCCGACCGGGCTCAACGGTGAGCTTCACTAGCGGCTCAAGCCTGTCCTCAGGCTCTGCTACTTCTGCAAGTTCTGTGGCCCGACGCGGCCGCGTGTCGAAACGAACCCGACCGAATGCAGCAAAGGGCAAAGCAGCGGAGAAGAGAAAATTCCCTTGTACATTTTGTTGCGACTCTTTCAAGAGTAAGTTCGACTGGGCACGCCATGAGCAGTCGCTACATCTCAGTACCAAGGGATGGCGATGCGCGCCATATGGTAGCGTTGTGATATCGGCCGCCACCGGACTCAGCAGCTGTGCGTACTGCGGTCTTGCAGATCCGACACCGACACATATAGAAGATCATGATATTAATCTATGCAGACAAACCCAGATTTATAGCCGGAAGGATCACTTGATTCAGCACCTAAGGTGTATACACCATGTGCAGGATCCTTCGCCGATAGAGTCATGGAAGGTCGAGGGGCCACCAGTGGCATCTAACTGTGGCTTCTGTGATCTACGTATGGAATCTTGGCAGGAACGCACAGACCATTTAGTGTCACACTTCCGCAAGGGCAAGACGATGGAAGATTGGAGGGGAGATCATGGCTTTGAGCCTGGAATCGCGGCTCAGGTCACGAATGCTATCCCTCCGTATTTGATTGCCTCTGAGTCAAGGACCTATGCTCCATTCTCGGCAGCCGCTCCGAACCCTACAACAGCAGAGCATGTACAGCAGATAACAAGGTCCGCTGAGGAAAGCTTCGAAGCTTGGAATGGATTGGAGATGCCACCCGAGGCAGGAGAACCTATGATGTCCCTCCAAGATAAACCTTTTCCTGAGCTGTTTGCTTTCCACCTTGGTCGCTTTGCGCAGCATCAGATGAGGCTCGGTATTATCCCTACTGATAAGATGTTCCAGGATGAAGCTAGAAGGTTACAATTCGGCACGGTAGACCCGCTGGATGACACGGTCGCCGACAACGAAGAGTGGCTGGCTCGTTTTCGTAACCAACATCTCGGGGACTCAGCAGACAATCGGGATAGCCAAGAATGAGCGGAAGTGGCATGAGGCGAGATTGAGTAGCATATCTGTCACTTGCTATTGTCTAGGGCTGCCACCTCTTCTTTTGTTTGACAATTACTCCTCATGAATTCTCACGCCTTGAAAATTATAACAAAGCAATATTCTATCGGTCTCTGAATACACGGCTAAATCTGATCACACCAGCTCATAAGAGACTCTCGATATGCCTTGCTGCCTCTTCACCTTCCTTACTCTAATCTTTCCTACCAAAGCTGTGCTCCTCACATGGGTTCCACCGCACATATAAGCACCCTCACCATCAATCTCTACAGCTCTCACTAGTCCACCTTGACCGTCAGAATCCTCCGGCATTGTCCAAGATTTGGCTTCGAGCTCCTCTCTTGACCACCAGTGGACGTTTATTGAACGGTCGTCATTGACTATTTGATTCGCAAGTTGCTCAATCTCTTCCTTCCTATCTCCCGGGATGATCCCTTGGAAGTCAACAAATGCAGTGCCGGGGTAGTGCTGTGCTTTGACCTCTCGCAGATCTGGTATTCCTAGTCTTCGAACGGCTGAAGCGAGGACGTGACCAGCGTCATGAATCTGTGAATGGAGTTTTCGCGCGTCCTTGTTGATCTCCTGAGTTACAAGCGTCTGTTCTTCGAAAGGGGCCCCAGAGTATGTGCCAAGATGCATGATCGTTCCAGACGGGAGCTTCTGCACAGACGTGACAGTGAAGATTGACGACTGGTCGCGGGAGGTCATGGTCCCAGTATCGCTCGGTTGACCACCGCCTTTGGCATAGAAAATAGTAGAATTTGTGATGACGAGAAATAGGCCATCCGAAGCATCTTTGAACACCTTGTTGATAGAATTATCCCAGTCAGCATATGGGATACTGGCTAAGACGGTCGTTTCCATGACGTGTTGAGTCTCATCGCGATGATAGACCGCCTCAGTATGCCCAAACTACCAGCGGGTTAATTAGACACTTTTTCTATTGACAGACTCATCAGAAATGCTTACTCTGTCCATCGTGTGGGAATATTCTCTTAATAGACGAAGTTACTACACGACGAGTGTTTCTGAGCGCAGATGGGTATACCGGGTATACTGCTTGAGGTTCCCATGTCGGCGATCTGGGGATTATATAGCAAATAAATAGCTGTCTTACTGCCCAGGGCTTATGTTGACTTGTGATATGTATTTCATAATTGAGGGACGCTCAAGATGACAACCGGGGTTGCCGCAATAACTAGGTAGGCTAGGATGCAGCAAAAGGTGCGACGCCCTTTTTGGTGGGCCAAATGAACTTTTTTCTCTCCGTTCACACCCCCTCATTGTATGCCATCGGTGACACTGCAATCACATAGTTAAAAACACCAACCCTAAAGGCAATTGTTCTAGAACTAACTGCATCTTATCTTGGGTCGGCTTTACACTTCACTTTCCCACTGCCTGTATTTAAATTCCTGTCTTTTCTTCCCGCATCCTCTATAACTACTCCCAGGCAAACCCTCTCAAGTATTTATATTCGTTTTACTCTTTACTGGACCTTCGCTATGGGTTCTCTTATTCCAACCCCGGGACGGTGTTTTATGAGCGACAATATAGCCGGTGCGTCGCCTGAAATTGTGCAAGCTGTCGTCGCTGCAGCCACTGGACATGTTCCGCCGTATGGAAACGATGGCGTTACAGGCGCCGCTCGTCAAAGGCTGCAGGAGATATTCGAAAGAGAACTCGACGTAATCCCAGTTTCGAGCGGAACAGCCGCAAACTGCATCGGCTTGGCGTCGCTTGTCAAGCCGTGGGGCAGTATTCTCTGTCACCCGGATAGCCACATCAACAACGACGAGTGCGGTGCTCCAGAAGCTTTCACAGGAGGCTCTAAACTTGTAACAGTGCCTGGAAGCAATAGCAAGATCGACCCCCAGTCTTTGCGCGCTGCTGTTTGTCGGAAGGTCGGTGACGTCCATAGCGTCCAACCGTCTGTTCTCAGTATCAGTCAGCCTACCGAGACCGGTAGTGTCTACACAATCGCCGAGCTCAAAGAGCTGTGTACTATAGCAAAAGATGCAGGCTTACGCGTGCACATGGATGGAGCGCGTTTTGCCAATGCATTAGTTCACCTCGAGGCATCTCCAGCTGAGATGACCTGGGAGGCCGGCGTTGACGTTCTCTCTTTTGGCTTGACCAAGAATGGCGCAATGACAGTCGACATAATCATCTCTTTTGACCCTACCTTGGCGTCTGAACTGGCCTTCCGCCAGAAGCGAGCTGGCCAGTTGGCCTCAAAAATGCGCTTTCACACGGCTCAGATTGAAGCCTACCTTGCGGACGGATTATGGCTGCGAAATGCTCGTTATGCGAATGGTTTGGCTTTACGATTGGCCGCTGGCCTAAGGAGCGTTTCTGGACCGGAGGTTTTGCAAGACCCGGAAGCTAACATACTCTTCTGCCGCCTGGCTCCAGCCGTAATCAAGGAGTTGCTTTGCCAGGGCTACCAGTTCTACCATGATCGCTGGGAGCCAGGATCAGTTCGCCTTGTGACATCCTTTTCACATAGCCCAAGTAGTGTAGATGAGCTGGTTGCGGCTGTTGGATCATGTTACAGCAAACTGTTGTAGAATAGAACTGGTTTTCGGGAGGGTTATAGGTAGTCTTGGTTATTTTTGTATCTTAACATTGCAATACATACAATTATACATCAGCTTTGAATGTACACACTCTCTCTGACCCTTGCCTCTTTCTGTCAATTGAATAATTTGGTGAAAGATTCTTACTCTGTCGTTATCGATGAAGCCCTCAATGACTGAATGATCAATAGGCAGTTGTCAGCCCCGCCTCATTCACCCACTACTCACCACACGCCCCAGGTCTCTACGCCCTACGCCATGTGCCCCACGCCATACGCCTTGCGCCCTACGCCATGAACCAAAAAATGCAATTCGGCCGAAGCGGAACAATCAGAGCTGACTCTTTTGTTGTATTTCGGCTTGAGCCTCTCAATGCAAAGGCTTTGTTACCCTCTTCCACTCGTTGCATCAGCTGTATTCACGGCGCCTTAAGCCATTCAACGCTGTTTGCTTCCTTCATCCTCTTTCTAGTTCTCTTTCAACTGGCCTCGTCGATTGACGTTGATGCGCAAAATGATTCCCAAGAAGGCTTCCTATGGTGAATGAATGCCCGAGATAAACTTCCCAGACTTTCCCCTCCCATTCTTTGTGGCGCAATATCAATGTTAACATGCTCAAAAGTGACACTTGATGTTTTCACAACAAAAAGGTGATGCCAACAACCACAACACTATAGCTGCCCTAAGCTTTGAACCTAGATTACTGACTTTCTTGTTTCCGTCAGGTATAAGGGAAACCAAGTGGCTGTTGTCCAAGTTCAAGGTGATGCGCTACCGCCTGCAGACATGCAGATGATTGCACGTGAATTCAACTTCTCCGAAACCGTCTTTTTGCGTCGAAACACGAATGGAGCAGTGACCATCAACATCTTTACTCCTGTGAACGAGATGGATTTTGCCGGCCATCCTGTCATCGGCACTGGCCATGTGCTATTTCGACAGCTACTTCCTGGTCTCGCTGTGCACTCCTCAGAGGCCACCCTTTGGACAAACGCTGGGCCAGTTGTTGTGCGTTATGATCCGTCGCGAGAAACTGTGGCAGCCGACGTGCCGCATAACGTCCACATTCATTCCCGCCCTACTAGTACACAAAGCATTCTCGACACCCAACCGAGCTTGAAGACCCAGGGATTATCAACTGAACAGAGCTATCCATGCGTGTCTATTGTCAAGGGCGTCACCTACACCTTGGTCGACTTTACCAATCAGCCCAGCCTGTTCACCGCCATCTCCACAGGCCCCAGTCAGCTTACAGAGCTTGACGAGGGATGGGCACCATCTTTCACAGGGGTGATGTACTATAGAGTGCTGTCGGATCCTTACGACGAGAGTGGCAAGAAGGTCCAACATCTCAGAATTCGTATGATTGCAATCGGTCTCGAGGACCCCGCCTGCGGAAGCGGTTCATGTGCTCTGGGCGCATATCTCGCGCTTCAGCAGGGGGATTCGGGCGGTATGTATAGATTCTATCTTGACCAGGGACAGGAGATTGGCCGTGACAGCAGTATCATTGTCGACATTGTACTGGATGAGACTGGAGACAAAGTTGCAAATATATCCCTCTCAGGGTCTGCAACTCCAGTAACTGAGGGCACGATATTGCTGCCCGAATAGAGCGGTCTGAAGGTCGATCTCGGGTTTTTGCCATGTCGTGGCCGCTTTAGTAAGATTCGAGTTGTGATTTATTGATACAATATTGTACAGTTATAAAGCAGCGACAGCTTTTAGTTCTCAACATGTTGTATGCTCGATTGCACTTATCCAAATACCTCGCCCCGTTTCATAATTCATAGTAGCGGGCCACGCCACTGACACTAAACAGGCATGCGCCTCTTCCCAAAGTGTCAACCCAGTAACCCTTTTCCATGCATCTACGTAGCCAGTAAAAGCTCTTTGGAGGCCATCCAGCAAGGGGTCATGGTTATTCGCTTGCTGTTTAGCAATGCTATACTCTCCAAGGAACGCTCGCCAAAGCCAAAAATCCGTAGAGTCGTTGAGTCCCAAAGTGCTGACAGATTGGCTGAGATCTCGACTCAAGATCGAGAGAAACCTTCGCAAGAGACGAGCGTCAATGGCCTCGCCGCCGTTCCAGAGCTCCAGGACACTGTGCATATACAGGCTTGATGCAGCGCACATACCAGACCAAGAAGTGCTATATTTTGACGAGTGTGCTGATGAGAACATATCGTCGTGGAACAGAGATGAGAAATGGGAGCCGATAGTAGCGCAGAGAAGTCGAGAATCTGATCCCTCGATCCATTCCCAGCTTGGGTCGCATTTGTAACAGTCTTCCCTGACTGTCTGCGTTGAAGTTGTAACATGCTTCAGGCAATCTATTAGAGGTGATGCGTCGATGCTATGGAATTGCGTTGATGAGGGGAGGGCAGCGAAGAAGAATGGCAAGAGTTTCATGGCGTTGAGACGCATATCAAGATGGCCGATATTTTGGGTCTTCCAGAGATAGATCTGCGATACGAACGTGGAAAACTCTGCGGTATTGTTCTGTCGGAAAAGGTTCTGCAAAGAGTCGCTTCCCAATATCCTGGCCTTGAAGCCTTGGTAGGCATAGTATGTGCTGGAAAGGTAAGCATTGATGAAAATAACCATCAGCAATGGCTACTTACAGCAAGAGATAGCGATTAGCAAGCTCTTCTTCGATTTCTGATCGATGGCCGAAGTCGTCATCGAGGGGGCTGAGAAGGTGGACGGCGTTTACGAGGCCGTTGATATGAGCCTCTGTATCGTGTACGTTACCATAAGATGCCTTTTTATGTTCAGCGATTTGTAAGGTATTATCAGTAGGGGAAGCGTACCTCTATAAAGCAAAGAATTGAAACATGCCGAATGAAGGTCATCAGCCCCGGTTGATGTATGTTCTGCAACCATCGGTTCAAGACTTGTATTGTTGAGACTTTGTGAAACAGGAAAGTTGGCTTATACGTTTCGAGATCACCGACAGTCCATGCATAGTGCAGGCCTGCTACGAGAAGAGTGTCCCTCAGGGCATCGGGGTGCTGAGCGACAGAAGAAAAGCTATAGGTGGTTAAGGTAAGCCTGGGCTGAGTGAGGGATGATAAGGTACGTACATATTTCTCGAGGCTTTACTTAGTACCAAATCAGCACTGTCGTGGCTATTATGAACTAGGCTTGTCAACGATGCGGCTAGGTCTATGCTGCATGGCTTGCGCTTACAATAGTGAAGTAGCTCTCTGGAGCGAAGAGTCATGTCCAAGCCTAAACAGTCGAAAGGCTCCACTGATTTTCCGAATGGGGAATTAACCATTAGAGTTACTGGCGGTGCATCCTGGCTTATAATCCAAGGTTGCTGTTCGCCTGGAAGACAGGTAGCCTTGCGGTCTCGAAGTGGGATACTAGGATCAGCAAACTCGCATGCCCGTCCTGCACTGACACATCGGGTACTACGTTCGTCAGTTTTACAATCACTAAAAACCACTAAAAATTGACAAAAGTCTTGTGTAGTACTCTCGACTATTTGTCGCAACCGGATAGTAAACTCCGACTTACCAGGTTGGTTTTCCGCCGTCACAACGCACGCGACGCTTTCGACAAGTCAAACACCCGGTTTTACTCCTAGTGTGGGGCCTCCGAGTCCTTGTCGTTGTACTCATGCTGACTCGCTTGAGCTTGTTCTGAGGAAAGCTTCAGGGAAGATGATCGACGATGGACTGATGAGTTATGACTTTCTGTGGAATGGGGGAGGAGTCTTGCTTCAAAGAGAGGCGTTGACGAGGTATCGGGAAGCCACTCACGGGATTTGAGGATTGTGGCTACAGGATGAGCGATTTGGTTGAGAGAGTCCAGACTAGTCAAAGCTATAGCACTAACACTTTGTCACTCTGAGAAAGGCGCACGAAGATAGATCACTAACGTCTTGGCAAAGAACTAGAGTCTCCACTACCAACGACAGAGTCACTTTTGAGTGGACGTGAATGGCGTCCAGCCTGTCAGCAACTAACCCTTTTCGAGGAGGATAAACGAGCTGAACGACAAACCCCGCTGCCTTTATCCAGCCACGATTTGGAAAGAGATCGTAAGCCGACTACACATCCTCACTTCCCAATTCCCCTCCCTCACCGAATCCCGAGCCAGTATCGTCCAATCAATCTACAACATGGCCCAGAAACCTAGCCTCATATTTGTGCCTGGCGCGTGGCATAGCCCTGAATGTTGGGGCAAGATCATGTCCGCCATGGAGGCTAAAGTGTTCAAGTGTATTCCCGTCGCACTTCCGACAAACCAATCAACAAGCACCGACGTTAATTACTCGCATGACGTTAAAGCTGTTGCCGATGCCATTGCTGGCGAGACGTCGCAAGGACTTGATGTCGTTCTGTTAGTGCACTCCTATAGTGGACCGGTGGGACAAAGTGCCATGAGAGGCTTCACCAACAATTCTGCCGACACAGACGGAAAGACTGGTCGTGTGATAGGGCTTTTCAATGTTGCAACCGGTTTTGTCCGCGAAGGCGCGTCCTTTCTAGACGCTCTCGGCGGCAAACCCCTGCCGACTTGCGAAGTTGACTATGAGAACAATCTAATGGTCATCGTAGTCGACCCAATCGACATGATGTACCACGATCTCCCAGCAGAAGAGGCCGATTACTGGGTTGGAAAGCTCAGCAAACATGCCTTGACCGGTTCGACGGAAGGATACGAAGCCACGTACGAAGGATGGAGGGATGTGCCTGTTTGGCAGGTCATGACCAAGGATGATAGGGCTTACCCTTATGAAGCGCAGAAGATGCTTGTTCGAGGTGCGGAAAAGCTTGGTGCGGATATCACGAAGCGGCTTATTGATAGTGCGCATTTGCCGATGTTGAGTAAACCTGATGAGATCGTGGAGCTTCTGGAAGAGGCGATTGAGGCGTTCACTTCATGAAAGGCATACTGGTCGGTAGGCCAGGGCTGTCGGCCATCTGCCTATCCTTTCTTCTATTTCGATAGCTTACGGAGTTCTTTTTTTCTAGAGCGACAATGAGCGGGACGAAGACATGTTTCTGAGACTTTGATACTGGTAGCGATGATATATTGACTGGCGGTCTAGAACGCTAGCGGCACGCAATGAACTTATATCACCAATGAGATCCTTTGAAATGTCTCTGAGATTGAATAGCTGGCACCCAGCAAACAAATAAGATACATTGCGGCTGGCTGAAAGAAGGTCTGGACCTTCACAGGGAGTTTGACAGTTCAACTATCTGAGAGCTGTGGCTGGCTGGCTGGGTGTCGAATCGGCCCATGTTTGCAGTAAATTGTGATTCATGCAATTCCAAGAAAGATATCACACACATGTCAGCCTTCGCATTCGTCGCGAGTCGCGTAGCTCTTTCGACGCTCCATCAATCACTTCAACATACTTAAACACTCAAAAAGGCATCTCATCATTACTCACCAGTCACTTCGCCCGCAGTATCGCTTCATACCTTCAACGGTTCTGGGAACAACGGCACTTTCTGGACTACGTCTCAGGATGGAGTGATCTGGACTATGGTCAATTGTCTCGACGATGCCATGAGTACACCTCCTTCTGAGACATTCGAACCAAGCACAAGCCCAGCTGTAGCTGTTTACCAGGACACTCTTTACGACGTTTGGAACAGCTCGGCAGCTAACGGCACCTTAAGATATACCTATGTCAATAAAGCAACGAATGCATTTGTCCAACCAAAAATTCTCACTGCAGGTGGACTTTCTATTCGAAGCCAGACGAGCCCGGCCATGGTTGAGTTCAATGGATTGCTTTACTTGTTCTTCAACGGTTCTGGTCTAAATGGCACATGGATGACGACCTTTAATAGGAATGTCTGGGCCGATGTCAGTCCGGTTACCTCTAATCTTGGAGGAAACTTTATGGATCGCACAAGCCTTGCCATTTTTGTCTCTGACGACAAAAGAGTGTTGACTCTTCTCTGGTACGGAAGCGGAAGCAATGGCACATGGTATACCACTACCACGAACGGAATAACATGGTCGAATCAAGTTGGTCTAAATGACGGCCAAGTACTCATGGCTGGGAGTAGCCCTTGTGGCATTGACTACCATGGACGACCATACATATTCTTTGTTGGTGGAGATGGGAACTTGTGGAACTATAACGGGGTCATATTATATTCTACACTTACTGAGCCCAAGTATTCTTTGGCCATGGACGCCTTCCTCAAGGGAAATGATTTCGCATTCGTGGCTCAAGACGATGCCACAGTCAAATATCTCGAGGCCCAGTTCCCGAACGGATCGGTCATTATTCAGAATCCTTCAAGCTCTCCAAATGTCATTCAGAGCGCAAACCCCAGAAACCAGACAGTTGCGGGTAATGCAAACTGGATAAACCTTTGGCACTATTTCTACAATGGGAGCCCTAGTGCTATCCCCAGGGAAGCCGTCAGCCTATTGGCTCTTGCTACCCTTGCTTTCAACTTAAATTATCTTATTAGCATCAACACCAACTCTCAGACGAGAGTTTCGCCCAGACTTATTTTTCGCCGGATCCCCCCGAACAAAAGCTAAGAGCTGATGAATGGCGCTCGTGATGAGAGGCTTTTCATATTATTTAAAGAGTTGCCATTCTCTTCCTTTACTTATGCTAACCGTCCAAATTCTTTTTTGGTCGGAAATTTCTGTAATGTTTGCTCTGCAGGCCTAGCAATTGGTTAGGCATTGTGGTATAATGGTTAAACTCTGAGTCAGATGCATTATTCGGAGTTGAGACCTGTGGCTAAGGTTCTATGATCAGCACACAGAACTTAGATATGATAATAAACATGCAAACCACTTTAACCCTAGAGACCTAAATTGGTGGACGAAGTTTAGATTCTCACCAGATCTATAAATACCCACCTCTCCCCAAAACTGCGACTTGTTTTTTTGACTTCCAACTTACCATTTTCTAATCAGCTATGGATGAACTTCCAACCAGCATCTCTGGGCCGAAATTCGAGTCTTCAGCGGACTCGCACTCGTTTCATCTATTTTCTGAGCTTCCGCCGGAGCTCCAACTTAAGGTATGAAAGCTGCCTTCGATGCAATTTCGAGGCGCATTAGTGTTTACATCTATATGGTACTCGGCTTCGATCGTCTTTCCAGTCTCTCCAGGCCTACTATATGCATGACGGGAGGAAGTTTTCTGACTCGGGGGCGTGATAGGAATCCATGTAAAGAGTCGCACAGCCTGAGCTTAGCTTGTTGTGATGCGCGCAAAGTCTATCTCTTGAGGTATCCCGAGACTATCATTCTTATGAACGATTTAAGCACCGATTTTCGAAGAATAAGATGCAATCCCGCATACGACACTTTATACATCGAGAAGATTGCAGGAGCCTTCCACAGAAATGACAATGTGGCAGGCATTGCCCCTCTGAATCTGACGCAGGTGGCTCAACAAGCCTTAAGTTCTTCCAGAAAGATCATTTCCTCATTTCAGCATGTTGCCATTCGCCTCTCGAGAAACTATCCAAGTGCGAAATGGCTGAAGAGGGCTTTTAAAGGCCCATGCCCGGAACATATAACGATTCAATACGTAACACTGTTCAGCTTTTCTTTTTTCGAGTCCATCAGGCATCCTTACTTTTTCGTTATGTCAAAAGAGTCAACCATGGCTGTGAGCCCCAAGCATGTTCCCAGGGTGGATAACACAGAGTCTTCCAAGGTTTCCCTGCCCAGGGCTACACACCGGCGCCAATCCAGTCTTTCCTTGATGTCTACGACCGTATCCAGCGTTCCTCTGAGCATGATGGCTCCGACCGCAGGGAGCATCGGAAGAGGAGACCAAGGCCACTCAGCAAGATACGGTGCCATTATGATGGTGAGTGGCTAGAGGGTGAATAGGACCGCGAAAACCGTCTCTCCCGTGGCAATATACAGTCCCGGTGGATGTTTGCCCACCTAATAAGTTTCAGCTCATATGAGGCGACAAGAAATTCTGGACGGGGTTTCAAACGTCCCTCGATGCATTCTCTAGAGCAGCGCCATTCCTCGACAGCGAGCTTGCCTACTTGGCGGCTCGAACTGCGGCTTGTATACCTCTCAACAGCAAAGCTCTCGGTCATGTCTATGGTTAGCATCTTGAGGCATGCGGAAACGGCTTCCTGAAGCGGAGGCAGCGCTGAAAGCCGAAAATTTGCCCAAATGCTCGTCCAGTTTATTGGGATAAGGATTACAGGGGTACTGGACACCCGAGATTTTGCTGTCACAAAGAGTCCCCGAACGAGATAGCTTATCCAACTCACGAAACCATTATGCTTCTATGTATGGTTCTTATCTCTTTATCTTATCATGTCCTATCTTATCTCAACTGCGGTCTTCAAATCGCGTATAGAGTGACCAATAACCGCATTTTACCCACTATGCATTTCAACGCCAACCATGCGAGGTATGCTATAATGTCAGAATGTTGATAGTAAAGAAGTTGCACAAATACAGAAAATGGTTTTATCAAATTTCATTACAACAAAATCCTTTTCGACTGTTGCCTAGAGTTGTCGCCTCAGGCAATTCCAAATACTTAGTAATACAAAATCCATCTCACTTGTCATTTCATTTCCATCATGAATCTGTTCATATGATACACCTAACGCACTATCACATATCACACTTAAGAAGTTTCGCTTTTGATCTTATAATTCCTTATGTCTTCATCTCAGGCTGACTCTGGGGTCGACCACGACGAACGCTTTAGACATGAAGTCTTGAAAGGTTTCGCAGAAGATCTTCAAGACATAGCAACTGACAAGGACAAGCAAGATCTTCTCACTTCTATCAAGAGTTTTGCCTTACACTTCATCAAAGAACCACTTAAAATACCTATGGCAGACCTCTCTACGGTGCAGCAGAATCTTGACGTCTTGTGGTATATGTTCTTCAAAGCCAGTACCGCTATGGACTGTGGCAGCTTGTTCCAAGATCGCCTTGTCCTTCTTCTATTGTGGACAAGACAGTTTGATCTTGTGTATAAAGAGCTCTACACTGGACAGAATATCGCAGGAAACTGGGAATCTTATGGTTTTGTACAGAGTTTACAGACATTCTGGGAAGCGCTGGTGAAAGAAGGTTCAGAGGCTGAGCTGCGAAGCCTTGCTACTTTCTCTGCCAAGGTCTTGGCTTCTGGCATATGCGAGGATCAGATCTCCTCGACTGGACTATGGTATATGCGCGAGGCCCTTGAGACCAGCAATGACAACGTTGCCAAGTTTCTGCCTGGCGCAGTTGTGTGGATGGAACTGTGTCCTCACGCGCTTCTCAGGGACTGCGTTCTCAAAGCAGACGAACAGCAGTCGGAACTGTCGGAACTGAATCTTGAGCTCGTTGCGCAGGATCAGTGCGATGATGAGGCCGGATTCAGCATGGCACGGTGGTTGTTTTGGAGACGTCGATTCCAGAAGCTTAGCCATCACCCTGATACTTCGCTTGCGCAACTTGCTAAGAAGGGATTCATGGCTATGATCCACTGCGGACGAGATGTCGATTATAGTGTCCCAGGAGAAGACGTGTTTGCTGAGAGATTACAGGCCACTATGTGGGCTGAGCTCGTCAAGAGTGGAAAGGAAAGCCTGGATGGCGATGATATCGATATCGACCCCGATTGGGTTGATAGGGAGAACTAGTGAGCATTCACGAAACGCGTTTAATACAAATTGCCCTTCTTTATGATAATTATGGGCATCAAATATCATTTAGTTCGTGTAATCCGCTTGCAGAATGAGGTAGTGTAATAACACGCCGGTGATAAAAACAATACGCTGGTTAATCATCCAAACTCATTACATCAACCCTAATCCATCAGAGTCTGGTCAACGGATAATCCGTATCCTTCCCAATAGCAGACTCGATATCCTCACTGCAAAATTCCTGCAGTGGTATAAACTCCTCCCCTGGCGCATCCGTAAAGACCCCTCCGTACTCATCGAGATCACGTTTCGGGTATTGCCGTGCAGCAACCCAAAGTCTTCCGTCGATGGGTTTTGGGCTGATTGGATGTTGGTGCTGAATCGCTCTGACAGCGACTCGGAGAAGAGGTCGGATCAGAGGGTAGAACCATGCGTCGTGGAAGGTGTCGAGGAAGCCGGCTTTGTCGCATGTGTTGTGATAGAAGGCAAAGATGAGCCGTGTGCCGATATTTGTGCCCAGTCTAAGACTGCGAATCCAATTGTGTCTTGACATTGCTGGTCGGTCTTCTGCGGGAAGTGAATCATACACTCTGTGAAATGCCTGGTAGATCGATGCGGGCATCTGAATCTTGTATGGGCGGAATCTTGACCCTTCTTCCAGCGCATCATGCTTCATAGTAGCCGTCATGTCAAAATTGTCGTACTGGAGTTTATGGATAAATCTTTTTGCGTCAGTCAACAGTAGAAAATCCGCGATTAGGGGACAAACCTGTAGTTATGGCATTCTGTTTGCGTAAACGCATAGTCGAAATCCACTGCAACATGATATTCAGTCACATCATCTTTGCCACCCTTTTGTCTGGGTACATCCCTTCCAGCGATATCTTCAGGAAAGTCGCCCCCGTTCAAGTCTCGCATTCTCTGATATTCCTGACGAGCATATAAAGTCGCGATATAAAACTGATCAGAGTCTCGGAAGAGGAAGTTCTGATCCCAATCGTCTTCTATCAGTGATAATGCGGCATCGATGAACTTGCGAAGGTCACCCAGTGGACCTATCACTGTACCTGAGTTTAGAAATCGCGAGTCGCTATACTGAAGATCCCCAGTGTCCGTTTTGAGTCCCCATATGAGCCGAGGCTGTGCTGAGAATGGAACAAGCCAACACCTGGGATCTGTTTCGCTCTCGGGCCAGCATCCCTTATCCGTTCCCCATAAAAGAGTCTGCCTTACTCCAGTTCGATGAAGCTCCTTGACGGTGATTCCCCGTTGATCAGCAAGCCGCTGGTCCGCCTCAGCCATGAGATTAAAGTATCGCTGTATCATGGCCTCTGCAGGTATTTGGGCCATCACATCGAATCCGTCAACAATGATGACAAGATCGTCAGAGGCTCCTCCCGCATTGTGCAGATAATCTTTGATGCCGCGCAATTTCGCAATATGTGCCTTTTGTGCGTCCAAGAAGGACTCTCCTCTGTAGCCCAGAATCGTCGGTATAGAGTATCGGTTGGCGAGTGCCGAAGTCACCACGGCGCAGACTTGACGGTTAGCGACATTTGCGGGGACAAGGTAGTGAAGTCTAGAGATTCGGTGTGAGGATGCTAGTAAATGGGAAGGGCTCGATGCATTCTTGATGTCCTGCATGTAGAGGCCCGTTAGCTTTCCTGCGTCCTTCGAAGACAAGTCATCATACCAGGTTCCTGCAGTTGAAGATCAGAAATATCAGCACCATTGCGATGAGAAATGCGCGGCCGCGGTTCTTCTGATTCCGATGCCGTTGAAGCTCCCTGCCCGGTGCGAGCATCCGCACCCTCTCCGACCACTCAGCATGGGAATAAATTGATGGATTTAAGTTACTTGTATTGAATAGCTTCATCTTTCCTGGTGGGCGAGATTTGAATGTTGGAGATGAGCCAGGAGGCGACCGATCTGCAGGTGAGGAGGTAGTCAAAGATCAAGGGGTCAATTCGTGGCGTATAATGACCAAGACAATTACATTTCTCTACTCGAATTATGATACGCTATGTAGATGAATTGAGTGTTATGTTCCCGCCCTTGCCTTGGCGCCGAGACCGACCTGGTCTACCTGTATTGGCACAGCCGCAAATTCTGAGACAATCCCGTATCATTGGAGCATGTGGCGACCTGGTGACATTGAAACTCTGTGTCGTATGGCAGGTGCAGCATCTAGTACCGTAGACCGATTTCACGTTACTTCGAATTGCTAGGTGGAAAAAATAACTTTTCCACTTGAAGATGCAACAGATCTTCAAATAGCGGTCCCAAAGGCTGGCAGCCTTGCCATGGAGAATCATGCCGCAGATCCTCCCTTGACATGGCTTTCCCTCACCAATGGTGATCATATCCTTGAGACACGATAATTAAACCAAAATCATCTTCTTTTGTATGCTCCACAACTCGCATGCAATTTCTGAGATGTCGCTAAGTTCGGGCCGGGGATCAGTTAGACCAGAACTCTTGATGCAGTTTAGTTTAGGGAGTAAGTCTACCAGCAAGCCTGGGGGTTACTGTTCAAAAGACTCGGAAATATTCCCTTCTTAATTTATGCACTGCGGGCCACATTGAAGCGTTACCAGCTTGCTGCCAGGCTCCTGGATTAGTCCACTACGGTCATCGTGATGTTGCACGTTAGCAACTGGCTGTTTTCATCAAAGCACAATTCAAAGCGTCATTGGTCTAGGGGTTAGGATTCAACTCTTCCATTGAGAAAAGTTGAGGCTCGGATTCGAATTCCGGATGACGCACGCTTTTTTTTGGCAGTTTTGGTTCCTGAGTGGATTTTTGTAAAACGGGGTCATTAAGCGAGATGGGGTCCTAGTCCCCTTAACATAATCCAAGGGATCGGGAATAAGTACAAATACGATCCGTGAGGTGATGGACGGTGAATAACTCATGGCGTTCCAGAAGTTGGGCCTGCGCTGTCAGACAGGTCCAGCAACTTCGGTCAGCCCATGCGGCCTGTTAGATAACGGGGATATCTTCTACAAGAGATGGTTCCAGTTCTTCTAGCCTGCTCTAAGCCCACCTACTCATTGGACCTGCTCGTGATTCAGAAAGCAACATCTCGTAATATGGATGCCTAAGAGCTTCAGCAGTCGTGAGTCGTTCCTAGAAATACACATTAGATATACTATCACCTAATCCTCGCAGGATAATACTCGCCTTCGGGTCAAATCGTAGAAGCTGGTCAATAAGACTCAGAGCCTCATCAGATACGAGCCTCTCATTATCCGAATTGATAAAATCCGTCCAAGCTTGCTCGTGATGTTGACCCACAGCTTCAAGCTCCTCATCATCCAACTCAAGGTCATATTCATTGACAAAGCGGTACAGTTTGTCTGTGCCAAGGACTTCAGCAATTTGCTTCAGTTGATCAATGCGCGAAACCCCGAGGAAGAATGGTTCCTTTCTGAAGATCATGGCTGCAAGCATAGCCCCGAAGCACCACATATCTATGCTGAAGTCGTATCGTTCGTAGTTGAGAAGAAGCTCTGGTGCCTTCCAAAGGCCTACACAAACATCCAGATCTTCGTCGGGTTGGTAGAAATCTGCTGAGCTCCAGCCTATTAGTCGGAGCTATAATGCGTCAGTATGTGCCAGGTTATGCCATTTTGAGTCGCACCTTTCTGTTCTCGTGGTCAATCACAACATTGTGGGGTCTAACATCACGGTGCATGACACCCTGGCTATGGGCGAAGTCCAAAGCTTTCAGCAGCTCGCGGGTATAATATCGAATATCCAGGTCATTAAACCGAGGATACAGCGTCCGAAAATCTATGTTGTCTACGTATTCAAGGACGATGCCGATGTCGGACCCCTATGCCTCATAATGTCAATCTTGGTTCAGGACGGGGCTTGGGCGGAGATGCGAACCTCCTCACCTTGGACGGCGTCAATAAATTTGATGATATTCGGACCATTTTCGAGATATTGGAATATCTCGAGTTCGCGACGGATCCTATCTCTGCTGTTTTGCTTGAATAGTTTCATAGCATAGATGCGACCGCTTGGGTCTCGGCATTCGAATACGATTGCATGTCTTCCTCGTCCTGTGTCGATCATGTAAGTGTACATCATGAGAAGACTTGACTAAAATTTGAAATTACCTAATCGCTTTGGGGGCGACATATCATAGAACTGCCCTGTCAATTGTCAGCAACAAGCTTGCAGCCAACTCTGCCCCGGACTTACCCGCCCCCGACTCCGGGTGGATTGGTGCCATCTTCACGGCATTCAGATATAGATCCGTTTTTTCGTTCCTCAGAATCTGGATATCATGATCGCTGATGTTCGACATCCGATGCAAGGATGAGCTGTTGAAGCAGAAAAACCCCGCATAGGGCTGACATGCTTATTCAGCCAAAATACAGAAGAGGCTGGAGGGTTACACAGTCAGCCTTGATGTCCCATACAACGATGGTTGTATTTGTATTGGCCTTTACGTATTAGCGGAACACGAATGGCTCTATTCATCAGCGCTGGGGTGGAATTTGTTGGTGAGGACTGATCTTAGAAACAGCGTAAATGGAATGACCCCAAAGAAATATCACGTCCGATGGACTTTCGATTCAGTCACAAAAAGGATCAGAATCCGGTCCAGAGGTCAATAAATAGACCCATTTACTTTTATATCAATGCCTCCAAAACATATTTGTCAATTCAGCCAAGAATGCCAGTAGTCGAGGAATTCTGCTGTCTGTCAATTTAACTCTCCTACCTACCCTGAAGCTTCACAGCTCGCCGGCAGTTGTTAATACGACAATCTTATTCGCCGAAGAGTCGCTCAAAATTACGGCATTTCTTCATTTTAGGTTTGTCGGGTTACGAAAGAGAAACAGCATGTGGAGGGAAGCTGAAAGTTAGACTGCCAAGGCTGAATTTCTCATGCTACCAACGCTGGAGACTGGAGTTCATTCTGGGGCAGATCCAGTCACTAAGAACTAAGCTTATCTGATATAGGAAAACGACCAGGTGCACACAGATAACCTCGAAACTTGTGCCTCCAATCGCAGCAATCACTCACGACCAATTGAATTCAGCATGTGACACCAATGTCCAATTTCGACCTGTAAGCTGCAGTAGCATAAGGCGGATTAAATGAGCTACTCCACATATGAGAGGCGCAACGGCAACCCTCTGCCGGTGGTGACTCGCGAAGCATTCTCAGTTAGGAGATGGCCGATGATCTGGCACGCGCTAAAGGGGCTGTAAGGGCCATGGGTGAAACTGCCTAACGCACGCAAGGTACAGTTGTTTGATGAGCTGAAAACTAACATGCAGGGGGGTTGTGGCTGCCCTGATCCTTTGTTATGCGTTATGGCAGGCCTGGATGTCCTTGATCTGATCAGGATGGGAGATGCAGCTACTGTAAAGTCAACCATAACGCTTCCAAGACCTAGTCTTGTTATGATACACAATGAGTCACTGATGCACCGAGTTGTGCTGCTACTATGTAGATACGAGCTATAGATGGAGGTCAGACCGATCGTGGCACTAAATGTTTGGTGTTTCGTGAGGGCATTCAGCCTTTTTACGAGGTGGGGGGCCGGGAAATAAGACATAGCCCAAACATTAACTACAATAGGAAGCCCCTTAATCCAGCCTAATGAATACCGCCACAATCGTGACTCGTCGAGACAATCTTAAATACAAAGCCCTCGGATTCCTTCTGTTGGTTCTCGCATCCCATCTGTTTTGAGTAAACTCTCGCTAATAGCTATCCGCTCGTTTTCTTTCTCCGCTTCAACAACCAACACCAACACTTTTTAATAATACCCATACCTTCAATCACAATGCTTTCTGCCATCATCCTCACTGTCGGCGCGACCGTCGTCGCTGCCTCCCACCCTGCTCTCGAGCGCCTCGAGAAGCGCGATGCTAAGGAGTGCGCTTCCGTCGCCTCAAGCATCCTCCCTGACCTCACCGCCATCCCTACTCCCGACTCTTCGCTCGCCAGCTTCCTCGCCAAGCAGACCGATCTCATGACCATGACCGATGCTTGTGTCCTCCCCGCCGTCACCGGCTCCATGGCCAAGGAGTACACCTCCTACGCTTCCAAGCTCAGCTCTTGGTACATCGACCAGAAGGATGGCATCTCCTCTCTCCTCGATGCCTGCAGCGACGTCCCTGAGGTCAGCTCTCGCATCGCCTCCCTCAAGGAGTCTGCCACTATTTGTGACAAGGTCACTTGGGCCAAGGAGACTGGTTCTTCTTCTTCCAGTGGCGATGCTTCTCAGTCCAGCGACGCTGCTGCTTCTAGCTCCACCGCCGACAAGGGTAACGCTGCTGGCGTCAACTCCATCAAGGCTGTTGCCGTCCTCGCTGTCGCCGGTCTTGCTGGTGTCATGATGCTGTAAAAGCTTCATGCCTGATGGGGGAATAATAACGGACAATACCCGTGGGTGACGGCGTCTTGGCTTTTCGATTCATTTGGCCTGGTGTACTGGTCTCTAGTTTTACTATAAAAACACTCAATACAAGCGTTGTGGCTACTGTAGCATTTCTGTAATTGCCTGACTTCCTTGACCCCATGCGCGCTCAAATGTCATTGACGCGCTGTATTATTGTATTGACGTGCCTTTCGCCCAGCCTTATTCCATCAATGCGCAGTCAAAATGATGACAGTCTCGGCAGAAACCCGATTTTTTGCATTCCCCACTTGCAATGCTTGTAGATCCACGTGCGCCAGCTTGGCACTGAATGTTTGCCAAAATTTGGGGTAAAAGTTCTTGGTGGGCCCGGGGGTCATTAGCCGCGATTAGACCTCAGCATGGCTGACGCTGCCTAACCTGTAATTATGGCAATAGACCGGAATGTTTCAGGGCGAGATCAGAGTCCGAGCAATGTCATATAGCATGACGGCCGCATATAGTTAAAAATTCTTTTGTCGGGCGTGGTAATTAGTGTCGGTCCCGTCTCGGGCTTCGGTCCGTGTTTATTGAGTTTCTCAATAACGAGGCCATCAAATGTGTCTCAGATTGTCAAATGGAAGTGCCAGCAGACTGCCTATTAAATCGTCATCTATTCCCTCGCCAGCATACCATATGATGGGGTCCGACTCTTGTTCCTTTGTTATTTCAGACGAGGCGGGAGATGATAGAGAAGTTGCGCTTGGGTTATTCCAAGCAATACGGGAAGTTTGACCTGCGTGGCTGCTAGCGTATTGCGAGCCGAAACAGTACTCGTCTTCAAGTTGCGAAATAGGTGTCAAGGGTGAATGAGTATAGTCTATAGGAGGGTATGATCCCTCAAAGACTTATTGTAGTTGTTAGAAAGAGACCATTAATGATGCTAGAGAAAAGCGGTTTATGAGAAACTTGACTCACCTCTGGACTCTTCGTCCTTGACCTCGATATCCGACGACGTTGGAGAGTATGGATAGCTTAAAATATCGCGTGTGGCCTCAACGGGGACTTCTTCCTTTTTGGGATGCTTGGAAGCTTTATTGTCTAATTTGTTCTTCTTGCAACTATGTTTGTCAGTGATACCGTTGGTAGACTCTGGAAGCTGACTCACGGTGATCGACGAGGTCCTATCACTACACACTCGCACGAGCTCCATTGACAGTTACTGCAAGGTGACTTTTGCATAACATCGCATCGGACCTTTCGAGATCTGCAAGTTAGGCATGCTCTGCGAGCTCTGCGTTTCCGGCGACCAATTGTATGCCGGGTATACTGTTGCACTTCTGTTGCTGCTGGGTTATCCGACATGGTAACAACGAACAGTTTCTCAAGACTTTAAAAGGTCAAAGTAATCGTTCATCATATGTATGACACTCACTGCGATATCTCACATATAAAGAAACTTAAAGTTTGGCTGATCTGCAAGTGGTGGCGGGTATCGGACCGCAACACGGCATTACACAACCGTGTATAGCCGCGCCGCCCGCATCCCCGCAAACCGCACCTCGACCCGTCCCTTATCCCATCCTGCATCTCCCTTATCGAATCAGCAAACCCTCCAGCCCATAATATTCGTCATAATGTCAGACTCCCACGACGATTCTGACGGGCCTGAGAGCCGTCGCAAGAGGATTCGCCAAGCCTGCCTCAATTGTAGGAAGAAAAAAGTTCGCTGCACGGGTGAGAAACCGATATGTCAGTTTTGTAATCGGCTTGGCCAGCCTTGTGTTTATGCGGAGGATGGGAGGAGTCTTAGAAGGACGAGTTTGGCTGTTCAGCCTGCTTTGGGGGATGTGCCTGAGGCTATTATGGTTTGTGGTCCACTGTTCTTGGGTTGGCGATGCTGACCTTGGGTAGGATAACATCACGTCGCGGTTTGTTTCTTTAGAAGATCAGATATCAACGCTGCAAGCGACAGTCGAAAGGTCAGAATCATTGACCTGTTATACATATTGGTGATCCCGTTCTGATCAAGATATAGACTGCTGCCGCTCGTCACAAGTCAACAACCACCCAACAAACGCACTCACTACCAAGCCAACACCCCAGCCCCCGTTCTTCTTCAAACCCCCTCCACCATACAATCTCATGCCAATGAACGCCCTCAATCAAGTTCCCTGCTCTTTGCTGCTGATGTCTACTTCCGCTACTGTCACAGCCAACCTTACTCCCTCTTTCACGAGCCTACCTTTCGGCAACGCCTTGCTGATGACACGTTGCCAACCTATTTACTCTGGGGATTCTTGTCGGCGGCAAGACGATATTCGTCTCTCCCAGTCACCCAAGTCAACTGTCCTGATGATGCATCTAGCTATGCTGCCAAGGCTTGGGAAAGTATAGAACTTCCTTGGACTGGTAATGCGCCGGCGGAAAAGATTTTGACAGTCATCCAGACCATCATATTGATAGTAAGCACTGAGGTTCCGGGTGAGTCAATTCATCATGAAACGATATAGTTCGCACTTTGGAACAGTTACTAACAAACCGAATCGTCTAGCCGGTCTCTGTAGCCAAGCCCATATGAAGCTCGGTTTTGCCATTCGTCTTGCTCAGAATAACAGGTTTCACCTGGAACCCGACCCATCACTACCTGCGGCAGAACGCGAGGAACGAAAACGGACTTTCTGGTCTCTGTATCTACAAGACAAACTCATCAGTCTTTCTCGTGGGCGCTTCTCCGGCATCCGGGACGAGGAATGCAAGGTGTCTTTACCATGCTCCGAGGATGCATTCAAGGAGGGCCGCGAGGAAAAGACACCCTTTCTCGATGAACTGACGGGTGATTGCGTCGAACAAGAAGCTATCGACGGATGCTGTCCACTTGGTCTCATCAATGTGATGGCATCTATTCTTGGTCGTGTCTCGCATTACGTTTTGCATGATACCCAAACTTCTCAGATGGGACTTCCTTGGTCTTCGACAGCGCCTTACGCCACTCTATCATCGGCATTGCTCCAAGCAGAACACTACTTCGGGATGAATGAAGACCCAGCGGAAAGCCTCAAGCAACGATGCACGGTCGACGGTGTCGTTGATCAACTCCTCGCAGGCTCCTTCATCTTCGCCAAGGCTATGTTCCACTTATCTCACTGTCTACTTCATCATCCATTCCTGATTCAACAACGGCTTCAATCCGGCAAACAAAAGGCCCCATCAGTTTTCATGAAGACGGCCTGGGAAAAGTGTAGAACTCACGCGAAGAGCATCACGAATCTACTGGATATGAAGAATCAGAATGTTCTTATACTAACCTCAATTTATGGATACTGTATCATGGTTGCTGGTACAATTCATGCCCTATCTACGAACGATGAGAGAGACCATATTCGAAAGGAGAGTCAGAGGCACTACCGTGCTGCTAGGGAATCATTACAAGACCTATCATGTTACTGGAACCACGCTGCTCTGATGGTAAGCCCCTACTGCTCTCTACCGAGAGAATCATTCTAACTCTTAGCCTCACAGGTTAAACGATTGGAAAGGTTCCACAGCCAGTGTGAGACTCGCGGTCAAGAGCTTTCACCCTCAAACGTCGAGCGAACTCCTGGAGACGTCAAAGCTCTGTGGCAAAGTGTCGACTACACCTCCTTGTCAACTCCAACGAGACCTGGAAGCCCGACGCTGGCAGGTCAAACCTCAGTTGAAGCCGATTGGGCTTTATCGACGGATATGTTTGACTTTAGTGGCTTTGGCGGATTTGCAGAAGGAGTTGATGTCTTTAGTATCTCGTTTGTTGATGGCGATATGACTCTCGGTGACGAAATTCCGAATATGGTGCAAAATTAAGCAGCTCCGGGAAACGCAGATTGATATCGACTTCGAAGATCGGGTATGAAAAAAGGAAGTCGTGCTTTTTCTATAAGTAGCCACCTATTTATCTTGCAACGTTCTAGCTAGGTCCCAAGGATGACACGCCAATCATGGATCACTACCAAACACAATACCATTCTTCTTCCTCATATCCTCCATCGTCGTGAGAACACTTCGACTAAGTGCCCTCAAGTCAGCTTCAGCTTCCCGATCACTCTCCTTAATGATACGTCCAAGCTCCTTGGCCTCCCAAGTCAGGTTCAACATATCTGTATACTCAGGGCTGGTATCTCCCAGCTCCTCAGACTCTTGTGATCCTCTTGGGATGAACTCCATAGTACAGATGTCTGTGACGTTCGAAGCCTGACCACCAAAGATCTTGATGGTTCCCTTCTCACAGTAGATCTCGGTTGGTGCTTGGGAGTCATAAATCTTGCTCGTGCGGGCCGAGAGTGTAAAGCTCTGCTGGTGCTTTGAAGACTCAGGCGTGTACTGGAACACGATGAGACCACCGCCATCGACACCTGTTTCGAGGATGACTGGGAAGTATGTCTGAGACGAGGGTTTGCCAAAGAGTCGGACAGCGAATGTGACAGGATAGCAACCCATATCCCATAAACAGCCTCCACTGAACCTGGGAGACGCAACATTTGGAACGTTGCCTTCTGTGATGTCTCCAAATAATGGCGAATACACTGCCATCGAGAGGCTTGCGCCATAAATCTTCCCAAACTTCTCCGTCCTGGTCTTCTCATCATCAAGTAGCCTCTGAAGTCTCTTGAAGTTTGGCTCTTGAATGTGGCGATAAGCTTCTAGAATGAAGAGACCCTTGGAGTCGGCGAGCTCGTAAAGGGCTTCGAGCTCCTTCATGTTGGAGGCGAAGGGCTTTTCCATGATTACATGTTTGCCAGAATTCAAAGATTTGATGCCCTGATCATAGTGCAACGAGTTGGGTGATGCGATGTACACAACATCGATGTTGGAACCTTTGGACAGCATGGTGTCCAAATCATCGTAAGCTTCCACTCTAGAAGCTTCCTTGATCGAGGGCGTCTCTGAAATGAAATTGCTTGCGGTGTCGAGCTTTCTTGAATACACAGCAGTGAGTTGAAATAGTTTGCTCTCATGGCATGATTGAACAAAAGAGTTGGTGATCCAATTCGTCCCCACGACAGCGAGGCCAAATGGAGCAGACATGGTGAGCTGATTGATCTTGAAATTTCAAGAATAAAAATATTATGCGAAGAAAAATTGAGTGATCGAGAACCGAAACTCTGACTTTCTTATAGCTGTAAATACGTGACATCATGGCGATGACGGTGAGAAGTCCGTAACCTGAAAATTGACATTCGTGAGGCCATTTGGCGGCACAGCATTTGGAGTGTTACCTCAATCTGGCAATTGTCGGCGAGTCTAAGGGAATAAGGGCGGAAGAGTGCATTAGTGGATTAGGTGAGGTGAACCGATCAACGGTCTACTCTTTGCTTCCCTGTAGAACATCAAAGACACGAGATTATCGCACCGACGTAATGAAAGGTGATTCCGAATGAGCCGTTTGCATAACAATTCGGTATCTGTTAAAACCATATGGAAATTGCCGAGGTGTCGCTGATTGGCTCGTAGATTGAACCCTCGATAATGCCGTGACCGGGGTCGTATAAGAGCCCGAGATACCGAGTTTATCACGTCACGGAAATACCGACACCTGGAAATTTCCAACTCTTACAATGCTTCAACACATTACTCTGATAAAACCCACTCGCCGAAATTATTCAAGTACTGAAGAATAATAGTCGATAATCATGAATGGTGGATCGGATTTCCAGCAGCTTCAAGACTCGCCTTATCATTCCGATGCCTCCGCGCCAGCGCCCAAAACGCCACGGGTCTTGGCGTGCAACCACTGTCAGCATCGCAAGGTGAAATGCAATCGCGTGTTTCCTTGCAACAACTGCATAAAAGTACGCTCTAAGCTTCAGAAGATGATTTTGATACTGAAACGTTCAGGCAAATGTACCTTGCGTGCCGTCAACGCCTGCTCCAGCTCGCAAGAGAAGAGCCCCAAATGCGCTACTACAAGAGAGGATCAAGAACCTTGAAGCTCTTCTGGAGCAGTACACCTCCCAAGACTCACCCAAGCAAAGTTCTGACACAAATGGACTGACACCCCATGATCCGATGGAAATATGGACCAGGTCTTCACCGGCTCAATCTAACGGGCACGGCGCCCAGACACCAACTGGTCCTGGCAAGCTAGTAGTTCGGAATGGCGGGTACAAGTTCCTGGATAGCTACATCTGGGGCAGAATACACGAAAATGTCCGACATCCCGTTCCAATATACGGTTTCTCAGGTCCTTTACTAACAGTCAGTGCATAGATCTCAGAAATGCGTCATATTCTCGATGAGGACACGTCAGACGAAGAGATTTGCCATCCCACCGATTCACCCGCTCCCCATGAGGACGATGACCTTCTTTTAGCCAGGACTTCTGCTTTGAGTATCAATGATCAAGCTCCTTTGCCTTTCCAGATCCTTCGCTTATGGCAGGTGTTTCTCGAGAGAGTCAATCCCGTAACCAAAATGATACATACTCCAACTACAGAGCATTTGGTAATCGGTGCAATGACAAACCACTCTGATATATCGCACAAGAACCGAGCACTTTTATATGCTATCTATCTTGTTTCTGCCGTCACTTTGACGGGCGAGGAAGCAATGACGATGTTGGGCTTGCATAAGGACGAAGCATTACAGATATTCACCCAAGGCCTGAAGATGGCGCTGAACAAGGTCAATTTTCTCAGGAATTATGATATGGTCGTTCTCCAAGCTCTTGTATTATACTTGGTAAGACCACAGACCCCGAACAGGATGCACTTCGAAGCTAATTACTTTACAGATCGCCTTACAAGGCCGCAGCAACCATGACGCCGTGTGGGTGCTCAGCGGCGTCGTTATTCGCATAGCTCACAAAATGGGTGTCCATCGGGATGGCGAGGCACTTGGCCTGACTCCTTTCGACACAGAGATGCGTCGTCGAGTATGGTGGCGAATCATCATACTGGACTGCATGTACGCCGCAACATCTGGAATGAACCCAACACTGTTGCCGCTGGGTTGCGACACCAAGCTTCCTCATAATATCAACGACACGGACTTTTCCCCAGAGACCAAGGTGATCCAGAACAGGCAGGGTACCACAGAAATGGCGTTTGCTCTGGTTCTCTATGAGATCGTTCACTTTGTCAAGGACCATCAGATGTCCGATTTCGAACACCTTCTGCTAGGAGGTCAAGACGTGGAGCCCGGAACGCCTGATTATGATCTCTATCACGAGTCGTTGGATAAGTTGACACATCTCGCTGATGAATTCGACAAAAAGATGAGTGAGGTTGAGAAACAGTACTGTGATCCATCAGGAGGTCCACTTCACGTCTTCGCCCTGGCCTTTCGACCTCATATCTTGCGAGAAGTCAGAACGATGGCGACACCAATGGAAGAAACACCAGAATGGGGGACTGAAGTTAAAAATTCTCATGATAACTTCTTTCGAATCTGGTTGGCACATAATGAGAATGAACACGCGCTTCATGATCTCATAGCGAACGGTCCTTTTGCGTACTCATCAAAGTCCCACTTTCACTTCGATTCACTCATCTTTCTCGCGGGTCAACTTGTCCATCGCTCACCAGTTGGATCTTTTACAGAACGGACATGGAACATTTTCGATCATTTTTACCGGCATCATGAGGAGCTTTGGAATCTGTCTCAGCATAAGAACCTTCAGCTCGCAAGATTGTTGCTGAAAGCTTGGGAACCTCGACAAAGGGCTCTTGAGCAGCTTGGAACTCCCTTTGAGGTTCCTGAATGTGTGCAGAAGCTTCGAATTGCGGTCTCGCAGGCTGGATTGTCATGGATGAGCCCCAGAGAGATGCCCTTCCAGCCCATAAATGGCGGTGGCCTAGGAGGTATGGATCAGATGCAGATGGGCACAAACGGGAGTGCCTCAACGGATATGTTTCAAAGCCCGACTATGACTGGGGACTGGTCCATGTCAGGTAACCTTCCCACCATGGATAGTATGGATACGCAGACGCCAGTTCTTCCGATCTTTGGCTTCTTCAATAGTACCACATGGTAGGATTTGCGTTTCTTGGGCAGTGTGCGGCAGGAGTGCAGGTATCTGGGAGTTGTGATTTCATAATAGATAATAAGTATCTGTATTCTATCTCAAGCAAGTTAAGCGCCTTCATCACTTCACCCGTCAATCAAGTTCACAAAATCTTGAGGAAGAGGCTTCTCTTCAACCCAAGCTTTGATGCCTTCGACAAACAATTCTGGAAATTGCAAATTCCACGCATGAATAGCCCCCTTGATAAGAACCGCAGTACTCTTCTTTCCATCCTCGCGCCCTTCATTGCGAAACGTCAGAGCCATTTCCTTCGCACCATCAAAATCATCACCTTGATCTCCAGCGGCTGCCAATATCCGCTTGTCCTTCTCACCAACTGCTTTGACGTCTTCATGCTGCCACTTGGCAAGCTCGGCGTAAGCGTCATTGACCAAGTTCCAATCATTGTTGGCAGCGATCTCGTTCCTGAGCTGGGTATGATCTTTGAGACCCTTCATCCAGACGCTGAGACTGTAGAAACCACTATTAAGAACGAGTTTGAGACCGTAATGTAGGAGGCTAGGTCGTTCCGCTGCCCAGACTTGCCATGGCCGGAATGGAGTTGAGCCAGTGACAAATGCCGATTTAACGAGGTCTGGATGTCGGCGGATTAATTCCATCGTGGTGAAGCCGCCCAGTGAAAGGCCAACAACGTGCGCTTGTCCACCGTGAGCATGTTTTCGGATAAGATGCGCGACAGAATCTGCGGCGAGCTCAATGGACCATGGCCCTATTTCTCTTGACTGAGAGTGTTTTGGGAGATCTGGGACGATGAGATGGTAGTCGCTGAGGTGGGGAATAACGTGCTCCCATTCGAGGTTGCAGCTGAAGAGCCCATGGAGTAAGACGATCGTCGTCGGAGAGGCGTCATTATATGACTTGAAAAAAAGCTCTTGTTGAAATGTAGATGCTTGCGACATGATTGCTGAGGTTCACTCTTAACGACAGATTATCTGCAGAATGTTATTCAGTCACATCATGGTGGTTGCTAGGACTTCAGTTGAGCTGCGCCACTGAATTGAATCGGCTAATATTTATCCGAACGCGGCATCCCAATTGTTCTGCCCTGGACAAGTTTGCCTGGCATAGCTCAAAACGACCCCGAGCGAGAATGAATCTGCAGGTACCAAAGGTAATAAATTGTTAACTCTAATTATAGTCGCGGGAGGATGAAAGCTGATTCAGGATCTGAAACTACAGGGATTAAGCGATGATAATTGTGTTGGACACTCTGGCCTCAGCAGCATGTCATATCTCGAAGGATTCATGGAGGGTCGCTTGCGCGTCTTCGCGTCTACCAACACGTTCAGCTAATTAAAATGGTCCGATTAATCTTCGCACCTCCCAAAAAATGATTTTCATTCTCTGCTTGACTTCTTTCTCTTTGTAATGAAATTGCTCACAATGTCTTCTTGACAATGCAGCGTCGTACAAGTCGCAGTCAGGAACCGGGCTACGAAATGGATACAGAGCCCCCTGCGCCCACTAAACCCACTGAAACAACACTGCAGAGCAGAGGATCGGCGCCAATTCTCCACAATGCGGCCTCCCCTGAAGTAGATCCGATGGAGAACAACGACGATAAGAAATATCTTACAGGTTGGAAGCTTCATTCTTTGAGCGCAGCGTAAGTCAGTTACGAAATCTAATATTTCAGTGACTTTAAGCTTATCGTGCCAGGCTTTGGATCAGTCTCTTCTTATCAACACTCGAGACAACCATCGTCAGTACATCGTTGGTCTCCATAACCAATGCCCTCAATGGCTTCATCCTTCGTGATTGGATCGTCACATCCTACTTGTTGACATATACCGGTGCGCACATTGCTTCTTTCTCATGGCAGACATATTACTGACGGTGGCAGGCTTTTTGACTATTTATGCCAAGCTTAGCGACGTTTTCGGGAAGAAGACGATGCTTTTGCTTGCACTACTCATTTTCACGCTGTTCTCTGGTCTTTGTGGTGCTGCAAACAATGTCGTTGATCTGTAGGCAATATTAACATCCAGTCTGATACCTCGCTAACAACCTCTTAGCATCATCCTTCGAGCGTTCCAAGGCATTGGCGCATCAGGCATCTATGCCATGATTCTCGCAATCGCTCCGAGCTTAGTGCCGATCAGCAAATACGCAAAATACATGGGCGTCATGTCGACAGTCTTCATCACCGCAAGCGTTCTGGGCCCTATCTTGGGAGGTGTGATTAGCCAGCATTCAACCTGGCGTTGGGTCTTTCTTCTCAAGTACGACCCTGGCTTTATGCTCCATCGTGACATGCTGACACAAGACCATAGTCTTCCGGGAGGAGCCATCGCCTTTGTTATGGTTTGCTTCTTCCTACCGGCTTCCGAAGAATCATCCAGCCTCTCCCTTCTGAAAGTACTGCGGTCAAAGGTTCGACGCTCGAACTGGGTCAGGATCGATGTGCTCGGAATAATACTCCTCCTTGCAGCCTCAGTTCTCCTCGTATTCGCACTTGAGGAGGGAGGTACTCGATACTCATGGGGCAACGCGATTGTCGTAGCCACCCTGGTTCTGGCAGTTGTGCTCTTCATCGCCTTTGGTTTCTGGGAAGTCTACGTTGAAAAGTCGCCAAACAGGCAAGAACCTGTGTTCCCGCCGAGTATTTGCAAGGATAGAATCTCAAGCGCCATGCTACTGTAAGCCACGCACCCTTTTACTCCTCCACATGTACTGACTGATTGTACAGGACCACTTGCTTCGTTGGCTTCCCTTTCGTCTCGATGGTCGTCAACATTCCGCAAAGGGCGCAAGCAGTGTATGGAATGTCACCATCTCGCGCTGGCATCATCCTACTTCCCATGATGCTAACTTCTCCTGCTGCAACTGTTCTTTCAGGTTACTTGACTGGAAACGCTAAGGTGCCACCCGCATACCTGATAATTATCGCTGCGGTGCTACAAGTCTTAGGCGTCGGCTTGACATGCTCACTGTCCACAGATACAACTGACATGCCAGATGCTCAGTACGGATATGAGGTGTTGATGGGAGTTGGGTTCGGTATGAGTCTGGCTACCATCTTGACTTTTGCTAGAGTGGTGGTTTCTGAAGCAAATCTGCGTAGGTAACCCTTTGTCGGTAAGAATCGGGAGTGCTAACAGTATAAAGCTGTGATGATGGGCGCATTGACTCAGATCCGTGTTCTCGGTGGCACAGTCTCACTCGCAATCTGGTAATTTCGACCCGTCACGTGTCTACCAAGCATGAATTACTGACAGGTCCGTAGCGCTACGCTTCTCAACAATCATCTGAAACCGAAGCTGCACGACCTTGTCTCTTCGGAGCAGGCAGCGGCTATCCTTGACTCCGTATCTGCGATAGATGATCTAGAACGGTCCCAGCAGCTAGCTGTGAGAAAGGCATTTGCCGAAGGTTACAACCTGCAGAATATCTTCATGACAGCCATGTCTGCTGCTGGTTTGATCGCTTCTTTATTCTTGTTGGAGAGACATCCACGTATAGCAAAGTAGAGTGCCAGAGGACTCCGTCCCCTAAAGTGATATCTTTTTATAGGTCTGTAATTTAGAGATTATCTACAGCATTATTTATAGTTGGAAACTATTATTCTTACAGTATAATATTTATAGTAATACTAGGTTAATAGATAGAAGTAAAAATATATAAGGTATTATTGCGTATTCAGAGCTCGGCCAATAACACTATAAGAACGGTAGAAGCGAGATAGAGATTGGTTAAGACTTGCGCAATTCTGATTTGTGTCTACACGTTGCCGTTGAGATACTGGCTAGAGTATAACAATCTCCGCGGCCCGTTGAGTAGATTGGGCATCAGCAATAGTAATATGTCGCAGCAAAAGCAACTGAGGCAACATACGAGGAAGATAATATAAGGTGAATTTTTGCCTATAATATAACTTACTATAATATTATTTTCAATCTTGGATATAAAGATTAACCCATATTTAATAAGTTTCTTTTCCTTTCCCTATCCCCCTGGTTTTCTTGTTTTCGCATTTCTGGTACTCCATCCACCCATTTCACCCAAGACCTCCACCAACGCGCACGAAGTGTTAGTGAATGCCTACTCCACAGCTTGATTTGAGAACCAGTCCCATGGCATCGCCAAGCATCAACTCTCTCACCACAATCCACAAAGATTCTCTGAAGCATTATCTTCATCAAACATCCTAGCTCAGACTCAGAGTTAATACCTTCAACCTTCCGCCTCACTTCCTTCTGCCAGTTGGCATACCATTCTTCCCTTTCAGAGTCGCTTTTGGGCTTAGGGAATTCTTCTTTATCAAGACCATACATCTTCTCAAGCATAACAATGCCCGTAGACCACACATCAGACCTGTCATCGACTACTTTCGCCGTTTCGTCGAAGATTTCGGGTGCCTTATAATATGCTGTTCCATAGAAGTACTCGGACTGTTCTGTATATTTACCCGCGATGCCAAAGTCTGCAAGTACAATCTGGAAGGTTTTTGGCGTCCGCTTCCTAATTAAAATATTGCCTGGTTTTATATCCCGATGTAATATGTCATAATTCTTGAGCTGCATAAGTCCCACAAGGATTTGTCTGAAAGCGGTAACAGACTCTTTCTCCGTGAGGGAACAGCCAGCTAAGCTCCCAAGAGGATATATCGGCATAAGTATCACGGGAGACCCAAAGCCATCCCTTACTATACCTAGCACTTCGACAATGAAGCGCTGTGCATATTGTTAGAACAAGCCTTTTAAAATAAGATTCACAACGTACAGAGTCTCTTGACATGTAAGTGAATTCCTTTTTCACCTTTTCCATGGTGTTCTGCCCGTTAGGGTCATTTTTCGATGGTTTGATAGCTTTTCCAGCATACTTCCGCCCACTGGCGTATTGGATATATTTGTAGACTGCCCCAAACCCTCCTTGACCAAGAATTTCATCTCGATGATAACGTTGTGGCTCGAGTAATGGGTACCTACTCCCCACGTCAGATCCAACCGGAGGGAACCAGGATGCACTCTGGACTAGATTCTGAAGGTATGGAGGATCAGAAGGACTCTGATGATGGTTGGGAAATATAATTCGAAAAGAAAGTGGCCCTATACTTATCGTCACATTCTTCCATGGCGCCATGGAACCTGGCTGGAATGCAAGGATAGAGCTGCCACAGAAAGCTTCCGACTTATTTTGACCATCAAAGCTAACAGAGACCATAGGAAAGGTTTCTGTGTTACTCGAACGGCGGGATAAAACAATGTAAGGCTTATATTCGCGATAAATGCTCAATTCTAGGGCTTCAGGCTCGATTAAGAGATCTTTTCCCAAGTAGACAGTAGATGTTGGATCGCCCCCAATTGTCCAGCGAGGTCTTTTGTAGTCAGGCTGCCTGATTTCGTCAGGACAACCAAACTTGCGTCGAGGATGCTGAAAATGGATCTCGAGGTGTTCACAGCTGTCCCAACTCTTCCCATAATCCCGGTTTTGCCCGTCACTGTGCGGGGTACTTGGTTTGTGATGGAATGACGCATTTTCGGGGAGTCGGAAAGCTCTTTTTGCGTTTGTTTCCAGTGGGAAGAGAACAGCAAGAATATCTGGGTCCATTGCTAATATACAACTTGCAGGATGCGTCTTGAACGAAGGGACAAAGAAGGCTAATGCCAAGATATAAGGATGATTCGGTTAGAAATTGCGAATTCATCAGAGAACCGGCATAAGGAATTCTTGTGATGAGAGCTGAAACGGGAGAAGAGGTAAAAGTTCTAGTGATTGGCCATATGAAAATTACAATGCATGAAATTACAAACACTGTAGCACCCTCCAGATAGAATCAGGGAGGTTTATTGGTTGCAAATCGTGCGATGAAACCAAATAATAGGGCATGATCCAATGATTTAAGCCACATAAGCTGACACGCATGAAAGGGCTTTTCAGCCTCACAGAACACGTAAAAAAGATAAAGTATATGCCTCCTCTCTTGATGGGTCACGTTGGTACTGGTAAACGCAGTGCCAAAAGCCCTGGAAACAGATGTTAGAATTTGCAATTATGTTTTGCATAACCAGTGTTGAATTCTCAGTATAGCTATTTCGTGCATATAGGACTATCAGTTCTCGGAAGATCGCTTGTCTTCGTCCTTCCTTGGTCGCCTCTCCGAAGTATCTTCTTGACCCTGGGTAGTGGTTTCTTCTTCAGGTTGTTGATATGTTGCCTGACCCGTGTTTTCAGATGAATTGTTCAGAGTTGATTCTGGCCGCGACACTATGCCCTCCTCGCGCCTGACTTTATCTTCAAGTTCAGTCATCATGGACTATGAGTTTTAGTACTATATGGTGACTTCAGCACTTTTACTCACCACCGAGAGGTAGATAGGGCTGTGACTTCAAGGGACAGAGATTGGTGAGTTGGGTCTTGTAATGATGTATAAGGTTCAGATGGAGCGGCAAAATCAGATACGGAAAACCTCTTTATGTAGGCACTGAGCTGGAGGAAGGTCTAGACGAGTTGGAATTTCTGAGCCTCAAACAGCCCCTCTCTCATGCAGGAAAATCCAAATCCAGCCATCAGGGAATCAACATATGCAGCACACACCACCACGTGTTGCGAACCCATTGGCCTCAGGATCAGTGGCGTGCCACAGCCTTCAAGGAGGCACACAAGGTCAGATTCTTGGACCGCGGCGGCCTCACCTATTCCGATCTCATAGTTGAGCTGTATTTTGCCCAAGTTGGTTGGCTTGACCACGAATATTGAACGATTCGCCAATGCTAATGCCATTGTCCTATATCTATAGCCGAACCTTTTGATAAGGCTCTCAGCAGTTGAACTTAGGGCTTGTTTGTTGTCCGAAGATTCCAGTGGCAGTTCATCGAGAAGTTCTCCGAATGAATCATCGACTTCGTGACCAAGAAGGCCAAGAGAGCATGTGCGGCGGAAAGATTCACCTGAAAGTTGATTCGGCAGTGCTAATTCTGATAGGTCTCTGAAGACTAATGGAAGCTGGCGGTATAAGCTTAGGTATTCAAGGTTCGCAATTCGGGCTTTGTCTCTCATCCGCTCTGTGTCGATATTAATCAACGGATCTCTCAACCCCACTACTGTACCGAAACAAATTCCCCAAGCAAGTAGTACTTCTTTTCCGGAACGTTGTAGAAAACTGACTCGAGCTACTGAGTTACCCATGGCTCGTTGTTGGTTATAAGAGATCGGTCGATCCGCTGTGTCAGGTGTTTTATATGTGCCCCAATTCGGAACCCATGATGGCAGATCCCATGAGCCGGTTCTATCTGCCGCATTGACATAAGAAAGGACATCGAGAGAACAGCTAGTCTCAATAATGGCCTTGGCTGATTCTGTATATACTCTAGAAATTGATCTCGTATAATCGATTTCGAGCCGTTGGGAACGGCTATCTTTCATGTCGGAGGCCGCTAAGATAGAAAACACTTTGTCCCTTGGATCTACGCATAGTCTTGACCAACTATGCCTCAAGAGACTAAGTAAAGGCCAAGAACCTTGAGTCCTAGGAGTCAACAATGCTGACGTTCCCTGATTGGGAGAACTTATGAACAACTCTGAAAGTGACGTCTCGGGGGAACAGAGAATGCTGCGATACACTGATACAGACAAGAAAGAATTGAGACCTATCAGTGCTCGAAGCCTTCGTTCTTGATACTTTGTCTTCATGACAGTCTTTACCCTGGGGTCCTTGAGTATTTCCATGACTACTTCAATATCCCCTTCTGAAATGCAAAGCGCACCCGATTGCAATTTCCAAAATCGAGCTGAGCTGACTTCTTGGATAATCCAAGCTCTTCGCCAATAAGGCGGACGATACTTTCGTTCGCCGATGACAAGCTGGAGAGAATAGAGACCATCTTCAAATACTTTTTCAAGGTCCTCTTTGCTTGGGCTGTCCAGCAATAGTGCAAATAGTTCGTCTGTCGAGTATGATCTGGCCAATTCGATCAACGACCTTGCTGTTTTCATTTGTTCAACATAGTCAATGGGATCATCCATAAGCCCAAGCCATGAAATGACACACGAGGCAGAGGAATAGATCCGGCCCATTGCACGAACTTGCGAATTTCTCTCATCTACATCGGATTGATTTATGCAGATGGCGTCGATCCAAAGAGAACGCAATTTTACGTCGTGTCTCAGATACGTCAGGGCGTCTGTCAGATTTCGGGTGACTTGCAGCGTGGTTTCATTTACTGTTATCGTCGCGTTATCCTCGGAGCTGCCCCAAGCGTAAGAAAGGGCTTCATAGTCGACCTTGTCTTCCAGTAAGTTTAAAGTTTTTAGCTTGCAAGTGATCAGAGTGCCGTGGCTTTTGGGTAGTAGTATGCAAATTCTGATATCAAAATGTTTCTTGTCAGAAGTAAGAGGATGGTAAAGGTTCATTATTCCAATAGTGAAAGTTGGGTCTTGAGGGGGGAAGCTGTGATGTGATCGATTAAATGACCTTGCGGATATTTATGTTTTAGAATAATGCGGCAAGGTGGTTGAGTCTGGCTTGGCGGGACTGGTGAAGAACCTAAGACACCGTTTATTGGAGGCTGAGTATTGAAAATTCATGCCCAAGGCAGACTAACTGGGCTGACCTTGTGCAACCACTATGTGACCGGGGGGTCAGTCAGTCGCTTTAAGTTGTTAGGGATGATTTAGCCCCTACGACGTTGCCGTGCTGGAGGATCTCCTCCAACTCTATTTGGCTAAAGTTCGAGACTCTGATGGCCTTGGAATTAATTAATTATGTTAATGAAATATTAAGCATTAAGGGATTTTGGTGGTATTGTTTGGGTGAGAAAACGCTGCGTATTCTCATTTCACCCCGAGCCTGACTTCTCGGCACCGTTGTGCAAAGTTGGGTAAGTAGATAGCGGGGCCGTTACATTGTCCGACGGAGAAGCCTGTTACGGGCATTACCTTTCTATCTCCGGGGAAAATGGGGCTAGGAAAATGTGTGAGGTGGATTCATGTTGCCAATTTGACGACTAGTAGGACAAACGTATTAAGTCCTGAACCCATTCGGAGCCACTCGTAGGTGAGTCGCAGTTACTCGGATGAGATAGCCCGGAGATCCCAAAGGGGTAAAGTGCCGATGAAGCTCAAGGTTTAAAGGCACAGACATCCTTGTCGGGGGCTTTCGTGCTTGTCTCGTGCTACGACTTTCTTTCTACACAATAAATAAGATGAACGGACCTCAAGCTGGAGAATGTCAAAGAAATGAGGCGATTTTTGACGGGCTCCTCGTTGACCTGGACGGGACGCTCATCGACTCAACAGAAGCAGTCGTCAAGCATTGGACAGAGTAAGCGATCACTTGAGACAGAGTCCGTGGGCACTAACATCTTCCAGTGTAGGGAAGAGAATCAACGTCGACCCAAGAGTTATCCTCGAGATGTCGCATGGTCGTCGCAGTCTCGATGTGCTGCAGGTTATTGCACCAGATTTTGCTACCTGGGACTGTAAATCGTCGTGATCACCTCAAAATCCATGTACTTGACTGACTGCTTTTAGTCGTAAGGTCCATTGAAAGCGTGATTCTGGTCAACCACGGGCACCTGGCGAAGGAGATTCCAGGCGCTATCGACTTTCTTTCCGCTCTCGCCGCACACTCTGTGCCCTGGGCTCTTGTGACGTCGAGTACCCTACCACTTGTACAACAGTGGCGGGAAACGCGGAATCTAGCACTGCCGACAGCGCCAAAACTCCTCGTCACAGCAGAGTCTGTGGAGAGCGGCAAGCCAGATCCTGCTGCTTATGTACTGGGGCGTGAAAGGCTCGGACTGGTTGACGAACGGTTCGACATCCTTGTCATCGAGGATAGCCCCGCGGGCATTGCGGCCGGCAAGGCAGCAGGCTGTAGGGTCATCGGCTTATTAACTAGCCATACGTATAAGCAGATTGCGTCGTCGACGCCTGATTGGATCTTGCAGGATCTGCGGTCGCTGAAGATCTTGCGAAATACGAACGGGAAGGTGGTGGTTGAGATGTCAATTGTGGGGAGGGAAGCATGAGAAGGGTGGCACAGACGCAGGAGCGTTAACTGCAGAGCATGTTGACTTAAGAAAGTGACTCTAAGGGGAAGAGAAACGATGCCATCACGGGAGAGGGGGGGAGGGGGAGGTCAGAAATCATGTTGCCAGGAATTCACACAACTAACTAGCTATTTAACTGCCCTATCTTCTTAACTAAATAAAAATAATTTATAGTAAATCCTTTTGACGCAAGATCACCGTGAGACGGATGCTATTTAAGTTCGAATCCTGTCCCTGTTTTTTGGAGCGTTGGTCTCGATTCGAAGTTTAGGTCTCGTACCTCGTGGCCCTTGCACCCTCTTGTATAAGCTACTTTAGCTAGTAATACAGCTTGGTTACACTAAATACCCTTTAGGCACATTACCAGACGTGACTTGAACAACATCCATGAGTAACGCTAGTAATCCCTAGCACAACCGGTTTATCCCTTGTGAATCCTTATGATCGTCACAAAACTGGCCGTGAACCTCGTGCGGTTTCAGTGGCCTCTTCTTTGAGCTCGCAAATTAGCAAACATCTCGCAGTCGGGGAATGGTATCAATGAAGCAGTTTGAGGGTGAGATCGAGCAGATCTGATCGAAGAAGTAGGCCAACTTCGTCGAATAGATCCCAGATAAGGTGCAAATCACTCACCACGATATCATCCCGCGCGGATTGTTGGCTTCGACGTTCGTAGGAAATTCCATTGTTGTCCATGAGATTTACGGCTGGTAAGTGAGAAATTCACCGTCATGACCCGACGTAAGGCCTTCCTGCACTGATAAGCGACACAGGGGATAGACGAGATGGAGTTCACGGGGGACAAATCGAACATTTATGACTCCCTGTATAGATTCCAGCAGAAGATACAGAAATAGAGGACTTGAAAGTGGAGGGGTATGAGTAGGTGCCGGAACAGGTCAAGTTGGCCTGCTGATGGGACCAGCATGAGGGTGGCAGCGAGGGAGCTCGCCTTCATAGGTAGTTGTGCACATCAAGGGTTCCGGTTGCCTCAGTCACTAGTTGAGGGAATCGTGTACCTGTTGATGATGCCCTTGTCTTGAAGCTCGAGAATGCAGTGACTTTCTGCGTCTTCCTTGTCCTCCCTGCCATTACCGCTGTCGGGTCCACGACCCCGTCTCTTCACGCGGATAGCGTCGCTGGTTGCATTGACGCCGTGAAAGAAGCGGGATATCTCGCGGAGTTTCTGGCTGAGAAAGTCGATATCGGCAAAATCCACTGTAGTGATGAAATCGCCAGCTCCTTCGTTGTCGAGCGCCATGTCCTCTAGCAAGGTGGACGCTGCCACAAAGATACTATATGCCAGGAAGGGAGTCGCCGTGTATCCCTTATCGTCGACGGCTTCAGCAATCGCCAGAGTCTGCAAGATCTTTTGGCAAGCAACCTGGGCGGATCTCTTACTCCTCTCGTGTACAATAAGAGATCGATACCTTCTGGTTGACAAGAGCGCGACGAAGGTATAAAAGTAGAGGTGAAGCATCAAAAAGAGGCCGGCATGCCCATCACTCGAAGACTTCTTGTAGGTATCCGTGCTAAAGATAAGACTAGCGTCGAGGCCATGGTAGCATTGTGCCACTTTCTTTTCAATGTTTTCGATTTCTTCGAGAGAGCAGGTGTATTCGGCGCCCTTGTTCAGATTAAAGAGCTCAACAGCTTCAGAAAATATGTACATGGAACGTGCCATTGCAGGAAAGATGATGTGGCACATCTTGTGAGAACCATCAAAGTCAAGATGTACCGGCTTCATGTCGTCCGCGGTCGGCAGCGGCACCTCGATCTCGGCACGTCTGATCGTGGGCGGACGCCCCATTAGCAAGGAGACGTAGACGTCTAAAGTGAAGGCAGACCAAAACATGACGAGTCTCGACTTTTGTTGATGAAGAGCAGACTGTTCGTCAGTGGGGACCCTAATGCCCTGCAAACTAAGCGGGGCGTGATCATAGAAAGCCGCTTGCGGATCAAGATCGGTCGCGTCGGAGCGATGAAGGCCGAGGTCCTGCGCCATGCGGATCGCCATGCCTGAGAACATCCACAACCCTCCTTCGCCACTGTTGCTTCCGAATTCTGCCCACGAAAGGACGATGAGCCCAGCAACCACGTCGGGCGCAGGGACAGCCAAGAGGCACATGAGTTGTTCCTTGGCAGCTTTGAGGAAGCGTGCCCCTGCCCGCCGCTCGTAACCTGGCTCCGAATCGCTGTCTGTGGTCGACTGAAACATGTCGGCCGGGCAAAAGCGAGCCGTCAGGGCCAAGATGGAGCTAATGAGGAACTTGGATGCCTGCCTCGAGCGGACGTGGCCGGCAAGGATCTGGTTGTTAAGAAAGGGAAAATGACCGCCGAAAGTCTGAAAGAAGATATGCAAGGCCCGATATACCACGTCGAAGTGCAGTCCGTAGAAGTAATCTGGCATCGCATCATCTCCACAGCCCGAGGAAGTGACGGAAGATGGCGCCTGTTGCATGCTGGTCGACATATCTGCTTCACGAAGGTCTTCCAACGGTGGTCCTGAACTGCTATCAGAACGCGCTCCTACGGCAACGGAGAGTCGCTTCAGGCCTGGAGCCACCGCCGTTGGACCGTATCTTCGGAATATGCGGAGTTGGATTTGTTTTGGTCGCCTTCCCGCAGTAAGGGTGGAATCGAGGCCGAATGGTGATTGCTTGGTAAAGTGACGGCGTCGAGATTCAGAACAAAGTCTTCAACAGCGGGCCACGCTGGCGACATGCCTATGATCCCTAGGCCTTCATTGTCCATCTCTAAGACTCCTGCCTGGTGCCACGGCATCGGAGACTGGCCGCAGTAGAGTGAAGTTGCAGGGTCGGTACTCCCAAACAAACTGAGAGGATTAGTTTCGAGGTCTGGTAGGTGCCTCGTCCTGACAAGCTGATTCGCAGACCCCGTCTCCGCCTCCACTGGCGAATGCTCTATTGATGATCCGCCAGTTTGAGGCGGATGCGCTTCAATGCTCCTATCCGCCACCTGTTCATGCCCAACATGCAGTTTGCGTCGTTTCCGGCCATCTGTCGTATCCCAGAGACATTCCAGGTTGGCCTGTCTACACGCACGACAGGATTGTTCGCTAGAGTTCCCGCCTAGATCGCATTTCACCTTTCGCGCCCGGCACATGCGGCAGGCTTTGGACGAGAGGCGACTCCGTCGATTAGAATGAATGAGCTATAAGTCATTCGCAGTGCTGAGGCGGAAAGTTGCTGTCATTGGCACGTCGTCGCTGCCGCCCCGCTGCATTTTGACCGCGAAGTTCTGGTATATGGAAGGAAGCGTAAATTGAGCTTCACAACTTCAGATCGCGAGGTTGCTATCTGGCGGTCATGGTGGTAACTGGTAACGTGATGAGACCCAAAGGACGGTAACGGTTATGGATAAAACCCAGGCGGAGAAGCAGGGCAGAATGGACCTGACTTAGCAGGTTCGACTAGGCCAGGCGCTGGAGGCTCGGCCCTACTTATGCATTTTGATATTAAATAAGATATAACTTATTTACACCCGTCATTTTAATATTTTACTTATTTATAAGAAAATATAAAATATTTCTATTATTTATAACTTAACTTTTAAAAATAATATTATAATTAAAGACTTATTATAAAAGTGGTATTATTATTTTTTACTAATAAATGTATAAATATACTTTAACTTAAATATATAAAGAGGCCGACTTATAAAGTGAATAATATTACTATACTATAACTTGGTTTATACAGTATCTTAAACTACCTGGTGCATAGAAAAGGGATCCTCAGAGTCGCTAGACAAACTATGTCTATGTTCATCTTTTCCTTGTATTACCACACGGTGCGTCACCGGACCATGTCCTGGCTGTGGTCGGCCTCTCTTTTGGTCGACATCGGTACGCACGACAATTGTTGACTCTAAGGGACGGAGCTGATCCTTACTCTCAGATGAATGAAGCGTCCTGGGCAGATCATTCATTTCATGGCTCCGGGAAGTACCTGTTTGGCGAGCCGTGATAATGCCCCTGGAATTTTCATGCCTTGCGTACGAGGATTGGTCATGGCTAGAACCGCGCTCATGACCTGATAGCAGAGGCCGGAGAGTTGGAACGCAAGCGCAGATGATACCACAGCACAGCTCGCTGACTGACCAAGATGCTGATTCGACATTATGCCATGTGATGTCCGTACCAATGTTAAGGAACTTGATGCGAACGAGTGAGATAAGACACGTGCTGTTTCGTGTTAGTCGTAAAAGACAAGCCTAGATAGGTTTAAGAAACTGACAAAATTCCGAGGCAAAAGACAGACATAAGAATCCACTTTTGTCGCCGACCGAGCTTCAGACTGCGAAGAACGGGGATCGGGAGGGCCATGATCAAGATATCGGTCAAGATGTTACCCGCCGCGCTGACATAAAATGAAGATTTGTTGAGAATACAGGTGCCCTTGATCGTGACATCCCAGAAGGATGCAATAGGCACGCACATAAAAGTATTTAGAAAGATTTGAGAGAGACTCCAGCAAGTGACGAGGACGACGGATGTGATATATGTCTTCTTGTAATGGCGCACAGGTATCGCACGGTAATACTGGAGGAGAAATATTGTCTTGATAACTGCGAGGGCGAGGTTGTAGACGACGGTTGAGAAGTAAAACATCTGGCTTGTTTTAGCTAGGTTGCTAGTTGGGTATCAGTAAAGCCTACCCTCAAGAAATTACTAATTTGTTCGCCAGAAAGTGTAGATATATGAGAGCCAAGGCCATTTCTAACGTCTATAGTATATTAGTGAAATGCAAGAGAAAAATTACTTTAATAGGGCGCCTTTACTTGTTGCGATGATACAAGCGTCAGCGATCGTCAACAGCTGTTTGTCATTAGTAAGAACATTTCTCAGTATCGAATGCGAGACCCACGCAAGCAAGGATCGCACATGCGTCATCGACGCCAAAGTTTCTCAGCATGATGGCCCGGGCGTAGACTCGCAGGGATACAACGATAAGAGAAATTGACGACAGGGTCGCCATAACAGCTATGGCGACCGCACTCCTGGACTCGGAGGCATAATCTGAAGCAGCCATGGCCATAGACGTCTTGTATGAAGGAGTGATGACAAGTACAAAATGGAGCACTCACCAAGCTGTAGAGCAGCGGCTTGGCAGAGATTTAAGTCAGTAGAGGATACAGCCAACGCGAGAAAGTGGCTAAAGGGCTAAAGAGTCGAGAATCGAGCCAGATGTCAGATCATCAATTTGGGGGCTGCTTACTTGACGCCAGTTCATCCCAAGTTATGAACGATCGGAACATGCTACCATCAGTTAGAGCAATCGGTAGCCGGAAACAGCCATGTGGCTTTGAGACTAGAGCAATAAGGTTCGTTAGCCAGGGAGCAAGTGGCTGTTAGGCTTCCCAGCAGCGAATCAAAATGGAGAGGGGGTCGTCTCACAATTTCAATTATGGGCCTATTCCGAGTTGCTGGATTTTCGAGTCATGGACGATCAGAACGCACAGACACTAGCACGGGGAAGGGAACCGCGTATTCGAGACTTGCGGAATTACTGTGAAACCCCAGATTTGGCTGTTTCTTCCGCTCGAGGAGGGGTTACCTGCAGCAAATGGGCGCTGTAAACAACACAGCAGGGGGGTAAAGAAGGTTCAGTAGTTCAGGAGAATGGCCATGTGCTGAGACACCACATAATACAAGTATCACCCACAACTTCGCCATTGCTACTTGTGTCAATGGTTCTAGCGGCCAGCTGCAGCATAACAAACGACGTAGGGTTAGATGTGATCATGGAGCGATTCTTGAGGTGATAAGATAACCTAGGAACGGTCGATGCTGACTGAAGCTAGCCTCGAAAGGCGGAGAAAATATTGCATCGAGCACTAGCAGATAACAGGTTAATACCCAGAGCTGTTAAAATGCCGACTTGTTTACTTTTTCAAACTGGGAAACCTTTGTGGGAACATAGGTGATCTCTAAAAGTCGGAAACAAGATGCCGATAGCCCTATGCCTGAAAATCATTATTTCTCCTTCCAGGCACTTTCCATAACCTCCAAAGGCGTTGTAACTTTCAAGTCGGGGAACTTGTCGTCCAACGGTGGGAGATCTCGAGGCACGAGATAGCGGCCAATGCCAGCTTGGTAATGAATCATGGCGAAGAATGCTTCATCGCCTTCACCATGACCAATCGATGGATAATCAGGAAAGAATGAGATCTTACCAGACTTCAACTTCTCCAGGCTATCAACAGCGACATCAAATTTGGTCCCTAGGAGCAATTAGTAACCAATGGCTGACAATGATGGATATGTTCCTACCTCTGGCCTTCTCCGCGGCTGCGACTAATTGGTTGAATGACAAGGTGTTGGCACGAATGGCGCTGATCTTGTCCCACTTCTCAAGATCCATCAAGCGCGCAACAAATCTGGACATATCCTGAGATGTAAGGAAGCTGGCCTGAATATTTCCATCAGCTGGAATGACTGCCCATTTGCTTTCCATGTTGATGATGTTGATCCATGGCTCGAGATTACACTTCCAGTGCGGCATGCCGTAGTAGTCGAGAAACCAGCCGTTGGCGATACGAGTGTACGTAAGGCTAGTCTTTTCAAGTTCATCAATGGCCTCAAAGGTGTATCTGGTCAATGGCGAGAGTTCTATATCCCTATACCGATGATCAGTCACGCCTGAGGAGTCCCAGGATTACTTACTCTTTAACATGCAGCATGTCGAAGCTGCTGATGACGAAGCGCTCGGTTGTTGAAGACCGTTCAGCAGCCTGAATCAAATTCTTCTGTGCCTGGTTTGCCTCTGGTGATACGACACTTATGGCGCAGATGAGAGTATTGACTCCTGCATCCTCCAGGGCTTTCGTGATAGCATCAGGGTCATTATAGTCTACTTTGAGGTAGTTCACGGCGCCTTGCGCGGGCCGTTCCTATTACTGGTCAACTTCAACATCCCCCAGAAGATTAAACGCAGAAGACTTGCTTACCTTTCTAGACAGAGCATACACTTTGTGTTTCCCATATTCCACGAGACCATCGACGATGGTGCTGCCCACGCTTCCAGTTCCGCCGGCGACTGCAACGACTTTCATGATATTGAGTTCGTAGGTTCAGTAGAGACCTGGGCAAAGGTGCGATGTAAAACAAGATGTTGTATGTAAGGAGGAAATTTGAATGAAAATTCTGTTCCCCTCAGAAACCAGCTGATTTTTAGTATAACAAGCCTGTCTTTATAGAGCGGTAAAGTAAGCAGGCTTTGACGATGGACAAATGCGGAAGTTTTACCAATCGTGAGGTTACAACATTGCGGGGTATATTACCCATTACGGTAGTAACTTCAACCTCGCCACCTCAGATCTAACGACTACTGACCGCCACCAAACATAGCATCCCCATCCATAATATAATATCCTCATCACAAATGCTACTGTGTAGTGCTTGAAACAATTCACTAGTGGGAAGCAATGGGTGAGCGGAAAGCAGTGACCACCCCGCAAACCCTAAATGGTGGGCATGGGTAGCGACAAAGATAAGGAAGAAGATATTCGATGGAAAGAAGTTCAATTGATGGCTTTTCGACTATCATAAACCCGATAATGGTAACTCCATGCGCCGATACGTCAGTAGCTGTTCATCACAGCTGACTTCGTTCATAAATAACAGGTTCATCAACCTCAACAACCTCCTTCATGTTCTCCCATAACTTAACAGATTCAAAAACAGTTTCGCTTGCTCCTGGTCCTTCAACAAACCAGCTCAAACCCGTGCAATCTCCAGTATCCGCATAAACCATAGTCGACAACGCGAAGCGATCATTGGCAAAGACCTCGAGAACGTCGCCGTCGCAAAAGATTCTCAAATGAAGTTTTTCCAACTCCTCTGAGCCGTTCCTGTCTGAGTAGAAGAGAGTGAAAGGGCCGGAAACAGCATCCTTTTCGACATCGGCTTCGTAGTTGGATTTGCTTCGTTCGACGGTGATCTTCTCGCTTTGAGAAGAGAAGTGAATGGCTGTTCCTTGGGACAAGTCTTCGTTATGTCGAATCCAGAATCCAAGGCCTTGGTCGTTTGGTGAGACCTTGATTGTAGCTTCTAGCTCCCAGCTTCCGGTATGTGTGTCGGCAAGCTTTCCAAGATTGGCGTCGCTGTCGATGTTTTTCCAGTAACCAGGCTTGTCTCGTCTAAGTCCTTGCAGATCTGGCAGTGGCCGAATTCCCAGTGTTTGAACCGTCTTTGACCCCCTTCCATTCTCGGTAGCCTTAATGCAACCAACCTCTGCCAATGACGAAGTAAGAGTCCTCGTTACGTTTTCAACCGTGTATAAAAATAGCTCGCGAGGGATAGAGAAGTATCCGGTCCAACCCTTGGATTCGCGTCGGGCCAATGTAAGCTCGTCCTCCTTCAACCATCCCCAGACGATCCTGTTCTTCGTGATAGGATGCTCGTAAGAGTTAGGTGCGTATAAACATCCGTGGTCGAGGATTCCGCTGTACTCGGGCTTTATCCTGGGTCCTTGTTCGGTCTGCTCAAGAGACCCAGCCATCCAAAGCGACCACTGATCACGACCCTCCTTAGCACCAGGTTTAACTCCTCCTTCAGTTCCCATAAGCAAGAAAGGCCGCTCCTCGGACTCGTTGTGAAGAGTCATGAAGTTGACGCATTCCCAATTGACACCGAAGTCGCCGCCCCATCGTCCGGAGGGGCTGAATCCTGTGGGTAAATCGATCAAAGGGCCGAGGTATGTCCACTGTGTCAAATCGGTCGGTGAGATCGCGTAGAGAAACACTGTAGGTCCGCCGTCGACAACACCTCCAGAAACAAAGCCATACAAGCTTGCCTCGCCTCTCATTTCATCCAAAGCAGGCCATTCTGCAAGATATGGGTCTCTGAACCCTGTGACGGTGAGATCTTCGGGTTCACCCTCCAAGATTGGGTTCTGTTCACTCTTCTGCCATGTCTTACCACCGTCTGTCGATGTTGCTACTGACAGTCCAGCGCAATTTCGAGTGTACGGCAGAGTCCAGTGGATGGGAAGATTTGTGATGGATGAGTAGATAACAGTGAGTTGGCCTTCTTCTCCTTGAAGACCTGTAGGGTGAAGACAGCCAGTGAAGATGCCCTTGTCATCGTAAGGCTCAGAGGGTTCTAGGACTGGATTTTGTGTGTTTTGCTTCCAAGTAAGACCGTCTCTGCTTGTGTAATGACCCCAAGTGATGTCACCCCAATCGCAGGATTTGGGGTTCCCTGGTGGCAAAGTCAGCTTGAGAGTTGGCCGAGAGATTGAATGGGTGTACTCACATTGATAAGATAGGTGGTATGTGCCAGTTGAGGCGTCATATCCCGGTGCGCACGGATCATTGATCCAACCTCGAGGTGCCTTGAGGTGGTATGTCGGCGAAGGATGCCATCGAGGGCGGGGTGTAGTGTTCTTGACCGTCATTGTAGTTCTTTTCGGAGTGCCCAAGTACGTTTTCGCCTCCGTCGTCACTTTATACTTCTCAATTGCAGTCATGAAGCGTCGAAGGAATGTCGAAAAGATATAAAAATGAAGAAAAATGAGGCGACGACAAATGGTCGAGCCCGGGTTTTGCCTAATAAGTAGGTAATTCAGCCGAGCTCTCTAGACCCCCAGATTACGCCCCAGCCGCTTCGGTTTGCTGATGTCGTCGGACCGACAAGACTGCAACTGTAGCTAATCAGCCGACGAGAAGGGATTTTGAGTGGGGATTCTCGTAGATCGTCAATGAGCCAAGAGAAAAGGCGTGTCTATCTAAAGTTAACGCTAGAATATCCGTTGCAATGCAATGCAATCATGACAGTCCGAGATCAGATCCGAGGTTTGAGCGTTCCCCGCGCCTCATAATTAACTTCCATTGCTATCAACTACTCGTTTGGGAAGTACCCCGATTATTTCCCCTTATAGAGTAACCAATTGTCAGCTGCTTCACTGCAATTGCGACTGCAGGGTGACAATGTCTTGGCTAATTATTTCGCCTGCAGCTGTGATTCGGCCGCGAATGCAGCCATTGTGAGCAAGATATGCAAATTGATTACATGTTGACGCCATTCTAAAATCCGTGTCCCGTCCCATAATATTACAATACCCATAGTTTACCCAGTACAACCGTTATCTAGAATGCGCATCAACCTCGACAGCACCAGTGCTATCTCCAAATTGATCCACCCGCGCTTTGGCAAATTTACGTGCGCTGACTCTATGCTCAAACAAAACATCCAACTCCCCATAAGTCCTCCCTTTTGGTTCCGGAAGACGAAAATATGCCCAAACCATGATGAGAAAACAAAACGCCGCCCAGAAAAGACCTGTTTTTGCACCCCAGTTCCATGCATGTACACCAAGCATTCTTGGCATCAGCGTATTATTTACCAGGCCGGCCATGTTATTGAAGTTGCGCGCCAATACGATCGTTTTCGCTTTCAGTCGTGTTGATGGGATTTCTGCGACAATGGTGTAACAGACTGGTCCCACTGCTAGATCGTAGATAAAGGTATAAAAGATGAGAAGGCTGCCGATCGCCCACGAAGGGCCTGCCTTGCTTTGAGGTGCGAATCCAAGGCCACCGACTACTAAAAGGATTATGAAAAGCGATGTTGTGCCGGCGATATACAGCGCGCGACGTCCATATCTCGCCATGAGGAACCATGAAAGGATGACACCGATTGCGCCTACAGAATACTGTACGATGTTAAGAGTAAACGCGCTGTTTGACGAGAGTCCTGCACGCTCATAAAATTGGACTGAATAGCCCATGAGAACGCTGCCGCACATGGCTTGCGCGACGTATGTGATGGACGCAATCTCGGTCCGTCTCAAGTCAGCTCTCATGAAACAGTGCCAATAATTAGTACCCGCAGACGTAGCCTTTTCAAGCTCATTTGTCTCGTGAATCATTGAGACTTGCGCATCAGCATCGAACTTGAGATCAGGCTGAGGCGTGACGAGGCCTAGAATAGCCTTCTTTGCGTCTTCGTGACGGCCCATGCGAACCAGCCACCAAGGTGACTCTGGCGCAAATATCGTGCCGAGGATAATGAACGGTGGCCACATCCATTGCAATGCAAATGGAACGCGATATGACCATTCGTTATCCAGATTGAGAAGTCCACGAAGGACCCCCGCTGATATCAACTGTCCGATAACCCAGCAGAGATTCACATATGCCGTGAGATAAGGCCTGAGAACCACGGGAGCGATATCAGATGCATATGCCAACGTTAAGGTCTGAAAGACACCCCAGGGAATGCCCATCAGAATCTGTCCCGCAAGGATCATCTGAATATTCTTCGCGAAGAACACGATAAACGTGAAAGCGACCATAATGATCTGCGCCAGTATCATAGTCTTCTTGTATCCAATAGCATCAGAGACCCATCCATTGAGATACAACCCGAAGATCTGCCCGCACATGCCGCCGACTTGGATGTACGTCTGCCAATCCGCAGAGATAACCATGCCGCCATCGGGGTCTGGTTGGTTGCCATACTTGTTGCGGAACCTAAAACGCAAATTAGCTTGTTTGCCTGCCGTGGGAACAGGGAATAACGTACGATTCATATCCGTAAAATGAGCCAATGAGAGCCATGTCGTAGCCTTCCATGATAATCGCCATGGAGAACAGCAGTGAAAAGCCAATGGCTTTGGGGTAGAGACGCACGGCGTCGCGAAAGGTAAGCTCGTGCTCTAGCGCCGTGGCGGCGCTGGCTTCTGCATTGTGGGCTTGGCTCTTCGGTTCATCAGCGGGAATATGGTTGACCTTTGATGACGGTTTGGAGGTCATTGTGATGGTGTTGGATGGTGACACGGTGTCCAGGGACGCGTTCTCGCCGCCTTGGCTCATGTTTGAGGTTAAAGTTCGAGACACTAACGGTGCCTCTTTGATGAGCAGTTAAGCTAGGGTAGGGTACAATTCTCCGAGTGGCAGTGTCTAACGGAAAAATCTCAGTCAGTTCTCGGGGTTTTGGTTGACTCCAAATCCGCGACCGGTGGGTCGAGGTCAGCTCATTGAGGTCTTTAGGCGCAATCGTCATCCCATAAACTCCAGATCTGGCTCGTTCGTCGGTCCGGGGAAGGCAGAATCTCGTGTCGCGCGTCCCGAGATATGCTTTTGAGGGGCGCTTGATGGGTCTGGGGATGGAGATGGCGATGCAGGCCAAGCAAAAGCTGGGGTTAAGGAGAAGAGAATCTGGGGCTGGGGGGCGAAACTAACGGGGTCGTGCTCGTCGGTCCGACGGGTTTTTGGCAGAGTCAAGGACTTCTGTGGCTCACCAAGATTTGTCGGTCCGAGATATCATGTTTAACTGCATTTGGGTTCTGGGCTTGGTGGAGAAGTCCGAAGTGTTGCACATGACCAGTCCAGAAGAGTTGTCGTTACAGTTACAAATTCCTCTATTTGCAGTAAAAGTACGGAGTATCTTTCTCTTAGTCTGCGCTCCTTTCTTCTCTCTTCAGTCGCCAAACCCCCTCGCGCGATCTCTTGCGACTCTGTATTGCGATTCTGCGCCGCCTTTTGAGATTCTTTGAGATACTGACGCAAGGCCATTTCGGCGAGTGATCATTATATGCAGACAGCCTCGACGTTAATGATACCATGCGATATCGATGAGGAAGCGTAGTTGCCACTCGCATTTATCACCAGTTACCGATGAGAGATTGTGTGAACGAGAATCTGGTCTATCTAATCGCGTCAACTATGTATCGCTAGTCCATGGGAATAATGCCCGTGAAACCATTGTGCGCTGCAACGCGACGTCAATCGTGCGGAACAAAATTCTCTATTAGTATTTGACACATATTGACTTTGAGATTGTGGATAGACAGTCTTCTCATCATCATGTTCTTTTATCTCAGCTCGCATGTTTACAGATAGGTCCTTAACATGGCCGAACATGGTAGAATGAGAAGGACTGAGAATTGCACAGCATTCAATTAGAAGCAAGCGAAGATATAACTACGATTCTATCAACTGACAAAACTCCAGTATATCTATTCAAGCTTATCATCTGACTCTATAAAGACAAGATGTTCCTTGTAGTTCTTTGAATCCGCACGAATCTTGTCAAACTTCTCTTTGTTCATCTCATTAAGCTGTCGGCCCTTGTTTCGATGTTCCTCAGATAGTGGTGGTGGGAGGATACCTGGGGGTGGATTATATCACTGGTCTTTGGGCACTTTTATGCTATTAATTCCACGCCAGAATTCCTCTTCCTCCTGATCATAAGGCGTGCGGTCTAATAGAGCCTTTATTAATGCCGGCCTTAGAGTAATTGCATAGTGAATATTGCGATCAGCATCGAGATACCGGAAAATCCCATCACGACCAAGTTCTGCAATGCCTAACAGGTCTAGGTTATAGCGCTCCATTTTATACAGAATGTCGCTCATTTCTTGTTGTTCGAGCGAAAGGTCTCTGTATACAATGCCGCGGCAAGATGCTTCAGGATCAACAGACTCTTGATGCTTAGAAGCAGATTGAGACATAATGAGGAAAAGGTTTGTTGGAAATGTTGACTGGAGACGAAGTGTACGAGACAAAGACCAACGGCGAGGCCCAACAAAACCATGGGAGTGGGCTTATCTTTAAACAAGTGAGACTCCAATTTTCATCACATGTGATAGTTACTGCCTGGAACCTAGCATACCAAGTTGGCCATTACGTACGACTTTGTAGGTTAGGTATATATGCATGTTGGTTGTTGTCTTCTCTTTTGGGATGTGATCTGATTCAAACTTGCCGAAAGCCGAACGCAATGGGATTTTTAGATAGTTGCTTTACATCTAACTGATGGCTAGATACAGGCTGATAAATCTTTTGACCTTTCCAGCCATCTCTTGATGGATAGAAAGTGAGTTATGTGCTGTCCTATAGGACATGATTAAAGTAAAGGTTAGACTTATAGCCAGGCCGCCGTTGTCAGCAGAATGGTCTTTATAATTATTATCAAGTCTTCCTGGTAAGAACATAGTAGAATCATTGGCATAAAAGAATCAAAGTATTATTCAGTATAATTGAGGATATATTTCGGTTCTCGTGACAGAAATTTAGGGTGATTCGGTGACAAACGCTATTTGGTTTGTTTCTGCCGGAAGTTTTGCGACGTTTAGAAGAAACCATATCGGCAAAGCTGATGATCCATCGCTCTGTTCCTTTCTTTCGGCTTTGAGTTATGCTGGTATTACTACAGGAGTAATAAACTAAGTGATAGTTGGTATTGAGGATATTTCTGGCTCTTATAAGTAGTCTAAGAAACGAATTACAAAAAGGCAGGGGATTAAGATCTTGGGTCTAGGGTATGTGGTACCGATAACGCTATCTTAGGATATTGACCTTTTGTGAAAGTCCTTATCTTATCAGAGATAGGACCATGTTATCTTATCTCTTTACTATCACATTTTTTTTTAAAAGACTTCGGAGCTTGTCTTCAGATATGCAGATAAGAGTTTGTCTTAATACTTAAGTTAAATCCCCATGACGATCAAGCTCTCCGAAGCTTTTCATCTGTCGTCCTAGAATATCGGTACAATGTGTTTCTAATTCTTCCGAGAGAAAATCCAAGGTCATTTAAGCCCACTTTCTCGTAGTCAGCCTGAAGCTTTTGGTGTATTCTTTGATGAATGAGCTTGATATACCTATCTGGAAGAGATAATTGACTATTAATTACCAAATCTTGAGCCTGCCATGAGAAACGGGTCTATTATGCATGTAAACGTGAACATCTCTCTCGATTGAACCTCATCTGTGGAGCAGCATAACATACGGAACTATGTAGAAATAAAGCAGTCAAGAGAGTGATGCATGTGAACAGCCGGATCATGACTTGTCTCTGACAGTCCAAGTCTCAGTAAAATTACGGTTATTCAGTAGCTACCGTTGGCCTTCGGAATTGCTCGCAAAAGTCCGGCAACGTAGGCTACCAACAAAGCCAGTCCTCTATAGTTCCACCTGAATCAACGCGATGAGTTTTAGTCACTACGCTACGCTACCATCTAAGTTCAAGATATCTCCGATGGATACCAGAGCGAGACAAAATAATTGGCGAACTTAGATCTTTCATTCCAGGCAGTGATTTCGAGTCGGCAACCAGTAGTGAAAATCATTCATGGTTCTTCGATGCCTTTGTGGTCCATATCCGTGCCTTGCAGCTACACAAAGAGTCAATGAGAGTCATCATAGCTTACATAGTAGTGGAGTTAATTAACTTTCTCTATTCTGCCAAGGCATAGCTATCATCTGTGCCGTGAACGGTGCATTACGTTGGTGGCTTTTCAACTGACTGCAAAAATATCCGTAACGTTACTAGCGATGAGATACAAAAGTTCACAAAGTGGTAATCTCCTCGCCAAGAAAATGTATTATAGAACCGAAAAACGGCCAAGTACAACTAATACTCCTTGGCAGAATTCCTGGGAACTATACTATATAGACATAGTGAACTATTAAGCATTTCTCCCAAAGAATGAGATCGCATCTAGATCTTGAGAGTAGCAGTGACAGGCATGCTGAGCCTGCATTGGGTGCCCTAAAATGTTAGTCTGCTAGTCGCGGCTGGCTAGTCTCTTGTGTAATTGGTCTGAGACATACGGGAACTTCAAGGACGACGCTGATTAGCTAGGAAAGAGTTCACGGTATGGCCGAAGCTCGACACTGACTTCATCAAAAGAGTAGCGAAAGCAGCATAGAGGAGATTTGTGATATGTGTGTAGAAAAGAGGTATTGCATAATTATGAAAACGTATAGCGGTTGCATTTGCCGAACTGCTTGCCTTGAAATTACCGCTTGCCTTGGGGATATCACATTTCTCATTATAAAAATTCTTAAAGAAAGGAAACGAAAAGAGTATCTAAATAACTGATCAATCAAGTTGGTGTCATGCCGATCTTGACCCTGTGCCTGGTCCTTGCTGATCGGCAGCAGCTGTTGAGGCTACCACGAGGAAACCATTGCCTCGGGTCTCTCTTAATGCCAAGGTTCCACGTGGATCTCACACTCTGCATAGCCACACTTTAATTGCTGGCATACCGTCATCATTTCCTTGATCTTGTTTGGCGCCGCGACGAAGCGTATCGGCATGTTCTCGTGGCTGGTTTTGAACTAGTCTACGGAGTTTTGTGGGCGGCACGATCGCTGGTCTCGCTTTAATTACACTTAATTACCCTCTTACGGCCGTGGCTTACTTTTTAAGTTGTGATTTTGGAACTTTCCGTAGATGAATGATATTGAATGTAACATACCAATTCGTTGTCCTGCCAAGACATGAGACGGAACCAGAGATATGTCACGCTTGTGATATTGCTTGGAGACTGCGACAGATTGAGAGTCTATCTCGATTAGTTCCTTGGTTACCTAGGTACCGGAAGAAGTTAAGTCATGACATTTATCGTCGAAGACCACGGGAGCGGAAGAGATCGAGGAGTATCTAGATCGTGACGATCGATCGAAAATATAGAGAAATAGGTATAAATATCCCATAGATCTCCCTCAAGAAAAACAATTTCCCAAACCAACAAGTCACAAACACTTACCAATACCTACTAGACACACTCTTCACTCCCGATCTATACAAAGCTTTCTACACAACATGGCTGTGACCTTCACGGCAAGCTTGCTCCTCCTATCCGCAGGCAAGGCTCTTGTCTCAAGCGGAATCTCTTGGGCCATCTCTGAAACAGGCAGCTGGGCAGCCGGTCGATTTCTTGACCATCTGACTTCTGATCCCAATGCGAAAGTCACCAGAGCCGACATCTATGGAGTCGTGCGAGAGATGCAACTCATCCAGTCATCTCTGGATGATCTCACCGACACCCTCTCCAATGGTATCATTTCGATACGCCTGGATACCTTGAATCAGCCAATGGCTCAGATTCAGGCTCACTACAAGACTGTCGCGGACATCTTAGATACCGCTTATGACATCGCTGAGCGAAACCTCACCGAGTCAGAGCATGAGCGTCAAATGGGTCGCCTGCAGCAGCGGCTCGACGACAGACTCCAGGCATGCGCCAATAACATCCCTGGATGGCTTACCCAGATTCATAACTTCTTGAATGCCAATGGTGAGAGAGCCTTTATGCGACAGCTCTCTCAGCAAGCCTGGAACGAGTCCCCTGACCTGGTGGCCTACTATAGTAGATCAAAGACAGTTGTAAGTATAAGAAGCCCAAAACGATGAACCAACAGCTAACATGTATAAAGGTACTTGACTATTGGATCACCGTTTCTAAGGGCATTGATCTTCTGCAAATTGCCCATGGAGCACAGGGTGTTAGATTCGACGAAGGACAACGCGCCATCGACCGACACATCCGCCAACTGCTTGATCAGGAACGTAACTTCGTCCGATTCATCGGAAATGAAACCATCAGACTCGCCGAGACAATCTTGCTCGATCCCTCCAGCCCCCACCCATTTTTCTGGGAGACTAATCAGGATACCTATGCCGCTGCTGAGGATGTCGGTGCTACCCAAACCCGCATCAGTGTCAACACACGTAATCCTGTTGAATGGCGAATGGACCCCTGGCCCCCTGTCAACCTCGAGACTTTCGACCCTCTTAGAGGTTACCCTGTCGCTCTTAACCAGGTTGGACAGCGCGGTATTATGTGTCCCGGTGGACGACATGGTTTGGCTCTTGAACCTTTCGCACGACCTACTTGCACTTGGTCCATTAAGCCAAGAGAGCCTGGAAACAACCGCTACTCGTTCAAGTTTATCAGTGGTCTTGTTAGACAAGCTAATAACGGCTATTACATGATTACTCGGCCGTCTGCTGGCGTCCCCGGAAGGATCATGTCCCTTCTCACTCGTTTGCACCGCGAGGATGGAAGTCACTTCTTCTACGTCAAGCCTCAGGGACTTGCTGCCACATCCTAGGAGCCAGAGGGGTTGCATTAGAGTGGGAGTGGATATCATGCTTAGGCATTCAATATTGTTGTGAAAAAACTCCCCTTCTGTTCAAATTGTATCTATACTAGTCTCATTCAATCTTATTCGCACCTAGTACTATCTAAATATACACAGATCTCCTAATCATGGAATGATGACTGAGTACATTCACCTATGCTAGTGCGCTTTGAGTTCTTATTCCCAAGATAATAGCTTAATTATTGCTTGTTCGGGTCTCGGCGTTAGAATTAGATCCGCTACGGTATGATGTTGGTATAGAGCTACAAGGTGACGTGGAAATAATAGTCATAATGACCGAGTTTGAAGCTAACCGAACTCACCTTATTCAAGCCACCGATGTCTTCAGTTTATCAGCCGCCCTTCATAGCACTGTTTCCCGAGTCGGCCGTCTGCGGATCAATGGTTCCGGCCGTTTGGAACAAGGTCAACGCACGGTTGTATTGCTCTAAACCGCTATTAGCCACACTAGGGAGGTCGTAACCTAATTCGTCTTGGTAGATAAGTCGGCTATCATTTCCCCAGACTTGGCGAGATAGCAACCCCTCCGGATGAGCTCCGGCCGAGATATGAGTCGCCA